CCAAGTCATGAAAATTAAGGCTTGTGTGGCAGTAAGACATTATTATCTACTCCAGTCTAAGTCAAAAAAATTAAGGCTTGTGTTGCTAGAAAGATATTGTCATCTACCCCAGTCCAAGTCAAGAAAATTAAGGCTTGTGTGGCAGAAAGACATTATTATCTACCCCTGTCCAAGTCAAGAAAATTAAGGCTTGTGTGGCAGAAAGACATTATTGTCTACCCCTGTCCAAGTCAAGAAAATTAGCGCTTGTGTGGCATAAAAAAACATTACATGTATTATATACCTCTGTCCAAGTCATGAAAATTAAGGCTTGTGTGTCAGAAAGATATTGTCATTCACCCCAGTCCAAGTCAAGAAAATTAAGGCTTGTGTGGCAGAAATACATTATTGTCTACCTCTGTCCAAGTCATGAAAATTAAGGCTTGTGTGTCAGAAAGATATTGTCATCTACCCCAGTCCAAGTCAAGAAAATTAAGGCTTGTGTGGCAGAAAGACATTATTGTCTACCCCTGTCCAAGTCTTGAAATTTAAGGCTTGTGTGGCAGAAAGACATTATTATCTACCCCAGTCCAAGTCAAGAAAATTAAGGCTTGTGTGGCAGAAAGACATTATTGTCTACCCCAGTCCAAGTCAAGAAAATTAAGGCTTGTGTGGCATAAAAACATTACATGTATTATATACCTGTACCACTGTCCAAGTCAAGAAAATTAGGGCTTGTGTGGCAGAAAGACATTATTGTCTACCCCAGTCCAAGTCAAGAAAATTAAGGCTTGTGTTGCTAGAAAGATATTGTCATCTACCCCAGTCCAAGTCAACAAAATTAGGGCTTGTGTGGCAGAAAGACATTATTATCTACCCCTGTCCAAGTCAAGAAAATTAAGGCTTGTGTGGCAAAAAGACATTATTGTCTACCCCTGTCCAAGTCAAGAAAATTAGGGCTCGTGTGGCAGAAAGATATTGTCATCTACCCCAGTCCAAGTCAACAAAATTAGGGCTTGTGTGGCAGAAAGACATTATTATCTTCCCCTGTCCAAGTCAACAAAATTAGGGCTTGTGTGGCAGAAAGACATTATTGTCTACCCCTGTCCAAGTCAAGAAAATTAAGGCTTGTGTGGCAGAAAGACATTATTGTCTACCCCTGTCCAAGTCAAGAAAATTAAGGCTTGTGTGGCAGAAAGACATTATTGTCTAACCCTGTCCAAGTCATGTAAATTAAGGCTTGTGTGGCAGAAAGACATTATTATCTACCCCTGTCCAAGTCATGAAAATTAAGGCTTGTGTGGCAGAAAGACATTATTGTCTACCCCTGTCCAAGTCAAGAAAATTAAGGCTTGTGTGGCATAAAAACATTACATGTATTATATACCTGTACCACTGTCCAAGTCAAGAAAATTAGGGCTTGTGTGGCAGAAAGACATTACATGTATTATATACCTCTGTCAAAGTCATGAAAATTAAGGCTTGTGTGGCAGTAAGACATTATTATCTACTCCAGTCCAAGTCAAAAAAATTAAGGCTTGTGTTGCTAGAAAGATATTGTCATCTACCCCAGTCCAAGTCAAGAAAATTAAGGCTTGTGTGGCAGAAAGACATTATTATCTACCCCTGTCCAAGTCAAGAAAATTAAGGCTTGTGTGGCAGAAAGACATTATTGTCTACCCCTGTCCAAGTCAAGAAAATTAGGGCTTGTGTGGCATAAAAAAAACATTACATGTATTATATACCTCTGTCCAAGTCAAGAAAATGAAGGCTTGTGTGTCAGAAAGATATTGTCATCTACCCCAGTCCAAGTCAAGAAAATTAAGGCTTGTGTGGCAGAAAAACATTGTCTACCCCAGTCCAAGTCCAGAAAATTAAGGCTTGTGTGGCATAAAAACATTACATGTATTATATATCTGTACCACTGTCCAATTCAAGAAAATTAGGGCTTGTGTGGCAGAAAGGCATTATTATCTACCCCAGTCCAAGTCAAGAAAATAATGGGCTTGTGTGGCAGGAAGACATTACATGTATTATATACCTCTGTCCAAGTCATGAAAATTAAGGCTTGTGTGGCAGAAAGACATTATTATCTACTCCAGTCTAATTCAAAAAAATTAAGGCTTGTGTTGCTAGAAAGATATTGTCATCTACCCCAGTCCAAGTCAAGAAAATTAAGGCTTGTGTGGCAGAAAGACATTATTATCTACCCCTGTCCAAGTCAAGAAAATTAAGGCTTGTGTGGCAGAAAGACATTATTGTCTACCCCTGTCCAAGTCAAGAAAATTAGCGCTTGTGTGGCATAAAAAAACATTACATGTATTATATACCTCTGTCCAAGTCATGAAAATTAAGGCTTGTGTGTCAGGAAGATATTGTCATTCACCCCAGTCCAAGTCAAGAAAATTAAGGCTTGTGTGGCAGAAAGACATTATTGTCTACCTCTGTCCAAGTCATGAAAATTAAGGCTTGTGTGTCAGAAAGATATTGTCATCTACCCCAGTCCAAGTCAAGAAAATTAAGGCTTGTGTGGCAGAAAGACATTATTGTCTACCCCTGTCCAAGTCATGAAATTTAAGGCTTGTGTGGCAGAAAGACATTATTATCTACCCCAGTCCAAGTCAAGAAAATTAAGGCTTGTGTGGCAGAAAGACATTATTGTCTACCCCAGTCCAAGTCAAGAAAATTAAGGCTTGTGTGGCATAAAAACATTACATGTATTATATACCTGTACCACTGTCCAAGTCAAGAAAATTAGGGCTTGTGTGGCAGAAAGACATTATTGTCTACCCCAGTCCAAGTCAAGAAAATTAAGGCTTGTGTTGCTAGAAAGATATTGTCATCTACCCCAGTCCAAGTCAAGAAAATTAAGGCTTGTGTGGCAGAAAGACATTATTGTCTACCCCTGTCCAAGTCATGAAATTTAAGGCTTGTGTGGCAGAAAGACATTATTATCTACCCCAGTCCAAGTCAAGAAAATTAAGGCTTGTGTGGCAGAAAGACATTATTGTCTACCCCAGTCCAAGTCAAGAAAATTAAGGCTTGTGTGGCATAAAAACATTACATGTATTATATACCTGTACCACTGTCCAAGTCAAGAAAATTAGGGCTTGTGTGGCAGAAAGACATTATTGTCTACCCCAGTCCAAGTCAAGAAAATTAAGGCTTGTGTTGCTAGAAAGATATTGTCATCTACCCCAGTCCAAGTCAAGAAAATTAAGGCTTGTGTGGCAGAAAGACATTATTGTCTACCCCTGTCAAAGTCCAGAAAATTAGGGCTTGTGTGGCATAAAAAAACATTATGTATTATATACCTCTGTCCAAGTCATGAAAATTAAGGCTTGTGTGTCAGAAAGATATTGTCATCTACCCCAGTCCAAGTCAAGAAAATTAAGGCTTGTGTGGCAGAAAGACATTATTGTCTACCTCTGTCCAAGTCATGAAAATTAAGGCTTGTGTGTCAGAAAGATATTGTCATCTACCTCAGTCCAAGTCAAGAAAATTAAGGCTTGTGTGGCAGAAAAACATTACATGTATTATATACCTGTACCACTGTCCAAGTCAAGAAAATTAGGGCTTGTGTGGCAGAAAGGCATTATTATCTACCCCAGTCCAAGTGAAGAAAATAATGGGCTTGTGTGGCAGAAAGACATTACATGTATTATATACCTCTGTCCAAGTCATGAAAATTAAGGCTTGTGTGGCAGAAAGACATTATTATCTACTCCAGTCCAAGTCAAGAAAATTAAGGCTTGTGTGTCAGAAAGACATTATTATCTTCCCCTGTCCAAGTCAAGAAAATTAGGGCATGTGTGGCAGAAAGACATTACATGTATTATACCTCTGTCCAAGTCATGAAAATTAAGGCTTGTGTGGCAGAACGACATTATTGTCTACCCCTGTCCAAGTCAAGAAAATTAAGGCTTGTGTGGCAGAAACACATTATTGTCTACCCCTGTCCAAGTCAAGAAAATTAGGGCTTGTGTGGCTAAAACACATTATTATCTACCCCAGTCCAAGTCATGAAAATTAAGGCTTGTGTGGCAGAAAGACATTATTGTCTACCCCTGTCCAAGTCAAGAAAATAGAGGCTTGTGTGGCAGAAAGACATTATTATCTACCCCAGTCCAAGTCAAGAAAATTAAGGATTGTGTGTCAGAAAGACATTATTATCTTCCCCTGTCCAAGTCAAGAAAATTAGGGCTTGTGTGGCAGAAAGACATTACATGTATTATATACCTCTGTCCAAGTCATGAAAATTAAGGCTAGTGTGGCAGAACGACATTATTGTCTACCCCTGTCCAATTCAAGAAAATTAAGGCTTGTGTGGCATAAAAAAACATTACATGTATTATATACACTGCACACACAAAACCATCCACCCATGACACACACATACACAGAGCCATACACTGCCTACTACTTTGCTTACAAATACTACACACTAACAAGTCACACACACACACACACACACACACACAAGTACTGTAGATGCGCATAGTACCTAGCTACCTGGATGTCAACTGTAGATGGCACTATTCCGTTTGGCTACTTGGACACAACCCCTCTCTAAAATTTGGACATTTATTTTGGGCCTTTTTTGGGGAAAAATTTTTCTTGTGTGACTAAATCTTAGTTGATTAGAAATGACATGTCAGACATCTTAGACACTGAATATGATAGTTTTCTTGTGTGGCTAGACACACAAGTCTAAAGTGACACACAAGGATATCTCATACGTAAAACTAAACACACAAGCATACCATCGCAAACTCGGACGGACGGACGGACGGACAACCCGAAAACATAATGCCTCCGGCTACTTCGTAACGGAGGCATAAAAATTCAAAAACTTAACCTTAGGTTAAGTTTTTGATGTTGACGCCGTCGCCGTCGCCGTCGCCGCCGCCGTCACCGGAAAAGCGGCGCCTATGTCTCGCTTTTTGCTACGCAGGCGAGACAAAAACTATATTAGGAAGTGTACAAGCAAAAAAAAATCACCACCGCATAGCAAAAATTACCTGATTTTTTGGCTTGTGCGGCTTCTTTCTTGTCTTCACCGTCCTCCATTTTCCTCTTCTTGCTCTTCCCTTCATTCACTCCATTCGTCTTTTCATTCATCTCTCCACCGTCCATCTCCCTCCTCATCATACTCTCTTCCTCATAGTCACTATCAGAGCTGTCGCTGTCGCTATCATACTCATCAGGCCTGGACCTGGACCCAACACCCCCTGTGGGTCCAGAACCTGGTCCCTTCTTCTGGAGACCATTTTGTTTAGTCCTTGTTTCACCCTCGTCATCACTCTCCGATGATAGGTCGTCCTCCTCTTCATCCCCGCTGTCGCCGAGACTGGTGACGGTCGATTTGAAGCTCACGCTCCGCTTGCTCTTTGGCGAGGCCTCCATGGCTTTACTGCCTTCTTTCTTCTCTGTAGATGATAAAGGAACAGGTAATGCAATGAATGCATGAAGAAAACTAAAAAGATTGTACAATGTCCAGAGTATATATGACGAAACTAATAATTGAACATCATCAGTCCACATTTTCAGAGACAAAAGAGCTCATCAGAGACAATCAGCCGAAAGATGGTTAAGTTTGCATCATCATAAAATGTGGCTAGTATGTACCGGGTAGCAAAGATGGTGTACCCTCGAAAACTTTACCTCAAAAAAGTGAAATAGTACATCTATGTGTTGACCTGGGTTGTAGAAACCAAAATCATACACTGTATCATTTCTCTGAATAGTTCTTCGGATTCTATAGCCTGTGCTATGTCAGCAATAGCTTCACAGTAAATTCTAACACAACTCAAATTCAGAAACTACAACCCCTGATCCCAACACAATCCCTAGCCCTAATTCTTAACCTAACCTTACACCCAATCGCAACCAATATATATGTTTTATATACCTCACTTAAGAAATCCAGCCATCTGATTGGTCGAATTGCATTCATAAACTTCAACTGTTCCTGTAAAATTCCCGGTAACCATGCTTAAAACATTTCAATATTTTTAATAACCATGGTTATTAAAAAAATAGGTCAGTCTCCATGGTTACCCCATAGGTTTACATGTTAAAAAATGGTTTGAGCGATGGAGGATACCATACGTGTGCGAAAAATTGGTCGGCAATTTCAATACAATTGAATCTCGATCGATCTTACCGACAATTTTATCTTGCATTGTTGACATGAAGACGAAAATTAACTCTCAAAAACAAAAAAACAACATCTGCCGATAGATCTTGATCTAAGTTCGTGCCAATATGCATTGCAAAAGTAAAAGAAGGGTCCGTTTCAAGGAGCTTTTGCGAAGCATCCCTCACGCTGAGCCGTTTTCAATCCATTTTAATGTATATATTGGAGAAAACTGCCAAGCATGTTAACGGCGCGCGATAGCCGAGTGGTCTAAGCGTTGGTTTTCGATACACCTCTTGTTGTACACTGAGTTCGAATCCCGTCTTCGACAAAAATGTAAATTATTTTTTATTTTTTATTTTTTAGTCTATTTTTTTTCGGCATATAAAAGTATTAATGACTGCTTTAATATTCGAGAAATAGTTGTTTTCATACGCTCTCGGGAAGGTTACAATTGGGCTATTCCCCTCGGCAAGCCTCGGGGAATAGCACAATTCTAACCATCCCTTGAGCGTAATAAAACAACTATTTCTCTCAAAGCAGTCATTAATACTATAATATTCCCACTAAGAGTTCACTTATTACTCCAATACACTGTAATGACTGATGAAATATGATTGTTGAGAGAAAAGCTTTGACAAAATAAGCCTGGAGCAAATATCGCCACACCAAAACACTCAAGGAGCAGGGAACGGTTTCACAAAACTTGTCATCAGTGACAAATGACAGTTTTTGTTATAAGCTACTGAAATCCTTGCTTCTGATTGGTTATCAGCAGATTTGTCACTGGTGTTTGTCATTTGTCTTTGACAAAAAGGCTTTGTGAAACGGATCCTAGATGTGGGATGATGGTACCTACCCAGGACAGCCCCTCCTTGCTGCTTGTAACTCTTTGATGCTTGCTGGATCTCCACGTCCTCATCGTCTTCCTCGTCCAGACCATTGAAGACTCCCTTCTTGAACCAGAGCTTGGTCCTCCTCTTGGCACTCTCCTCGGGGTCCATCTTCTCCAAGTCTACCATCAGGGGATTCCCTGTGTCATCGTCATCATCAGAGTACATGTCATCTGAACCCCTGGTAAGAATAAGGAAATGGTCAAAGTTAATATTATTATTATTCCTTTTACTCAACTGCAGTTTGCTGCACCCGCAACTGCAATTGCACTGCACCCACTTGATCACTAGGTTTTACCAAGAGAGCTTTGTTGCTAAATCTTTTTCATTATTTTTTTCATGAGCCCGCCATCCATTTCCAGCCTAACCGCTCACAATGGCGGTCTCCTGCGTTCTAAAATTCATCTCTTTAGTTCAATGAAAATTATATACAAATATCTGTTGTACTTTTTTGTATGCTTTGTATTATAGTTATTGTATAATATTGTTAAACATTATTTGCTATTTATGTAATACCTATGTAAAAGTGTATAATCTTGTATCTGTTATTTGAACGCAGAAATAAAATCACTCAAATAAACTTGTTCTTTAGTATTAATGTTTCCAAAGCTGCTTGGGAAAACCCTTGTCTCCATTAATGTTGCCTTTGAGAATTAAATGAAATTTTTGTATCTACTGGAGGGAAAATAAGAGTTCTATCTCGTCAACTCTCAAATGTATGCACGACTGTTTCTGGTGTAATGGATAACACTTTGGTACCCTTTGAAGTGGCAATGAAAAAGAGAGGAAAGTCATGAGTAGTAGTAGTAGTAGTAGTAGACTTTATTGGATAACTTGTTTAGCACAGGGCTAATCTGCCACAAGGTCCAAGCTGATGATTCTAACCTGCTCTTGTCTACAGTCCAAATCATTAGTTTTTTAAATCAATTTCTTGCAAAATAACAAGGTAAGGATTCCTGTTTTAATTCATATTCCTTTTGTCTTACGGACTGAACAAATTCTGCAATCTCACACACACCCATTGAACCTCACATAGTGATAGATTAATGGGTTAAGCGAAATCATAACTGTATATCAACAAATACCTTACTTGGATAAACTCAAAGAAGATACTATGAACTATGCGTTGTGGCGTGCGCCTGTAATCCAGCTAACAATGGAAGTTACAAACTGATTCAGCCGAGGACGCAGATTCGAAACTGAGTCACGTCTTTCGGATGGTGACATTTAAAGGTTGATCCCCAGACGTAAATAATTATATCTGATTGATATACGTCTGTAAAAACCCAATACACAAACACATAAACTTAAAATGTCTGAACTCACTTGTCTGATTCTGAATCATATCTTCCACTAACTCTATCAATCTCAGCTCTGAGAGCATTGGCCTCGTCCTCCTCCAAATCACTATCAATCAGGCTACCATCATCGTCATCATCCTCCTCCTCCCCCTCCTCCAGTTCCTCCTCCTGGTCGATGACCGCGGGAGTCTTGGCTGGCTTTAAGGATGGGAGCTGCTTCTTCTGTTTCTCAGGAGCACCTTCGTTGTCATTGGCAACTGTGCCGGCATCATCTGTGTTCACCTTTTGAAGTTGCTATTCAAAGAGAGTCATATGAAAGGGAAATGAAAAATGGAAATTTTCATCACACGGACTTTCAATTCCAACACTTATGATTTGTCTTGAAGCTTTGTAAAATAAAGGAAATAATCAACATGTTTCTGGAAATCCTTTTACCTCAAATCAAATTGTATCCAACAAAGAAAATCAGTTGAAATCAAGCAATGAGAAGATATTTCATTCCATCAAACCAGGGACCTGTTTCACAAAGCCCTTTTTCAATGACACATGACGAAAATCAGTGACAAAGCTGTTGATAACCAATCAGAAGCACAGATTTTAGTAGCTTATAACAAAAACTGTCATTTGTCACTGATGACAAGCTTTGTGAAACGCCCCCCAGGTTCATAGATTGTCTAGCTACTTACCTGTGCATTTTTTATGTTGACCAGACCAAACAATGATTCCCCTTGTGTATCATCGCCCATGTTACTCTGTAGCTCCTTAGATTTGTGAAGTCGCTCTCGTAACTTCTTCCGCTTCTTGAGGGCATCTTTCTTTTTCCTATCAAAAAAAGAACAAATATTGAAAAATTATTTACTTTACTTGTATCAAAGAGAACTGTTGCTGAGCTAGCGTCATGAGGGTCCCTGGACGGTGTGTGCGCTCTATAAGTTAACACTATTATTATTATTATTAAAGTTTTAAAAAAAACAATCAGAGAATTTGATTGAGCATTGAGTCATTCGGGGGGGTAGTCATATATTCAAGTTTCAAGTTTATTTATTTCACTGTATCGAGGATAACATAATTGAACATAACGAACATGGTAATAATCATAACTAAACATAATGTACATGGCGATAGTTATAACAGAGGATACAATCATATAAATCAATCAATAAAGTGGGGGATCTACTAAAAAGCAAAGCTTGTATTATGTAGGTCCCAGTTAATAGGTATATAAATATGTATCTAAATTCACATAAGATATTTGTCAACAAAAAACACTAAAATGCTTCTTAAACATGTTGACAACGGTGCCCGCAATATTTTGTGCAGAGGTCGATAAAAGTACATTTGTGTTATACCGAAGTTAAAATATATTCAACAGGAAAAACAACTTCACAGAGAATAACTGCATTGATTGTTCTAAAACATCAAGGGCAGTAGAGATGACATAGGACTGGGGACAAAAAAAAAAGGGTAAATAGCATACTTCCTGATTTAAAGCCTGTCTGCACTAGTTTGGCCAGGAGGGAGGGATTAGACCTTCCTGCTTGGTCACTGACACGTGGCTATCTCATCCAATCAGTTCTCAATTAATATAAGAAAAAGGGGATCATGGGGGATCAATGGATACCGCTTAGGCATTGTGTACTATATAGAGGGCGTTAGTAGCTACAAGTAGTGCAGTCCCACATTAACTGGTTTTACATTCCTTTCAAAAAGAAGAAATATCATGAACAAAAAACAAAAATAATCCACATTATCAACATTTCTTGCACTTACCTTTTACCAGCTAACCTCTCCTCCTCTTTGATTGTAGCTAGTTGCTTAGCAACCACATCATCCTCATCTTCCTCGCTTTCACCATCTTCATCTTTGCCTTCAAGCTTGGACTTCTCTTTTCTGAAAGATAGTAATTTTGTATAAAATAAATTGTTAGCAATATATATTTTTCTCTCTCAATAATTTGTTCCTGATCATTTTTTTCAGAAAGCATTATGCTTAAAGATAAACTTGAGTTCTGGTAAAAAAATAAAATAAATACTCACAGAATCAAACAAAACTTACACTGAATGTTCAAGATTCTTCCAAGACAGGGCCAAATTTCTTCATCATTTTGATGATTCCAGAACCTTGCAGTACACACCAATACTTACATGCTAGATGATCAACTTTTTCTGATTCATTCCACACCTTTTCTTTCACAATGCAATCGCATGCCCAGAACTCAACTTTATCTTTAACCAAGTAAAGTGCACAAGAGTGTATGCACAATATAGTATTAATGACTGCTTTGATAAAAACAACTATTTCTCGAATATTAAAGCAGTCTTTAATCCTTTTATATGCCGAAAAAAAAGAAAAAAAAGAAAAAAACTTTTGTCGAAGATGGGATTCGAACTCTTGCGTACCAAAGGTGATGTTACTAAAGTCAGCGCCTCAAAGCGTTCGGCCAGCGCGCTCTGTCATCATGGGTAGTAGTTTTCTTTAATATATACATTAAAATGAATTGAAAACGGCTTCGCGTGGTGGAAGCTTCGCGGCTGCTCCATTAAACGGGCCCTTCTTTTACTTTTGCAATGCATATTGGCACGAACTTAGATCAAGATCTATCTCGAATATTAAAGCAGTCATTAATACTTTTATATGCCAAAAAAAAGAAAAAAAAAAAAAAAAACTTTTGTCGAAGATGGGATTTGAACTCTTGCGTACCAAAGGTGATGTTACTAAAGTCAGCGCCTCAAACCGTTCGGCCAGCGCGCTCTGTCATCATGGGAAGTAGTGTTCTTTAATATATATACATTAAAATGAATTGAAAACGGCTTCGCGTGGTGGAAGCTTCGCGGCTGCTCCATTAAACGGGCCCTTCTTTTACTTTTGCAATGCATATTGGCACGAACTTAGATCAAGATCTATCGGCAGATGTTGTTTTTTTGTTTTTGGAAGTTTATTTTCGTCTTCATGTCAACAATGCAAGATAAAATTGTCGGTAAGATCGATCGAGATTCAATTGTATTGAAATTACCGACCAATTCTTCGCACACGTACGGTATCCTCGATCGCTCAGACCATTTTTTAACATGTAAACCTATGGGGTAACCATGGACAGAGCTGCCAACCTCCAGAACAGAAAATCAGTAATCACAAGGCTCAAAATCAGTAATTTGGGGTATAAATCAGTTATTTCTTATGCGGCGCTATGAATCTAAAAAAACGACACGCCAACACTGCGCGGACGCATGATTATCTGAAATTTTTGGTGATTTTACTCACACAAAGATGTTAAGTATTGAATTTCAGGTCATCACAACACAGTTTATCATGAAAAATGGCTCCTATTCACAGCACTCGCTACGATAAATCATATTTAATTCATTAAAAAAAAATAAAATAAATAAAAAAAAAAAAAAAAAAAAATATTTTTTTTTTTTTTTTTTTTTAAATCCGTAATTTGAGACAACATTCCGTAATGGTCGTTAATTTCCGTACCAATTACGGGAAATCCGTACTAGGTGGCAGCTCTGCATGGAGACTGAACTATTTTCCCAATAACCATGGTTATTGGGATTTTGAACTGTTTTTTAACCATGGTTACCGGGAATTTTCGGGAACAGTTAAAGTTTATGAATGCAATTTCGACCAATCAGATTGCTGGATTACTTAAGTGAGGTATATAACACATACTACAGACCATATATTTATAAAATATGCACCCATCTATTTGATGATATTAAGGCTTCATTAATTGTTTACCATTCAAAATATGGATTGGACTATATATTCAGTATATATTAACTCCAGCAAGTCGACGGCTTTAGGTCCTCTCCGAGGGACCTGGTAATGAGGATTAATGCCTTACCAAAGGGCACTAGCGCATCGACTTGGTTTCGAACCCGGGTCACTGGATTATGAGACCATTGCCTCTACCGACTGAGCCATCGCGACTCCTCATTGACACTTGATTGAGATGAAAAACATTTTTATTTCAATAACATACACATAGGTCTTGCATTGAACTTGTCATGCCAAATCGTTTAGCTATATTGCCATTCCAAACTCACAAGACATGGTAATCTCCCACGAGACATGAAATCTACCATGTGATTGAAATTTGCCTATTTCATGCAAGATGTTACCTGCAGTTATGATAAGAATCTGATACCTGTCGCAAAGCATTCAAAAGATTTAATATGATTGTTTATACAGGTTGGATTTTTTTTTTTAAAGAGAAGGTTGAGTTCTGGGAAGAGGTAAAAAATAATTTGTGAGCGTTATCATTGTTATTATGCAAGGGTGGAAGAACATCAGATTAAACATGTTCCCTGAAAAGCATGGCTCTTCAAATGCCTTCATATTCTAAATATGACATAAAACATCGTACAAATCGGGGGGGGGGGGGGGAGATTTTTTTCGCCATGTGATCGTGTAGTCCCATAAACATCATTCTGTGTACAGTGCTTGTAACTTTGCCAAGATTTGGTCAAATTTCTTATCATTTTGATGATTCCAGAACCTTGCAATACACACAAATACTTATATACTAGATGATCAACCTTTTCTGATAGATTCCACACCATTTCTTTCATAATGCAATCACATGACCAGAACTCAACTTTATCTTTAAATACCATACCATTTCATATACATTTTCAATATTTTCAGGTACAGTCAAACCTGCTTTAGTGACCACCTGTCTACAAAGACCACATTTTTTATTTCCCTTGAAAAAAGTTTCTCATTGAAACATGTACTAAACAAACCTGTCTACAAAGACCACTTTTTGTGTTTCCCTTGGGCGGTCGCTATAGACAGGTTTGACTGTATTTCATAATTTTTTCTTTAGCCTACAACTTACACTTGATTAGCTGTTTCCTCTTCCAGTTGTGCTTTCTCCTTGTTGTATTTCTTGTGCCAGTTGAGAAGATCCCTGACCTCTCGCCGACCCAGAACCTTAATGTCACGGCAACAAATCTTGATCTCTTTGGTCGTCAGAAGGTGGGAGGCGATGGAGTCATCGTCAAACACAAGCTGTCGGGGAGAAAATGAAAACCGATACAAATGAATGAAAAATAATAATAATTCATTGAATCCTGACATGCTTACCTTTGTGTGTGTGGAACATAAAATGTCACTTAGATGCTGCTTATAAGTATCGGCTTGCATGGTGGTGTAGATATACAGTAGTCTTGCGGAATTCCCCCTTTGGCTTTCAAACTACCAGGCACAAAATGACAAAATTTAAAGCCCCTCTGCACTAGTTTGGCCAGGAGGGGTTAGACCTTCCTGCAAGGTCACTGACAGGTGGTTATCTCATCAAATCAGCTCTTAATTAACAGAAGAAAAAGTGGACCATGGGGGACCAATGGTCACCGATTAGGCATCGTTTGCTATATAGAGGACGCAAGTAGCTATAAGTAGTGCAGAGGGGCTTAAGGGGTTCCCATTCTCACCTCACTGCAGTTGGTGAGTAGCTCCAGTGCATCCTCACTGTCCATGTACTTACTTGGACACAAGGACAGGATGATAGATGATGTGTAGTCCCCATCATGTACATTGTAACAACATCATATGAAATTATTCAGGGGGTTTAAAACCACTGCACTATTCATAGCTACTTGCACCCTCTATATAGCAAACAATGCCTAATTGGTGACCATTGGTCCCCCATGGTCCCCTTTTTCTTATGTTAATTGAGAGCTGATCTGATGAGATAACCACCTGCCAGTAACCTTGCAGGGTGGTCTAATCACTCCATGCCAAACTAGTGCAGAGGGGCTGTGAATGGTCGACTTCATTTCGGACAGGATGATAGAGAGTGTAGTTCCCATCATGTACATTATAGGAACATCATATGAAATTATTCATGGGGGCTTAAAGCAAGCTCAAAGCTTATTCACATCATCAGTTTAAGGGGTTCTTGTTCTTACCTCACTGCAGTTGTTGAGTAGCTCCAGCGCATCCTCACTGGCCATGTACTTGGACACCTGGACGGGATGGTAGAGGGTGTAGTCCCCCTCGGCGTACCCCTCGGCCTTGGCCTTCTTCACCTTGGAAGGGTCCCTGAGGATTGTGGCTTTCTGCTTGGTGGTCTCCTCCCCTACAACCTCCTTGAAGATGTACTTAGGGTCAAAGAACTTTGGATCTGTGAGTGGATAGAGACAGGTGAAGCGATAGTGAAATGAGAGCAAATGTGAATGAGTGTGGGGTTCTGCTAAGGTTTGATGGAAATTGAGTAAATTGTAAATGTTGGGGAATACATTAGAATGGGTGAAAACTTCTTCCAGGATATTTTTCTTCTTCCGAATTTATTGTGAGGATTTTGAGTACCGGTAGGTACGGTTTTAAGAACACAATATAAAAAAAATTAACATTAGTTTACCCAGAAATATATAAGAACAGACCAATTCTATGATTAATAGCACAGAAATAAATGGATTTCTTTTTTATGGTGCAGCCACTAATTACTGGTAGGTGAGAGCTCCTTAATTCGAAATAATCCATATAAAAATTGGATGGAATGACAATGTATGGGTAGCCAACTATCCCAGGACCAAAATGAAAGTTGATTCTCTGTATTCAAGTTGAATTAATAATAAATAATGCCTGATCAAGATTGGCAACTAGATATCATCTTTTCCTGAAATTTCTTTAGCAGAGGACTAGAAGTAGAACCCACCTATCTTGTCTAGCTATATGAAACCTTGACAAACAACGAAGATCTCTGCAGATTCGTTCATTCGTTTTCTATATCCATCTTAAGTTGAATTAATAAGGGATTCTCTTGTGGCAACTAGATATCATAATCTTTTCCTGAAATTTCTTTAGCAGAGGACTAGAACCCACCTATCTTGTCTGGCGATATGAAGCCCTGACAAACGACAAAGATCTCTGCAGATTCGTTCCTGGACGCCTGGGGCTTGGTGACATGAACCTTCCTGAACATCTGATGGAAGACCCAAAGGAGGGGCTGGTAATCCTTGGAGCGGAAGACCTTGGTGATGAACCACCCGCCCTTGTTGAGGAACTCAACGGCCAACTTGAGAGCATGGAGGGTCAGTTGGGCTGTATGAAGGAAGATGGTGTATTATTGCAATGTAGAAGTGTCACAGTGGAGTGGTTTGGAGACTCAACTGAAGATACCATAGTCATTGGGTTAAAACCCTGATACCAAACATGGCCTTTAAAGGTATAGACTAGTTCAGGTCATGCGATTGCAGTCAGTGTAACTATGACAAGATAAAATCCACATAGCTGATGTATGTCAAAACGACAATCAGCCCGTCAAAAATTACAAAAATGTACATCATTCTGCATCTCCCCTTTCCTTGCCTTTCACAGTAAAACCAGCAGACTAGTAACTGAATCACAAGTTTAAAAAATAAAAAACAAACAAAAACAGTTTTAAAGGCACAGGTGTATAGACCAGTTCTGGTCATGCGATTGCATTGTGAAAGAAACGGGTGTGGAATCGATCAGAAAAGGTTGATCATCTAACATGTAAGTATTGGTGTGTATTGAAGGTTCTGGAATCATTAAAATGATAAGAAATTTGGCCCAGTCTTACGATGTAATAATTTACCAAATATATCAATAGACCAGTTCACGGTTAGCACATTACTGCAATGACCCCGAATATCCACAGATCTTCAAAACATGAAGAGGTCCCACTTTGTACATTGTGAAATAATCATTCCTACAGCGATGAAGGTGCTATATAACATAGCCTTTGTTTTCCCCTTTGAAAGAATACTTCCACCTGTGTATCATGGATTGCACTGAATGTGCAAGAATGAATAACGATTACATAACTTTCATGAGCACGTATCCAGTATTTCGTCTCCGTGTATTTCACAATTTGTTCTGCAATGACCTTGATCTGCTCATGCTCAGACTGCAACCGTGAACTCGCTTATTAGTAGGCGGAAAATTTGTATCATCACATATAAGTCAAACATATTCTTTCACATGATTGGTAATAAGAGCTTCCATTACATTTTTTGAGAAGGGGGCATTTCCAAAACTGGTCTATACCTTTAAAATGGCATTTTAGCAACACTGTTCCTGCTTTACACTAAGGTGCTAAGATAATAACATCATCAGGGTTGAAGTTAGTATATGCAAGTCTGTAAAATGGTGACCTAGCAGTAGCGGTAGCCATAGGAGTATCAGTAGCAGTAGTTGTACTTGTGGTAATAGAAGTAGTCGTAGACTTAATGGGATAACTTGTTTAACCCAAGGCCAATCTGTCTCAAGGTTCATCGCACTTGAGTACAAGATCTCTTTTTATTTTTCTTATTTTTTTTAAATTTGTGTTTTTAATGGCAAGTCAAAGGAAATCACAATATTTACAAATAATTTACATAATTAGAAACAAATTCAATTAACAGAATAAAGCAATAACCATAAAATAAAGTAAATAATACAAAATAAGATTTAGAAATGGCAGAAAATAGAAAAACGTTACAAAGTAAAAATTGTTCAAGAATGAAGCCCCTGTGGTAACAACCTTGGTCCTAGGATTGCAGGGGGGGGGGTCATACAGATGCTAGATGGCAGTGTATCAGACATATTTGTAAATCTATAATACTGTTTTCATTACCACTTTTGCACACAAACCTTCCACAGAATGCCCCTGCATAGGTAATATGCCCATTCTTGAACTTTATGTCAATAGAAAACCTACAATTTGTTCTTTCATACTCTATCAAATGGTTCTGGCTTGGATAAGGGAAACTGACCTTGTGTGAAGGCATCCAGCACCCAACTTGTTCCAACATTAGGAGCTCCGTCATGAAGAACACAATCAGCTTTCCATGTCTTCATCTCTTTGCGCAATTGCTGTAATAATAATAATAATAATGTATCAGGGAAAAAATACTTAAAAATAATCGTGGGCTACTTTTAAAGCTTGCTTGCATGAAAATAACACTCTTTAATTTGTTTTGCATTGAACTCTATGCAAATTTTGTTGGGGTCTTTTATGACTTTCAAGGGCTCTTTTTAGCATTTTGGGGGCTAATTCGCCCTGAGCCCCGTGTATTTTTTTCACTGTAATGTATTACTCTACTGCATTTTCCATATACATGTTCAAATGGTGCATGTATTAAAGATAAACTTTAGTACTGGTAATGCGATTGCATTGTGAAAGAAAACGTGTGAAAGGATCAGAAACAGTTGATCATGTAGCATGTAAGTATTGGTGTGCACTGCAAGGTTCTGGAGTCATCAAAATCATAATAAATTTGACCGAGTCTTGGTAAAGTAACAAGCACTCACACAGAAAGCTATATATGGGACAACACACATGGTGTCGGGGCTAGTACTACCTTGATTTCCTTGTCTTTCTATGCTCATTACTCAGCCAGTATACATTTTCTTCCAAAATTGTTTGGCACATGTCATTTATTTGTAATCTTGAACATTCAGTGTAAGTTTCGTTTGATTCTGTGAGAATTATTATTTTTTTTTTAACCAGTACTGGAGTTTATCTTTAACAGAAGAAGTGAGCTTTCAGACGTTTTTGGAAGGCATTGAGAGATCACCCTTTGCGAAAAAAATATGGGCAGGTTATTCCACCGCTTGGGAGCAGCAGTTAAGAATGTACAAATAATTATAATTCGTTTCCTTATATTGATTTCTGCTTTTCATTCAACACTTCATAAATGTCGGTGCCCAGTAAGTCAGTTTGTAAACCAGCAGAAATATTATGCTTGAATGTATATTTGAACCACATTTTCTATAAGAGGTCCTAAACTGTGGTAAGGGACTGGATCGTTGCTTTAAGTACTTACCATTCTGCATTTGGTTGTTGTGATGTCACAAGTGAAAGAGACCACATTAGGGATGGGTTTGATAGGAAACAGATCCACACCAATAATCATACTGGATATGGGCATGTTCCTTGATGCTACCTGAAGCCTGTCAAGGAAAAAATATTGAAAAGCAGACTTAAGAATACCTGGTAAGCTATCATTTCTCTTCTTCTTTACCCTAGTGTTATGAAACATATGTCTGACAAATCTTTCCTTTTACTATGTTAGTCTATGTTCTATCCCTCCTCCCTCTTTCTCCTCCTCCTTTTTTGTTGTCTTCTTCTTGTTCCTTCTCTATCCTCTTCTTCCTCTTTTCCATGTTCCTCTACAACATCCACATATCTTACCTTTTAAAGAGAACCTATCTTTTTTAAAGGAAATAAGACTAGCACAATGTGATCAAAGCTGGCCTATAACCTTCATCCAAAAACAAGATTGCTTCATTATCATCCCTTACATGAATCAACCCTGGTGCTCCTCCTTTTAAATTACTTTGGTAAAATCTACAATATCTTTACTTTGTCCTAAGGTTTCCTCTTCTTTTTCTTCAAGATAATCTGCCTTCTTCAATACTGAAGATTCTTGCAGATGCCCTATATACTCAACCTGATTGGGGTGTGCAGGTGGACCACTACACCAGGGTTTACCCCTACTCTTACACGAATAGTGCAGTGGGTTCATAATAACCATTTAACATCCTATCTGAGGGACTGCATCATGGTACTCACCATCCTCCTGGTGCTGCACAGAGATCAATGCAGACCCTGGACTCTTGGAGGAAGGAGAACTTTCTGTTCAGCTGAATCAACTTGAAGGCAGATCGAGACCTGTAACCTGATTGAGAAGAAAAGTCACAAATATGTCAAGACTGCAATGCAAACAAACACAAACATACCACAGCATTGAAAGGTCAGCAAAGCAATGATGTATTTCCAGAGCTCTTTGTTTTTTTGTTTCTTTTAAATATGCAATAACAGAAATATGAAACATATAGATCTATCCTTTACAAATTGATGTACTTGATCTGTTCAGAGCCAAAGATGAGAAAAAGAGTGGTTTCATATTTTGTTATCAATCGAGCCTCTGTAAACTGACCCAGATTACTTGCCAGCTAGCTTACACTTGCCAAGACCACAGTTGACCGGATGCCCATGCAGAGGAGTAAAGAAACTTCTAGATCCAATTTTTTAGACTTCCAAAAATAGCTAGACCAATGCATTATGAATACGGTTAACTTAGACAGAAATATTATCAGTAGAGGCGCTGGTCCCAGAATAAGGATCATCCGCACAAACGAGGATTGTTTCCTTAAACGCGGAGTCGCGGACAAACGTGTCCGCAAAAATAAGGATCGTCCGCATTGTCCATGTATTTTTTGTGCGGACGATCCTCATTATATTCTCAGACTAGCGCCCCTAATTATTTTATTACATTTTATTAGTCAACATATAATTTGAACAACCAGATATTATTTTACAACTCACTTCACCATGTCCATCATCCATATAAAAAAAAAGTGGCACTGACTCTGACTGATAGTGATATTTACTATCACATTCACATCTTCACAATTCACAAAACTAAAAGAGTAAAGTCACACTAAAAGTAAAACAACATGAACCCCAAAATGCGTTATTATTGATTCATTTGATTGACAAACCTGTTTCTTTGGCAAGATGATAATATCTGTCCTTCCTCTGCTTTCCAATTTTCGCTTTCTTCCCCATTTTGATAGCGAATTAGCCCCGCGAAATAGAAAATTGTCTACTTCGCCAATGACTTGTAGACTGATGGACGACAGCAATTGCAATGGTACGGTAGCTACCAGCGAAGTCTGAGTCTAATCTTGGCCGAAACCTTGGGCACTGCAGAAGCTCAGTGCTCGAACACGTAGATCACATGCGGGTTTGTGCAGTTTAAAAGGACGGTAATGGTACTTCAATGTCGCCCAACATTCAACTCAGCATAATTTCGTCTCGATCTCGTTTAAAGCTTGCCTGTCTCAAATAAATTTGTATAGACTCTAGATCTAGCAATAATAATAATATATTTGTATACCGCAAATTTCATATTGCCTCTGAGTGATTAAGAAGGAAAATACTTGATAAGTAAAGGATATACGTAAAGGTATACTGAATTTGCATTACAGATTAGCCCTAGACTACATCAATTATTCAATTACCATTAAAACTTTGCAAATGAAAATAAAAATAATTATAAAGCATGCAGGGAGCTAGAGCAGAATCCTCTTCAGTTATTATATCTGTGACAGTGATATATAACCAACTTTTTAACATAGTTACAATGAGTTATAATATCTCACTGCACATTTATCATATGGTTTTGTTCTAATTCTTCAGTTTTGAGACTTGGCTTTTTGCCCCTTCCAGTGAGTATACATAGATCGATGTGCACTACTGATCTGTATCATCTGTATGATCCGTGGTGAGCACTTATTATGATTGTTAAGGAAAAAAATGATCCACAGATCGAGCTGATCGGGATTATTTTATAGCAACAAAAAAAATAGAAAAAAATAACAACTTATAGTCCATCATGATAAAGATAAACCTGATGATTATGGGTTGAATTTTAAGATGGTTTTTAAGTTTCATGATCACTGTTTCAAGCAACCTAAATCTTCCTTATTGTCAATAAAAGTCATGATCATTGAAACAAACATAACATTTAAAGATATTGTTCAACCAAACTGAGGACCTCACCTTATAGGAGGATCCAGAGCCATTTTAATAATGGCTCTGCCATTCCAGCCGTTTTTTCAATTCTTGATTTGTATTGTATTCTTGTATGTATTTGAATTTTTATACAGAAAATAAAACCAACCAACCAAAAGAAGCCTCACAGCCATGCCATGTCGAAGGGTACAACGTACAAGACTAAAGTTACAGTGAGATATTCGGGAGATATTGTAAGTTTATTTATATTTATCCGGCGAAAAATACTGATAAGGCGAAATCAATGGTGTTGAGTTTATTTGGGCCGACTCTTTCAACATCTTCCATGCACAGCAGTTGCACGTGTGACTGTAGCTGCATATGGAACCTTGGCATGGAGCAGAACATGCGTACGAGCGCGCGGGATATACTAGCGCAAAGTTCCTTCGTGCTTATAATTTGATCAGCCACTCAGGCAGGTATTGAAATGAGTTCGTTTTATGCGCTATTATATCACTCCTGTGAGAGCGCGCGCAATGCATTCATTCAACATATGCAATGGTGGCCATTCTTGAGGAGAGGTAAGTAGACCAACATATTGCTGCCTGAAAATCGCCAAAATAATGTTGTCTTTACGAATTTAATGTTATGAATAAGTAATTAATATCTTAAACTATCATGTTGGATGCTTGATTTCAATATTCTCTTCTCGGCCCTCTCTGTAAAAGTGAAATTATGAATGTCTAGCTTGACGAGCGTGAGTGAGGATTGCAGGAATGGCTCGATTGACTGTGTGATCTGCAATGCAAAATCATTGTGACTGTGAATTGTGTTGGAGCAATTTGTAACTTGGATTTTTAATCAATCCTACCTGCCAACGTCATTGGACTGTATTTGAATATATTTTACCTTATGTTCTATGCTTTGTGTAAGGCAAATGCCAAAGCTGTCGATAGCATAATTTATTCCCCTGTGCCTGCCGATGCGACGCCAGGGCGATGACCGTGTTGCATGATTGACATGTTTGTGTTTTGTGCATGGGTTAAGTTATATTGAGAGCCCATTTTGTACCCCTTTTCATGCAAACAACCATAGCCACAGGGTTTGTTTTGTGGGTTTGTGTGGAAAGTGTTCTTTAAAGTAGACTATGCAAAATAGCGGGTCATTTTAAAGTCCACTTACAGAAAGGGCGATGTTACTCAATCCTCAATTTCATTATTCACTCAGTTTTCATTTTCTCCTCTCCCTTCCCCCCCCCCCCCCCTCTCTCTCTCTCTCTCTCTCTCTCTCTTTCTCTCTTTGCTTTTCAACGATAGATTACAAATGTGGGTCCTACATTATTCATAATTCCCTTCTTCATATGCTTTGCATCATATTGTCTATTAAACCAAGTCAAAAGTTCATTAATGGATTCTCTCCTTGTTTTTGTTTTTTTCCAGATAAATCTGTACTCCACCAATCAGTGTCAAATATTTTCAACGAAGCTGGTAGAAAGTGAATAGCATCCAGGATGGCATCGCGATTCTTCGCAGGAGGATCATCGACGGAAAGTGATTCGGAATCCAGTGACGACGGGATCCTAGTCCCACAGAAGCAGGCCCCCTTGACTCGTTTCTTTCTGAGTGACGATGAAGAGGAGACCAAGCGTGTTGTGCGCAGTGCAAAGTCAAAAAGGTAGGCTGCATTTTTCTGGGGGGGGGGGGAATAATTTGCATGAATAGGCATGCAAGGATAAAACCTTTGAAAGAAGATTTAATTCTTTTATTCTGAATAGGTATTATTAAAGATGTTGACTTGTGCACATAAAACATTGATCAATAGAGAATGAGGTCACATTGAAAAGCTCAAAATGCAATTTCCCACAAAGTGTTTTATGTTCACATTATATCATTTTATGATCCTTTCATGATAAAAAAAAAATCTTGTTGTTTCCCAGAGTCAAGTTTGACACGAAATATACTCTGCTATCTTGTTTATTGACTTTTGGGCATTACGAGCCAGCAACTGACACATCTTGCCAACAGAGGAGTCTTAAATTATGTTTATTCCAGTTTTCAGGCTTTTGCCTTATTTGCAGCACTGCCGCCTCTCTTTTTCAAGTGATGTATTGTACAAAGTAATGGGCTCCTACATGACTTGGATGATTCTTTTCCGTAAATTTGTGGCTGAAAATTAAACCTTCGGTCCTGGCTCGATCTAGTCACTGATCCTTACTTGATCTAGTCACTGATCTTTGATCCTAACTTGATCTAGTCACTGATCTTTGATCCTAACTTGATCTAGTCACTGATCCTTAATTGATCTAGTCACTGATCATTGATCCTTACTTGATCTAGTCACTGATCCTTACTTGTTCTAGTCACTGATCCTTACTTGATCTAGTCACTGATCCTTACTTGATCTAGTCATTGATCCTTACTTGATCTAGTCACTGATCCTTGCTTGTTTCCTTTGTAGACATGACGAGATATCGGAGTTCATCAAACAGATCAAAAATCAGAAGAAGATACGAGATGTCTCCCGGGTCCTGACCAGTTTTGAGGAGATGATGAAAGTGTATACCAAGGCTCAGAATGTGCTCAACACCGACGATGGCCAGTGCCCTCGGTTCTACATCCGTTGTCTTGTGGAACTGGAGGAATTCGTCAATGAAGTAAGTTGTGCAGAAAAATTGGTTTCCTGTTTGTTTGTTGTTGTTCTTTCCCCGATTATACCCCTGTTTTCCCTTTTTTCCCTCAATTTTCCTATTTTTTCAGAATTTTCTTACTCTAAAGTGGGGGGAATTTTGTTAAACGCCATTTTTCCCCCCCGAATTCTTTTTTTTTTTTTTAACTCAAGGGTGGTAGGTTGAGAAGGAAAAAGGTGCTCACTTTCACCCCTGGTTGTGCCGCCAAAACTACTTGGTGATTCAGCAGTCGTCTCTTATGATAGCAACTATTGTATCTGGGTGGTACACATTTTTACAGTAGTGATCCAACATGCTCAGGCAAAATTTGTTTCATGTTTTGTCCAAGATATGTTGTCACTGCTGGAGTTGTGATAGATGGTGACCACTGACCAGACATTTGTTCAAGCAGCAATTGCTCACAATAGTCTTTTTGGATTTAAAAATAACAAATTTTTTAATCTATATTGTAACTAATGATGTGACATATTTTTTCTCTGTTGTGTAACAAGGTTTTGTTATTCTTTTAACATTGCTCTTTGTCAGAAACTTCAAATCAAGACCAATGTATTAGACATAGTGCCAAAGAAACTTAACTCTGATACATGTAGATAGATCTCTTTTTTATTTTTGATGTTTGATGGTGATTGTTTTACCTTACTGCTTAAAAAAAAAGCATGTAAATGCTAATGAGTAAACAACCAGGGAACCGACAGCTTTAAGTCCTCTCCGAGGGAATTGGTAATGAGGATTAATGCCTTACCAAATGGCACGAGGGCAATCAGCACATTGACTTGGTTTTGAACTCAGGACCTCACTGTTTCAAGACCACTGTTCTACCATCGGGATTTCACCATAACTCGGCCACATTTCATGATGATGCAAAACAAACCATCTTTCGGCTGATCATCCATGATTAGTTCTCATGTTTCTGAAAATGTGGACTGAAGTCATTTAAAGTTGCTCAAGCATGGGTATATTGAAGGCAGCACACGGACGTACGCACAGGAGTGTAATACCCATTGGCCCAGTGTTATGTAGTGATCGCCAAGTTGCCTACTTCACGAATGACTCATACCCATGCATGAACATCTTTGAAGAATCTTAATATTAAAGAGAGATTACGAGCATCTTATCTGACTCTGATGTGACTTGGGTTGTGTTATTCTTTTTAATCACATTGCTCTTTGTTTGATATATCAAATTTTAGTTATGGGAAGACAAGAAGAAGCTGAATAAGGCAAATGCCAAGTCGCTCTCCTCGTTGAGACAGAAGCTCCGGAAATACATGAAGGAGCTCGACGCACAGATTACTAAATACAAAGATGTAAGTATTTCTTGCTAAATGAATTTAATGGTGATTATTTTACCTGACTGCTAAGAAAGCATAAATGCTTATACGTAAGCAACCAGACGGCCGACGGCTTTAGGTCCTCTCCAAGGGACCTGGTAATGAGGATTAATGCCTTACCAAAGGGCACGAGTCCATTGACTTGGTTTCGAACCCGGGTCAGCGAATTACAAGACCACTGCTCTACCGACTGAGCAATGAAAAGCATTCATGTAAATGTCTGAAGTACAACCATATGCACTCGTTGTGAAGATCTTCTTTATTTTACCGAGCTAAATTTTCTTTTGATAACCATAATTCATATTTCCGTGTGCGGATCATGCCGTTCCATTCAGTGAATAATGTTCATGTTATTCTATGTTTAGATGTACTCCAAGGAATGATTGGGATTTCACCATAACACAGACACATTTCATGATGATGCAAAACAAATCATCTTTGTTCTGACCATCTGTGATTAGTTATCTTGTTTCTGAAAATGTGGACTAAGTTCATTGAAAGAATCTTAACTATTAAAGACAGACTATGAGCATCTTACTTCAATATTTTATAAATCATAATGTACTCTTTCATGTGTAGATGTTATTCATGAATTTCTTGCTGCAAAAGATGAAGCCAAAATTACCAATTTGCAAAAGTTTTTGTGATAAAACTTCTGGATTTAAATTAGGTGATATATTATTTGTAATCCCATTGTAGGGACATGGTTACTTTGCTCCCATAGATAAAGGACTTAATAGCTGTTTATAAATGATAAGCACAAGGAATAACTTTAAAGATTTTATGATATTTGAACACTTTGAGGTACAAAATATAATGCTGGAGAAATACACCTGTAGACAACAAAAAGAGATCAAGACAAAATGTGATAGGAAGGATTCTTAAAGATAAACTTGAGTTCTGGTAAAAAAAAAAAAAATTAATTCCCACAGAATCAAACAAAACTTACACCGAATGTTCAAGATTACAAATAAATGTCATTTGCTAAACAATTTTGGTAGAAAATGTATACTTGGCTGAGAAATGAGCATAGAAAGAAAAGGAAATCAAGGTAAGTGGGCCTGAAACCATTTGTGTAGTCCCATATACATCTTTCTGTGTACAGTGCTTGTTACTTTACCAAGACTGGGCCAAATTTATCATGATTTTGATGACTCCAGAACCTTACAGTACACACCAATACTTACATGCTACGTGATCAACTTTTTCTGAACCATTCCACACCTTTTCTTTCGCAATGCAAATCGCGTGACCAGAACTCAACTTTGTCTTTAATGGCGGAATAAACTTATCTTGATAAAAATTTCATCTCGTCCTTTAGAACCCAGATGCAGAAGACAAGGAAGAGGAGGAGCGCGAAGTGGAGAAGAAAGAAGAAGAGAGCGATAGTGAAGAGGATGAACCTAAATCTGCTCCTGTCTTAAAGAAGGTCGCACCTCCAAAGGTCAAACAAGAAGGAGATTATGTAAGTACCAATCAATATGTCACTCTTCCCATAGATGTCTTGATTTTGATCACTGTTAAATGTTAAACGGTAATGGTCACCATTGTGGATTTGGTAGAAATAATAATAATAATACATGTAATCTGGATTTATATAGCGCTAAACACAGAATAAAGTCTCTAAGGGCTTTATAGATATTATTACCTTGGTCTTCTGATCCATTCACGCACAATGTGCACCATCTCCACTCCCTAAGGAGTATTCCTACCATATGGTCAGTTACTAACACAAATGCTTTCGTCATCCTACCGGGTCCTCATTTCTCTCTTCGGTATTGAGTGGCAAATGTAGATTAATGCCTTGCCAAAGGACACAAATATGTGTTCTTGGTGCGTGTAATTAGTCATATCAATTATCAGTTTTCTTTATTCAGCGTTGGAAGGGATAAGAGGATAGAATAAATGATAATTCTGGTCCAGTTATCTTTCAAAATCATGTCTTTTCCATTTAAAAACACTGTTGTCCCTTGGTAATTCTAAATGTATTTTTGTTGATTGTCAATTGGTGTACATGTACGTTGTGTGCCTGTGCCTTTCAGTGTTAGAGTTTCTTTCTTTTCATAACCTGTTATGTTTTTTAAATAATTTTAACAAATTGTTTGACATGGCTTTACATTCATGAAGAAAGAAGACATAGCTATATTTAGTCCAAAATTTAGCTTGAACATTAACCTTCTTTGGTAGGATTTTCCACTAAGATAACTAGTAACATGTTACCATTATGTTGACCTTGTTACAGGATGATGAGTCTGATGATAGTTGGGATGCATCCATGTCGGAGGATTCCAGCTCAGATGACGACGTACCAGGAATGACAACCCTCACAGCGGAGTACTTCTTGAAGAAGTAAGTGCTTTCCATCGCAGGACCCCAAAATATCCACAGATCTTTTACACAATGGATATGTCCCACTTGTGCATTTGAGATTTAACACTGCCGAAGTGATTGAGGTGCTTCATGAATACCTTTTGTTTGCCTCTTTGAGAAGAATACTTCCACCTGTGTATCAGACAAATATAGTGCAGTGTATAAATGAATACTGATTACATAACTTTCACGAGCACGATACTAGTAATGACCTTTGCGCAGATAGTATTTACGAACTGGCTTATTCTGATGCTCCAATGTCTCGACAGTAGCCATCTTTGATCAACTTGCATGTGGAATGAGCCAATGTGCTTTTTGTAGGAACATATTCAGAAGTTTTCGTAACTATACTATGTATCTGTGACAAAAGTCGACTGTGGCAGTTCAGTGTGTGTTCCATTAGTTGACCAAAGCAGGCAAAGAGTTAAATAACGCAATCATTATGTTGCCTTCTGTCTTTTATCTTTGCCTAGGACGACGACCGGGGATGACAGAGCCTCTAAGAAGAAGGAGCGTCGCAAGGACAGAGTGCGACCGAAAGATGAGGAAGCTTTGGAGGAGGAAGAAGAAAATGAAGACGGAGAAGGCAAATGGGAAAAGGTCAAAGGTGGCATCAAACTTGAGAAGGTCAGTTCAAGGTCACCTTCTGTGTTATATAAGCAGGTTGTGCAGTCATGGTCATTTCTTTGAACTAACGGCTGTTCTTGAATATGTATTTTTAAACAATTTACATCCCCCCAAACAGCCCTAAATGGATAGACGTTATCCTGTAATGATTCTTGATTTTCGTAGCGCCCTATTATTTAATGAATTAATGAAGTACTGTTTATATTGAGGTATTTTGTACCCCCCCCCCCCCCAGTTTCAAGACCACTGTTCTACCATTAGGATTTTGCCATAACTCAGCCACATTTCATGATGATGCAAAACAAACCATCTTTCGGCTGATCATCTGTGATTAGTTCTCTTGTCTCTGAAAATGTGGACTGAAGTCATTCTTTTTAATCACATTGCTTCTTTGTTTGATTTGTCTGATTCTTGAATAAGTATTTTTATTTTTTCCTTTTCAGAATAATACATTACTGAATTATTTACCCCCCCCCCAAACAGCCCTAACTGGATACACATTATCCTGTAAAGATTATTAATTTTCGTAGCTCCCTATTTTTTCATGAGTTACTGTTTATATTGAGGTATTTTGTACCATCGCAACTAATAACAAGAAATGAAAAAACAATTTGAACACAGAGCTGTCTTAATTTTCTTTTATTGTGCTCTGCACTTGCACACTAGTTATTAAATAAGGCTAAAGGGAATGAAAATGATTTGGGAGGGCTATTCTTGAGGTGTTATTATTGAATATCTCTCTCTCATGCTTCTCTTTAAATATTCAATTCCATTTGGTTTATTTTTTGAAAATGTAGAAATAAAGTTTGAATATTAATCTACATCCTAACAGGAGAAGCCCAAAATGTTTGCCAAGGATGTGGAGATTACCCCTACCGTTGTCCTGAAGAAACTCGGCGAGATCGTCGGCGCTCGTGGTAAGAGGGCGACCAATCGTGCAGACCAGATTGAGCTGCTGAAGGAGCTGAGGAACATTGCCAGTCAGCACAACCTCGGACTGGGCGTCGACCTGAAGGTAGCCTTCCACGTCATGTCGGCCGTCTTTGATTACAATCCTAACGTGGCCACGTGCATGAAGCCTGCCATCTGGGAAATGTAAGAATTATTCATGTTTTTTTTAATCAATAATAGATCAACTACCCCCCCCCCCCCCCCCCTTTCGTGCCATGTCGGCTGCTTTTCTTTACAACCCTAACATAGCCACATGTATGAAATCTGATGATTGTTGAGGCCATTTTCAGGGCCGGGCAGGACTGGTGTGGGGGGGGGGGGGGGGGGGGGGGGGGGGGGGGTCTATTTTTTTAAAGATGTGCATGGCTACATATCAGTGAGTCTATATTCAAAGCTTCCAACCCATTTAGTATCGTAGATGAAAAATATTGATAAACAGAATTCAGTAAAATGTATTTATTGATTGCTATTTGAGAACTGCATTCTGTGAAAGAACCACTGTTATGATTGTTAGGTTTAGATTCCAAGCTTGGTGAAAATAGTAGTGAGTTAATGCCCTTCTTGCTCTGGGCAGGCTAGGTATACGCTTGAAGCATTCATAATCCAGCTACTGGTAATCAGCGCAAATCTAAGCCGTTTATATGTCTACACCTGTCCTAAGAAGGGGAGGAGGCAAGAAATTGGACCTGAAAGGTGGGAATTCAGACTCTTTTGCTCACCAAATATATGTTCTAAAGACGTTGAGAGACTGAACATTTTTTATGGGCATGCTTTCCTTGCAGGTGCTTGGCTCTTATGCAGGAGATGCTTGATATCCTGATGGCCAACCCAGATGTGTTTGTCTCTGAGAACTTGAATGAAGATGCTGAAAGCCTATCAGTAAGTATTGATTGATTGATTGATTGACGAATGAACAGGCATCAGTTGAATAAAAGTATGAACAGGGTTCAGTTGAATAAAAGTATGAAAAGGGTTCAGTTGAATGAAAGTATGAACAGGGTCCAGTTGAATGAGAGTATGGAAAGGGTTCAGTTGAATGAAAGTATGAACAGGGATCAGTTGAATGAGGGTATGAACAGGGTTCAGTTGAATGAGGGTATGAACAGGGTTCAGTTGAATGAAAGTATGAACAGGGTTCAGTTGAATGAAAGTATGAACAGGGTCCAGTTGAATGAGAGTATGAACAAGGTTCAGTTGAATGAAAGTATGAACAGGGATCAGTTGAATGAGGGTATGAACAGGGTTCAGTTGAATGAGGGTATGAACAGGGTTCAGTTGAATGAAAGTATGAACAGGGTCCAGTTGAATGAGAGTATGAACAAGGTCCAGTTGAATGAGAGTATGAACAAGGTTCAGTTGAATGAGGGTATGAACAGGGTTCAGTTGAATGAGGGTATGAACAGGGTTCAGTTGAATGAAAGTATGAACAGGGTTCAGTTGAATGAAAGTATGAACAGGGTTCAGTTGAATAAAAGTATGAACAGGGTTCAGTTGAATAAAAGTATGAACAGGGTTCAGTTGAATAAAAGTATGAACAGGGTTCAGTTGAATGAAAGTATGAAGTATGTTCAGTTGAATGAGAGTAGGAACAGGGTTCAGTTGAATAAAAGTATGAACAGGGTTCAGTTGAATGGAAGTATGAACAGGAATCGGTTGAATGCAATTGTGAAGAGGGTTCAATTGAATGTAAGTATGAACAGGAATCAGTTGAATGAAAGTATGAACAGGAATCAGTTGAATGAAAGTATGAACAGGGTTCAGTTGAATAGAAGTATAAATGTGCTCTTTATCTGTTTGATAGGCAGAAACCTCCAACAGGAATCTTGTAATGAGGTTACAATACACCAGTTTACAGTTGTGTGCGCCATTTTAAACAAAGCCAATGACCTAGAGGTCATGTATTTATGCGTAAATTAAGATTGCGCCCATGCAAATGTTGATGATATCACTGCCTACGCGCTGCGTTGTGCGCGCACATCATCATTTGCATGGGTGCAATCTTAATTTACGCATAAATACCAGAGGTCAGAGGTTATTGGCCCCAATTTTGGGGCCAATGACCCGAGGTCAACTGTCTGCGCATGCGCACTGATACAACTGTAAACTGGTGTATTCTGGTACTGGTTGTGATATTGATGATGGTGATGGTGTTGATGATGGTAATAGTGTTGATGATAGTGGTTGTGGTGACATCAATGGTTTATTTCAGTGGTGAAAGTGATGATGATGAAGGCAATGATGATCATATTGATAACGGTGATCGTATTGATAACGGTGATCGTATTTCAATGATCATACCCTATTTTGAAATTGGAAAAACGTTGCCCATCAGAGAAAGAGAGAAATTTCAGCAATTGGTGTTGATTATTCATCAGCCTGCCATGTCAGGCATGTTCTGCTTAGTTAACCTGTGAATGACTGACTGACAATAGCACTACAGATTTATTCAGTTGATACATATATGTTAACTATGAGATTTGTTCTTTCCCCAATCTAGGAGCCTCCGTACAAGGTCCGAGGTTGCATTCTGACGGTGGCTGAACGTCTAGACGAGGAATTCACCAAGATGCTTCAAGCAACGGACGCCCACTCTACAGAATATGTGGAAAGGTTAGACTATAATGGGGTGCATCAATGAGTGATTTACAACATGTTCAAACACTCAGCTCTTTTCTATGGCAAATATATATGTTGATATTAGAGGCTAAAGATGTTTATTGAAGCTTTAACTTGAAGCTTATTTTCAGTTCTGATAACGGAATTGCACTTTTAGGGAAACTAAACAATACATTACAGAACAATATGCTACAGTATAGGCATTTATATCATTCTCTTACAGTACCTGTATTACAGCACTTTACAAGTACTTTACATGAATGTACACCAGTACCTCATTAAGATATGAGCGGATACTACTACACGACTGTAAAATAAAAGTTCTTAATCATTAATCACAAGCAACCAACACTTACCTCAATTGATATAGTGCCTTGAGTAAGTTATTAGATGAGTGGGCTTTATAAGTATTATTATTATTATTATTTTATTCTACCAAGGTTCTGTGATAGGTATCATTCAGCACTTGTTTGATAAATGGTCTTTCTATCATTACCGGAACTCTCTATATTCTTTAAATGTATGCTTCAACATTTTTCAAAAATTCTTCTTTTCCATCATTTGGTGCATTTCTCAAACATACAGTACAGTTTTTAGAGAAAAGCAGAAGATGTTTGATCTTATCCATTGAATTGCATTGATTTTCTTGCCATAGACTATAATATTTTTAAAAATTGTTCTTTCAATAAGTTTAGATCTGTTTGCAACAAAACCGATTGTGTTGTCTGTCTTACAGGTTGAAGGATGAGACAATTGTGACAGGCCTCATCGTGCAACTGCAGTCCCATCTTGAGAATACGAGTACATCCTCCGAGATCTGCAGGGTTTACCTGAGGAACATCCAACATATCTACTACAAGGTCAGTCAGTCAACGTTCTTAGAATGGTTTCAATTCAATACCAAAGTCCGAAATATAAGTAATCTACTTTTGGCTTTGACAAAATTCTTAATAGCATGGAAAGTCAATTCCATATGTTATTTCTGTATTCCACATGAAATTTGAAAAGATTTTGAGGCATCTTCCGTTCAGTGAATAATGTTCATGGTATTCTATGTACATGAATATGAATTGGCTAAGGTATCGTACTTCAAGAATCAAATAATGATTGGGATATCGCCATAACTCAGCCACATTTCATGATGATGCAAAACAAACCATCTTTCAACTGATCATCCATGATTAGTAGTACTCTTGTTTCTGAAAATGTGGACTGAAGTCATTTAAAGAAGCATCTAAAATCACAGTACATAAGTTTGAAATATTGAAGGGGAAAAAAAAATCATATAGTCATTTTGAAATTTCTGGATGAAGCATGAAATGTATCGTATCTTTGTGTGGTCAGCTCAGCTCCTAATGCAAGTAGTCACGTGGTGTTGAATATTATGTGGTTATCTTTTAGTACGACTATGAGAAGCTACGTGAACTGGAAAAGTCGCGTGCCAAGACGGAAGAAGAGAGTCAGGAAAAGACGGATGAGAGCAAGGAAAAGACAGATGAGATCCAAGAAAAGACGGAGGGAGAGGGCCAGGAAAAGACGGATGAAAGCCAGGAGAAGACGAAAGGAGAGAGCCAGGAAAAGACAGATGAGAGTGAGGGAGAAAAGAAGAAGGAAGAAGAGAAACCAACAGAAGAGGTCAAACTAGAAGAAGGAGAAGAAGAAAAAGAGAAGGGAAAGGGAGGTAAGAATTTGATTAAAGCAAATGAATAATTGTTTGTTTGTTTGTTTTTGTTTCAGGGCTTGAATTAATCCAAGGCCACCAAGGCCATGGCCGTGGATGCCCTTTTGATTGGCCTCAATGCCCCTCTCATTGGCCTTGGGAAATTTTTTGTGCCCTTTCCAATTCTTCCTATTTGTGCTGTAATATAGAGATGTTCCCTACAGAAAAATGGCCTTGCCCTAAAAATATTGAAATTTAAGGCCTGTTTGATTATATTTCTGCATTTTTCAACATAATACAAAGTAGTATACAAACTAGGTACATATATATTATAAAAAGTAAAAAAAAACACAACATAATATAATCATATGATGTAAATCCATTAAATAATTATAAAATGCATAGTTGACAAATCATTTCAGAATTGAAAAAAATGCAGGAGACCATCATTTTAAGCTAGAGCTTTAACCTGATGACAGCCTCAGGAAAGGATTCTATATGGGAGAGTATCAAGGGAAACACAAAAAGTGGTCTTTGTAGACAGATTTTTTTAGTGCATGTTTCAATGAGAAACCATTTTCAAGGGAAACAAAAAATGTGGTCCCCATAGACAGGTGGTCACTAAAGCAGATTTGACTGTATTTTCATTTGGAATCTGTCTGTTTCTGTGTATAATAGAAGAGGACTCTCTGACGTTGATGGACAGGATGTGCAAGTACATCTACTCCAAGGACACCACCGATCTGATCCGTACCAGGACGATGCTGTGTCACATCTACCATTACGCTATCCATGACCGTTGGTACACTGCCAGGGATCTCATGCTCATGTCTCATCTACAGCAGACCATCCAGTTCTCTGATATCCCCACTCAGGTAAGCACACTACTGTCAAACTCTTGGTTCCAATAAGCCAATTCATAGTTGCAGTCTGAGCATGAGCAGTTTAAATTCATGGCCCTATATCATAATCATCAGGTGTTCACTACATCCACTACATCAGATGCAAATGATTGAGGAGATACAACTGATCTTTGAACCTGTAACGGATCAATAAGCCAGTTCATAGTTGCAGTCTGAGCATAAGCAGATAAAGGTCATTGCAGACCAAATTGTCAAATACACGGAGACAAAATACTGGATACGTGCTCATGAAAGTAATGTAATCATTATTCATTTATGCACAAGTAGTGCACTCCATGATACAAAGGTGGAAGTATTCTTTGAAAGGGGGAAACAAAGGCTATTTATGTAGCACCTCCATTGCTGTAAGAGTGATAATTTCAAAATGTACTAAGTGGGACCTCTTCATGTTTTGATATTCGGGGTCATTGAGACATGTGCTAACCGTGTACTGGTCTATTAGAAACGACACCATTCAATTTTGGGGAAGGATTTGCCAACCACTGCATGGAGGTGGTGAAACAACTTTTTTGCAAAGTAATTGGGGCAAGATCTTTGACAGGTACTGTGATGTCATGTCATGACTTGATGCTCTTGTAAAATTAAAAGCGAATACTAAAGCTTAATGTGAAAGGTCCCATTTGTTTTCTTCCTTTCAGATTTTGTACAACCGTACCATGGTTCAGCTTGGTCTGTGTGCATTCCGTCATGGTAACATCCGGGATGCCCACAATGCATTGCTTGATATCCAGAGCGGAGGACGAGCCAAGGAACTTCTAGCTCAGGTAAGATGAGGTCCAAACCCTCTTCTGTTCTGCAGGGAATAATGATTTGTAAGATGTCATTTTTATAAAGAAACTTTCATTGGTTGGGGTATTCATAACATGTAAAATCAGCATCTTCCAACCTTTAAGTGACTCTGTAACATTGCCTCAGATTCTGAAACAAAATCCTTGATTTAGCTCATGCTGTAATCATAATTATAAACCTTAAGATCACTCAGGAATCCCCTGACTTTCTTACAAGTCTATTGCCTGTCTAATTTTCAAGATGTTTATGATTATAAATCAAAATTTCATTTTTCGTTTTCCCAACAGATTTTATTACACTACAGTCTATTGGGGAAAATGAGTATGGTAAAACCGGTCTCTCAAAGATTTTTACTTTTTTGAGGCACTTCATGATCATTTTAAAGCGCAATTTGTTAGGGCTTCAATATTACACCATATCACAGACACTAAAAACATGCAGGGCCATGCATCTCAGATTTAACATATTTAAACGATGCTTTTAGTAAGGTTTGTAGAAGCTGAAACTACGTAATGATGAATTTTGCAACGGAGCAGTTATCATATTTCATCTTCTTTTATATTCTCCCTCGTATTAATCCGATGCAGGGTCTCCTAATGAGGCAACAGGAGCGGGACGCCCAGCAGGAGAAGATAGAGAAGAGTCGTCAGCTGCCGTTCCACATGCACATCAACCTGGAGCTACTGGAGTGTGTCTACTTGGTCTCTGCTATGCTGCTTGAGATCCCCTACATGGCATGTGAGTCCAGCAAGACTTGAGATTTCTCATTTCATATGCTAATTTCATCCCTTTTTAATTTTATTCGAAATGATTAAAAAATTATAGTACCATTTATAAAAAAAAATATTGTAGATGATTGAGTAAATAGGCCCTGAAGTCATCCCATATCCCCCCAAAGAATTCTCATAGTTTCTTAGAAATCTGAAGAGAATTCTATTAGAACTGATTCAGTTACTAGTCTACTGGTTTTACTGTGAAAGGCGAGGAAAGGGGAGTTGCAGAATGATGTACATTTTTGTAATTGTTGACGGGCTGATTGTCGTTTTGACATATATCAGCTACGTGGATTTTACCTTGTCATAGTTACACTGACTGCAATCTCCCCATTATGTAGATCATTATCTCGTACCGAAATTCCATATTATTCAATTTTCAAACATTCTGCTACCGTTTTGTTATTGTTCACCACGGAAAGCTTCTTTGAGATTTTTAAATGAGACATTCTGATACAAGTCATGCAGTTGCTTTGGAACGACATATGGCTATCGCAAATCTGGCTTCATTCTTGACTGGTATTTGGACACTGGATCGGTACATTTGATCGTAAAACCATTTTTTCTTCTTCCGCTTTTGAATTTCCAGCCCACCACTTTGACATCCGTCGTCGCATGATCAGCAAGAGTTTCCACCACCAGCTGCGTCTGAGCGAGCGCCAGACCCTGATAGGACCCCCGGAGAGCATGCGTGAGCACGTGGTGGCGGCCTCCAGGGCCATGCGCTACGGTGACTGGCGAGGCTGCAAGAAGTTCCTCATCAACGAGAAGATGAACATGAAGGTCTGGAACCTGTTCAAGGACTCAGACCACGTCAGGAAACTCATCACCAGGTAAGACCAGGCCCACAGTATTCCTCGTTTTCTGGACCCTTTTCTCAAATTCTATCGCCACTTGTGTTTTCGCAGTCTCTATCAGTATCTGTCCCGCCCAAAAAATGTGAGATATCGCTTGATAAGCTCAAACTTTCTATAAAAAAAGTAAATTAGTAAATGATTTATTTTTTTGAAGAAAATAAAACGACAAACAGCAATAATTATGATAATAGAAGTGGCATATTACCCCTAAAGAATTCTCATAGTTTCTTAGAAAACTGTAGAGAATTTTATTTAAACTGTTTTTGTTTGTTTTTAGTATTTAAACTTGTGATTCAGTTATTAGTCTGCTGGTTTTACTGTGTTAGGCAAGGAAAGGGGAGATGCAGAATGATGTTAATTTTTGTTCTTGTTGACGGGCTGATTGTCGTTTTGACATACATCAGCTACATGGATTTTATCTTGTCATAGTTACACTGACTGCAATCTCCCCATTATGTATATCATTATCTCTTTACCGAAATTCAATTTTATTCAACTTTCAACCATTCTGCTATCGTTTTGGTATTGTTTTCGTCACGGAAAGCTTTGAGATTTTTGAATGAAAATTAGTCCATAATTTAATTTAATTTAATGTACTCGTAATACCCCAGGTAGTTTATATGTCATCTAGAGCTGCCAACCATTACGTTTTTCCCAGATTTTTGTTAATAGCCATCATGGTTTCTTTTTGGGGGTTGCACAAGGTTAGCAGCTCTGCCATTGTCCTTGACCAGTAAATCATGTGTTTGTTTGTGTTTGTTTGTCTCCTAACAGGAAGATACAGGAGGAGAGCTTGAGGACCTACCTCTTCACCTACGGCAGTGTGTACGATGCCTTGAGGTACAGACATCTTATTTTATTCACCTGTGCCTTGTCTTACAAACAGTTGCGATTGATCCAAATTAATTGCAAGTCCTCTAATCAATCACAAGTTTGCTTACTGTGGAGCCTTGCCACATGAATAAAATACTGGCTCATCTAAACACGTTTATCTGATGAAAATAATTGAATGTTAACAAATGTAGATACCAATTGACATGAAAGAAAACCCCATAACCATTGGCAAGCTACATGTATGTAAATACACAATGGGTTATTAATTGATCGTTGTACCCCTCTGTACACATCACTTCCTGTTTGCACACTGACGATGCCAACTGCATTTTTATTTTTAATCCTTTCACCGGCGGTTTATCAAACATTTTTTAGATTGTCTGTTGTGACTTTTTCATGCCCATTCAATTATGATTTGAAAACTGTCCGATAAATATTTGTTTTAAGAAACAGATATTTAATCACTTGGTGTCAATGACAAATGTTAGCTTATAGATAACGCAATGAGTTTTATTTATTTATTAATTTATTACACATTTTTAAAAAGAAGGGTAGCCCAATCAGCAAATAAATACTGATTTTCGTTGAGGCCCTTCATAACACAAACAGGTATATACATTTCAACAAATTAAATTGTAAATAAATATAAAAAAATTACAAAATACGACTTTTAAAAATTGCAAACCAGTTTATCATCAGAGTGTGTTATTTTTATTATCTTGTTTGTTCTCTACAGCTTGATTACTCTGTCTGACATGTTTGAGTTGGAGAAGACAGCAGTACACAGCATCGTCAGCAAGATGATCATCAATGAAGAACTCATGGTAAGATATCCTCTGATTTTCTTTTTGTGCTGTGATATAGCTAGCTTTAATATTACGGGCAGCTAACCCAAATGAACAGATAAAAACTCAACTCATGCCTAATGCAAGGCATATAATGTACCCAAACATCCAAATTAGAAGATGATGGTGGAGACTGGAGGGATGATGGTATTGAAATATTATGATTATGATATTATGAGTTCTAATGGTTACAGATCTTTATTTCTGCTGTATAGATCCTTGAATCACTTACCATAATAGTATATCTGTAAAGCGCTTAAGAGACATCCAAGATGTATTAAGCGCTATATAAAGCAGAATTATTATTATTATTACCACCTTGTGTTGGTCACATACGCAGAGATGCCAACCCTCCCGATTTTATCGGGAGGCTCCCGATAATTCACCCCAACTCCCGACCTTACGATCACCATCCTTATCCTCCCGATTTATAAAAAAAAAAAAAAAAAAAAAAATGATTTTTTTTTTTTTTTTTTTTTTTTTTTTTTTTTTATTATGATTTTTTTTGGAGGGCGCTTATCAGTATATATATCTGTGAATTGAAAGAGAAATATCATCTGCTAACTTAAGCATGTAATAATTCCACTATGTTAAAAGACAAATTAAGAGTAGCGAAAGATTGTTTCAGCATATGGATCGCCGTAACCAATGCGTGGATATTGCCACAGAATCCAAATGGCGGAAAATCAGCAAAATAAGACCAGGAAATGGTCTCGGAAGTATAAGACCGAATACAGTATCAAGTACCTGTGTAATCGGAAGTCTGAAAGTAATTCATCATGCATTTTGTACAATTTTTATGTTATTTAAAAAAAAAGGGGGAATTATTTAACTAAATACACATGTAAAATGCTCCAAAATAAGGCTCAGATTGCACCAGAGAGCATCTAGAACCCCAGAGCTTCCAGGGCCCTAAGGCGGGCCCTGGACCCCGGCCGCATGTGTCGGGCGCTACGCGCTCGAGATGTGCGCTACGCGCACATTAATTGGTGTCGATTACAAATCCTCCCTATTTCTGATTTCCAAAAGTTGGCATCTCTGCATACGATAACATCGATACCATGTATGTTTATGTTTTGACCAGGCCTCATGGGATGAGCCAGCTGCTACCATCGTGATGCACCGCTGTGAACCAACCCGTCTCCAGCACCTCTCGCTCCGTCTAGCCGACAAGGTCTCCAACCTGGTCGAGAACAACGAGCGTCTCATCGACGCCCGCATGGGCGACAGCCGCTTCAAGGGTCGCGACTTCAACAAGGACGGCAACCGACGAGAAGGCGGCTACAAGGACGGTGGCCGCGGTGGCTACAGGGGAGGAGGCAGGGACAACCGCTACCACGGAGACAATCAGGGAGGCAACCGCTACCGAGACGGAGGTGGTAGGAGGGGTGGTTACAACCGAGACGGCGGCGGCGGCGGTAGGAGGGGCGGCTATAACAGAGACGGTGGTGGAAGAGACAACTACAACCGGGATGGCCAGAGCGGTGGATACAGGGGTGGATACCGGGGCGGGTACAACCGCGGAGGTGGATATCAAGATCGAGGAGGTAAGAGAAGTCTTTGATTGGATAATCTGACATTTTGCTCCAAGATTTGTTTATTCATAAGTAAAAGTTTGGGATTAATGTTGCCTTGGCATTTAAATACCGTCTGTACTAGTTTGGTCAGGGGGATTAGACCTCCCTGCAAGGTCACTGACAGGTGGTTATCTTATCAAATCAGCTCTCAATTAACATAAGAAAAAGAGAAGATCATGGGGGACCAACAGGCACTGATTAGGCATTGTTTGCTATATAGTGGGCGCAAGTAGCTATAAGTAGTGTAGTGGGGCTTTAAGCTTAAGGTTAGGTTAGGAAGGATAAAGTTAGCAATTCTTTTAGTTTAGATGATTGACCATGGAGCAATTGTTGCCAGAGCATATGTAGTAGAACTAGTTGGTAACTTGAATTGAATTATTGGTAACCATGTAATTTAAAAAGTGTTGATTGTATATATTCATTCTACCATCTAGCCATGATATCATTTTATGAATGAGTACTGTATCGTATTTTGGCCTGTGTCACACATGACCATGTCACACATCTCAGGATGACATACCCTGAAGTAGGCGATTGCATGCAGAAGTTGGGTTTTAAGATGTGATGAAATATTTGTCAAAAGCGAATGAAAAGTTACTCATCATGTATTTTCTTTTTTTTTCTTTTTGTATCTACAGGTCGAGGAAGAAATCGTGACCAGGGGCGGAACTACTAGGCTAGTTTAATGACGTCTGTCAGTAACAGGATCTTCTAAATCTCCTATGATTCCATCTGTCTGTAGCATTGGAATTCTATTATATATTTAATAACAAGATTCCATTTATCTAACTAGTGAAAATAAGAGCATACATGTATGGTGCTTATTAATTGCACAATTGTTATTTCAGACATCATCATCTTTCCATCATTAGATATTCAATTGAAAGATTTCTGTAAAATGCTCGTTTGTGTTTAAGATGGGCATTCTATTTCCGTTTTATTTTCTGAGATTGTTGCCTATGTATGATGTCACCATCATGAAATACATCTATTAATAAAGACTAATAATGAAAGTGTTAGTCTGTTATAATGATACGAGCCTCACACCCAATAAAAAAATTGTGTACTCTTAACCTTTCATAAAGTTGTATCGTCAGTATAAATCCCGTATATGGTTATTTGGAACTCAACAGTTTCAGTAATGGTAATGCCTCGTCCCAATGTTGGCTTGACTCTTAATTTCACAACTTAAGGTGAACTTTAATCCCTTCAATTGCCATGGTTGGCATAGGCTATCGAAAAACTCAAGTTTTTAATGATGTCTTTGTACAACGAAGGTCCACATGTTTCTTCCAGAAACGGAACAATTCGTCGCTGTTTTCACGAAGTGACGGTAGTGAAAAAAAAATTGCATTCACTTTGCGTTACGATTTTCCTCACTACCGTCACTTCGTGAAAACAAGGACGAATTACTTCTTCCATTAAAACTTCAGATGTTATATGCTTAAGTTATCAATAGGAACAGGCATTTCGAGACAAATTTTCAAATCAAAGTTAATTTATGACAATTGTACAGAAACTCTCTCACCAAGAAGGGGTCAATACTTGGTTTTTCCTCTATATTTTATTCCCGTAAGTTTCCTTTTTTTAGCCTGTAGTGAAATGCATGAAAGTTTGTCAGCTACCAAGATGTATTTATTGGTAAATTTAGCTCATTTTGGGATTTATTGAAATTCTGATCATGTTTCAACGATACATTATTATTATTTCCTTCTTCTTTGTCTCTCAGTCTTCTGTGGTCTCAATTTATTCGAAACAAATTGAGGAGTTAATTGAATCTGTATTGAATTAAAATAAATTACAGAAGAGAAATTCAACTTTGCAATTTCGTTTTTGTCAGTTTTGTGTAGGTTTATTTTGATAGAAGTACATAATGGTATGATATCTTTATGTGTTTGTCAGAGCACTATCTAACATAGTGGAACAGTAATGTTAAAAGTAAATCCAGAAGTCAACCAAAATTTTCATGAAACTAAATTCCATTAACTGGATGGATTGAGTAAGAGTAAAATTGATGAACAAGTGAGTGAGCTTGCCTACAAGTGAGTATTGCACCTTCTTTCGCATTATTAAACATGATGAAAATGAGAAGTAATTGGACTGAATTTAGTGACCCCCAAAACAAGTATTTGCATTTTTTTTGTCACCAAGTACTAAAAGTGAAACACAGGTTTACTAATAGTATTTAAAAAATGGTTTATTTTTTGTGAAAATATACATTACCATGGAACCATGGAAAGTGGGTGCAGGTTTTAGGGGTAGCAAACTTGTAGTGCAGAGAAAAAGTGAGAGAAAAGGAAAAAAGGAAATTGTACAGCTATGAGGTAGAGAGAAATCGGTACACTTGGATAATACTGTACTAGAGAGGGTAGGAGTGAGAGAGAAAGACAAGGAGCAGAGGACAGGAGAGAGATGGGGAATGAAAAGGGGAGAAATACAAAGATAGAGATGCAGACATAAAGGTGTTTAAAGAGAGGGGAGGGGTCCATTCACACATGACTTTGTAAACCAGTTCGTTTTGTAAATGATGATTGAGAATGTAACTATACACAGCAAAGGACCTATGTGTAGCAGTCTGTTATAGATGCAACACACTTATCTTACGACTCGACAAATCCATACTACCATTCGGTCGATCACTCAAAGAAAGACAACAACCAGATCTGGATCATTAGTGTTACACAGCATGTCACATTGTTTTAATATTGAAGCATAACACAGGCCGATTGATTCATTAAACATGACATCTTTATCATTCTAACATTATTTACACAAAAGACATTATAACATAGTTACACTTGCGCTTCTTTGCTTTAATACACATACAGGCTAACTTTGTTAAGAGATTTACATGGATATATGCAAATAGATACAATTCTTTATCTTTTTACCCCATAGATTTTCTGATGTAGACATTCCTTGTGTCTACTACATGTATATTCAAGATCTTTAAAAAAAAAAAAAATTAATCTGCACCACTTTCAACTAAGCGTTATAGTTGATATAGAGTAACCTTTTTCAGTTAAATCATGAAAAATGTGAATTTTAATAAACTATTAGTATACAAATCAATGACTATGAATATACAATATTCAGAAAATAGTATCAATTCTTCAAAGTTCATAAAAGATTTTGTGAAATGTCATGCATGCAATATGACACAAATCATATAACCTGGGCAAAGGGATGGGGAAATCAAGTTTTGGGGAATAAAAGGGAAATCAATGGGATAAAAATATATAAAGGATTGATAAATAGTGAAGGCAATGACGTCACAAACTGATAACCAACTTTTTTTTCTTCACATGTGGGACATTAAGTGAATTGAGAATTCTTTGACTGCCCCCCCCCCCCCGTAAGACATCACTGCTCACCCCCCCCCCCCCCCCCCCCCCTTTCCCCATTCAAGATATACATGAAGCTCTTTCCTATGGAACAGGAACATAAAAAGCAATCGATGCAAAGGAAAACCCTACATCGCCTCTTCACCTACCTGAAAAAAACAAGGCAATTAGATGTTTAGATTTGCAGAAATATGTACATCTCGGAACAATCATGATTACTAGTTAATTAATTTCTACTGTTTGCGTGACATTTATAGTTACTCTGAATGGCTCGATAGTAGCACAGTGCGTCGACAAGGGTTCCACAAAGGAAGGTGTGGCTTATAGTTCCTATCGCTTGATATATTTACGGTAGCAGTACAATTCTGTCAACTGTGACAATCTATACTAAAGGCCTTTGACACACTCGGAGCAACATGGAGCAGACTAGTAATAGCTCTGTCTCGATATTTACGAGAAAATGCTACGATGTGTTTGGTGAGCAAATGAGTTGTTAGCTTGGCCGTGAAGGTAAGAAAGTGAATACCAAGCAAATTTCAAAGCTACGCCTTCCAAGATACATGTAGTTGATTCTTGAAAGCTGTTTCCTAGTATAATAGTAAATGCACCACTGACAGACTTCCATGACAGTCAAGACAATTACAGGAATTTAACTTCAACAGCTTAGTTATACTGGCCTCAAAATATATCGGAGAGGACCTAAAGCTGTCGGTCCTCTGGTTGCTTACAAACAAGCATTTATGCTTTCTTAGCAGTCAGGTAAAATAACCACCGCTAAAAAAAAAATATATATAGCCTGTTATACATTATTTGATTTCATTCCTCACACTTATGTCTGCAGTTGACTTTGACAACACACCTAATTTGCTTCATGTTAATTACTTTTTGATTCATTACATCTTATTCTATATATTTGTTGAAGCAGCTTACTACATTTACACCAAATTTACATAAGACATGAAACATTTACATGTATGTATGTTAGTAAATTCCCATTTCCTTTTTTTTTTTTTTACATATCAGTTTATCATACAAATTGCAAATTCCCCACACGAACTCAATCACCGGAAATAACGGTTTGCGTTGAACGTTGAAGACATACATGCATCCCCATGAATTTCATGCTTCTGATAATAACCCCAAACATTATACTGCTTTATTAAAAAACAAACTATACCATCATATTTTTTCACCCAAATACTATATACTTGTATCTGAGATTAAACGCACTGATGTGTTTTTATTTCCTCCACTTGCAACATATTCATTTCTCAAAAATATACCGACATTGCAGTAACCAGATGATACATGTATTAAGATTCACAAACCTAATGCCTATATGGTATTTAATCTCAACATTCTGTAAAAGTTTACAGCTGATTAACTTATTGCATGAAAGCCACAAAGTTGATGGTGCAGTAAGCTACTCCTAAATCTACCAATCTCTAAGGTCGAACAGGGACAATGATATCACATTAACTATGGCATAATCATACTGTAATATTTATATTTAATTGTGTGCATGAAAAAAATATCCTCTGATTTTCTTTTTACAGCAATGATATCAAAACATAACATTATGATCGACAAAAAAAAGGGGATCCAGGGTACATTTTCCACAAGGTAAACATGAACATGGGGTCTGTGTTTCACGATATCTAATGAGGTTGCAAGTACTGACTGACACCTGAAATCAAATGTGAATTTACTGAAACGAAACAGATCTAGAAACAGATCTAGAACCAGATCTAGAAACAGATCTAGCAAGATATGTAGGACTAATGCAACTCTCTCTCACTCTCTGAAATACAAAAAAAATATACATGTATATGTTAATATAAATAAAAGCCCTCGTGATTAGTGTCCTTAAATATATCCAACTTATAAACTGCATGCACATTACTGTAATAACTACAACAGGTAGCAAGGCAACTTAATACCATGAAGGCAGATATGATAGCAAATATATCTATTGGTTTTTTTCATTCATTCGTCCACAGGAACAACACAGCAGGAATGGGATGGAAGTCAAAATTAAAAAATGTTCATGACTTTTGAAGTATAGGTTACAGCGCTCAATATATACGTTTCTAAGCGCTTTAAATTGTAATTTTCGTTATCCCGATCATTGGATTCATTTTCTATTCCGCACATGGTAATGCACACACTCCACTTCCTGGGGAGTATTCCAGCCAGGCGCCATTTTAAAAGCACACACATGCTAATCTAACCACAATGTCATTCCCATCCTACAGAGTCCCCATTTAACACTTGGGTGGAGAGAGGCAATGTAGATAAAAATGCCTTGCTTAAGAACACAAGTGCAGTGCCGGAGATTGAACCCACGACCTTTGCATCTCCCGACAAGTGTTTAAACCCCTTGACGACATCTCTACACACATTTTAATAATAAATTGTGTACTGATACACACTTCATTTCTACAATAAGTTTACATGGTAGAGTCAAATTCCTATACGATGACGATTTCATGCTGAATTACTAAACATAAGATTCAATCCTAGATAATGCCCACCTCATTATATTCATCAAAGATTCCAGCAACGCAATAAACCGGGATCATGAATGGTGTTGTCCATACCGTAAGAAACTCTGCTATCTTATAAGAGAAGATTTGGAAGCAGGCTGGTGTCGCACAAAGAAGATGAACGCAAGGTGTGTATTCCGCCATAAATATCTAACTGACTAACTTACAATATAGTTGCATCAATAACGCGACATCTGCACCTACGTGTATCCTTTCAATTAATCGGATCATACCATGGACTGTCCTGCACGTAATCTATACAATGGTATGCAAATAGTATGCTATTCGGGGGCGTGCACCCCCCTAAAAGACACAAATACACACATTTTCATAGTCGGCAATGGGTACAGACCATCGTAACTATATTGATAGGAGGGATGAGAGATATTCTTTGTGGAAACATGTACTACATTCATTCATTCACACATACATTACATTACACTAGCTCTAAAAGCTACTCTACAAGTCACAGACTACCTGTGTCTACAAATCGTTTCGGAGACCACTCTCCAATCCAATTTAGAATTCTGTGCTTTTTATACAGCAATTTGGTAACCATTCAATATTCAATATTACTTCATATATACATCGATTAACCAAGTGATACGTTGATCGGACAGAGCGTAATAATATCATCACATGACAAGGCTCCACTTTCACCGACGCAGAATTCACATGAAATTGCTGAGCTGCTGAATATGACCGTTAGATTTAATAATGATAGCGTTTGTCATTTCTTGTATTCACACTGTAAACTTTACATCAAGCCCCAATCACAGTTTAGGCTATGTGCTACACGAAACATCTTGTCCAAAATGTATTGGCTCTACAGTAGTTCTGCATAATAAAAATAAAGAGACTTTTGACTTGTAGACAGATGGACAATGCGAACCACAAGAGGGTGTCCTTCACAACGGACAGGTTCTAGTGACATAAAGATATACATATGAAATCAAAATGGTCGACTACAATAATGAGTGCAGCTCGTAATAGTTATATCATAGCATAATATAATAGTCCAAATAGTGTTGCCAATTTCGCACGCTTCGTAAACTCATTCACGTTAGATACATGATGCATAAGAAGCATAATTAAACGCACAAGCTACTCCTCTCCAAATACTAAATCCTCCTTCCTTCCTTACAGTCTCACTAATATCCTAAGAACCTCACTCATTGTTGACTGCATATGCTGAACAAATATTCCTGAATAGCAGTATTGCAACAAAAATAATTATCTTTTTTTTTTAAACACGCCTTAAAATTGTCTTCTTCAGCTCCTCCTCTCCAGTCCGGCATTGTCGATACGTCAACATGAATGTTAAGAGAGCATATATGGGTATGTGAAGCACTAGGTACCTTGTACATCAATTGTATGATCATCATAACTTCAATATTAGATTTCTTACTAATTAAGATCATTTGTGCATACCTCTAATCTGCTGAAATGTAGAACTAAAAAAAGAAAAAAAATGCTTTCTAAATGGTATTTTGTCCTAAACATGTGCTATGTTAGCTTTAACGAGCTAATGAGCGTTTATCAAATATTATAGTTGCTTCAACGTACTGTGCTTCAATATGATTACCATTCATGCGCCGACATACAACAGATGTTTTGTGATAAGGTCTTCCTGTATGCATTCCACCCTGACTGCCTAGTCACCCTGCTTGGTGGGTGGGTGGCTTGCTGGCTTGGCTATGCATTGCCTCATCATACAGGAGAGAGTAGGAAGGAGAAGAGGAGTGAAGGTGACGTAGTTGGTTACAGAGCATATCCAGGATAAACTGAGGTGGGAGAAGGGTTGCTTTATAACGACGCTCGGCCGGTCATCAACGGCATTCCCAGACCTTGATAGTTAGATCCACGCTGCCTGTTATCACGTACGGGGCCGACCGATGGAAATCTGCCAAGAAGAACAAATGCACAGTGTCATGTAATACCTTCTAGATAACACATCACCAGAACCTGCATCCTCATCTACAAAATAATACAATCTGTATAACAACCAGTTTGTGTTAAATTCAATTGGACCATTTACCTTATGACTACCAATGATTTTTTAATATGGTCTATGACATAGAATGCAAATCTTGACAGTGAAAACTTTTGCCCAAGTGATCTTGAAACTGTACTGCGCCCCAAGACAAAGTCAAGGGGCATAGCATCATCTCAAGATCACAGAGGAGATATAGTCTTAACCGTAATCCCCCCTCCCCAAAAGCAGTCAGTATTTGCGACATATACCACATATTGCTAGTGGATTCTCAAAAAGAGATATTTTGACAAATTATGCTTGTCAAAATATATCTGATTATAGGGAAATTTCCCAAATCTAATTGTTAACTTCATGCAGGTAGGACTATGCCTGCTAAACAATCAGTAGTGAATTTTATTGCCAGCATTTTTGGCCAATCAGAGGCCTAGAATCTTGATATGCCGTATACAATAAATCATTAATAGCTTACCTAGCGAAGTAGTGAAGTGCTCGTGGGCCAGCATTTTCTTTGCACAGCGTTTGTTCTTGTAGTCCCACACACGTAATGTCTTGTCATCGGCCACGCTGATGATGAACTTGCCGCCAGGGTGAAACACAGCTCCTCTCACCCAGTTATCGTGTCCAGTCTGTGCAGATGCAGAGGTAAAGGGAAAAGTGATGCAAAGAAAATGAATTCAAAATACAAACAATAAAATTATTAATTACTATAGCCTCAATATTTACCTCTATCTCCCTGTCTAAATTGGTCATTACTATAGCCTCAATGTTTTGGCTCTATCTCCTGTTTAAATTCATGGCCCTATATCATCATCACCATCAGGAGGGTGTTTCACAAAGATTCTTAGTTGAACTTATCTCTAAGTTGGACTTAAAAATTATGGAAAGCCGTTAGCATCTTTGAAAATATTTTGTAAAAGTTATTTTGAAAGGCATAAAATGTTGATTCAAATCATTCATATTTTCTATCATCAAGGAGATTTCATGTTCTTGATGTGGAATTTATAAAAAAAAGTCTAAAATACTTGAATTTCTGCTTTTGAATATATTTCATTTTAAGGCTCCAATGGCTGTCCATAATTTTTAAGTCCAACTTAGTGTTAAGTTCTACTTAGGATCTTTGTGAAACACCCCCCTGTTGTTCACTTCATCAGATGCAACTGATTGAGGAGATACAACTGATCTTTGAACTTGTAACGGATCAATTGTAATAAGTTTTGGGAATCAAAAACTATACAGACTTACTATAAAAGACTTGAATGCTTCTATGTTTTTCATTCAAACATCAATGATAATAATGTCCATATGAATTATTAACTTTATTTTATACTACCAAGAATGAAAAACAGTAAAACATGAGATACAAAGAAGACTTATACTTCATAAAGCTATCACTGAAAATTGGAAAACTTTTCTAAAGAGAAAGATTTGTCATAGAATAATTGTCTCACTGACAATTCTGGATGTTTTTCTGGCAGTTTGGACTTACCAAAGTCATGATGCATGCTCCAGCGCTCACATCCCAGATCTTAATGGCCTTATCACGGGAACCAGACACCAAGAACGGAGTAGAGCGAGCTCCTTTCTTCTGCAAATGTAACGATACATTCAGAAAATCAGTTTTAAAGGTATCGTTTAACAATGTTAAATCTAAGATGCATGGCCCTACGTGTTATCAGTGTCTGTGATATGGTGTAATATTGAAGCCCTAAAAAAAATGATCATGACGTGTCTCAAAAAAATTAAAATCTTTGAGTGACTGGTTTGACCATACTCATTTCCCCCAATAGACTGTAGTGTTATAAAAACTGTTAGGAAAAAGAAAAATGTAATTTCGATTTCCAATCATAAATATCTTGATAATAGGATTGACTTGTAAAAGTCACAGGAATCCTGACTGACCTAAAGGTTTGAAATTATGATTGCAGCATGAGCCAAATCCAGGATTTTGTTTCAGAATCTGAGGCAATGTTACTGAGTCACTTTAAGCTTAATGTACTACTGTAAAACGAAAGACTTTCAAGGCGAGACACTTTCACACATTGCAAAACCCCACTGCAGGTTGTAATGTACGGTATATTTTGCAGCATGACATTTCTGCAAGTCTGAACCGATTACAAAATTTGTGAACATTTCAGGCACACAAAAATTCTTGTTTTACACTCAATCCCATGCATATTAATGATGGATCAAAGACTAGAATCAGCCACTAAAATAAATGACAAAGTATATAATGGTACAAGCCTTATTGTGCATGATACTCAGAAGCACATTAATCATTGAACATGGTTCAACTGATGACTTTCTGCATCACAATCTATTCATGGGCCATCATTAATGATTTCAATATTATCTTTGTACAGAGAAGTAAGGAAAAAGTTAATAATAACTCAAAACTAAAGTGGAATTCTGTTATCTAAAGATAACACTGATTGTTGTACTTGTTATGACCAAAATGCAATTGAAATGTCACCACCAATAGAGGGCTTCTTACACAAAATAAATTAACCATACAAGACTTGGGAAGGAAATACATGGCATTGAACTATTTGTAAGGTATCCCACTTTCAAAATCTTGCAAAATTGAATTGAAGAGAAACCTATAAGCGTATTTATTATCTTGTATCAAAGCACTGATGATCACAATTTCTCTATCCACATAAAATAAAAAGGAACAAATGACTGCTTTAGGCCATCATACAAAACTGGGAATCACACAAACTAGGGTAAGCCTAATGAAAGCTTGGAGTAAAGGGTAGGGATGAAGAAAATAAAATTGATGACACAGGGTTGGGTTATTCAGCTCACAAGTAATAACAATGCAATCTATGTTGAAACTTGTTAATTACAAATAGCTATATCAATATGTTGTCTCACTAAACTGACTTAATACAAACTATAAGGGGAAAACTACACTGGCACTAGACCTAGCATCACTTCAAAACCAAAAGATAACTAAAAAATCTAAACGAAATACAAACTTTAAAATCCTAGTTTGAGTTATAACAAAATTGATTTTTGACACGGCTAGACAAGTAGGGTATTTACTTGACAGATATATGTTTTTTTAAAGAAATTTAAATCAGCTCATTCAGGATTAGAAACCATGCATGCATACAACCAAGCATGTATTTTGCAGGCACATTTCACACTTTTTATAACAGAGCCCTTTGTAAAATAAATCAGTCATTCATTTCATGATTCATCCTGTTATCATTCATTTCAATATGCACATGTCTCCATCGATTGTACAGCAACTGTGGCAGTTCCCTACACTAACTGGATTCTAACTTCAACCAAGGAGGCACGATAGCTCAGTCGGTAGAGCAGTGGTCTTGTAATCCGGTGACCCGGGTTAGAAACCAAGGCGATGCGCTAGTGCCCTTTGGTAAGGCATTAACCCTCATTACCAGGTCCCTCGGAGAGGACCTAAAGCCGTCGGCCGTCTGGTTGCTTACTTACAAGCATTTATGCTTTCTTAGCAGTCAGGTAAAATAACCATCACATCCATATTGTGATCCGTAACATAATCTACATCCCAATTGCATCCCTAACCCTATACCTTTAACAGAATAAAGCCTGGAGCAAATGTCACATCACTGTCTTCATCACCCCTAATTAATCCAATTCATCCAAGACTTATAGCATACAGTCCGATCCGAGCTCTTTCTCACATTTTCGCTCATGAACAAGCATGAAGCGAATTGTCAAATCAAAACAAACAAATCCACATAGTGAAAACGATTTCCATTTTGAGGGCTATGTTCAGTGTTACTCTCAAATGACATGCTGTAAATCTAGGTTCATGATGCTATTATCATGCATGGTCAAATGCTACACAAAACACAGGGAGACAATGCTTGTACACAAGACCATTATCTACCTCTAGACCATCATAGTTGTTCAGCTATCACCAACAGAAATAGGGAAAGAGAAAGATTTTTTGAGGTAAATAAGAGGAAACCATTTTAAAAAGGAAAAGCACTTAAAATATGGAGACGCGAGTACTTTTCATCTATATAAATCATGTTTTCATTACTTATTGATTACAGTCATTTTATTTTTTTTTCAGAAAAAAAAAAGTTTAGATTTGCACTATTTAATTTTCACCATCCATTAGCTAATTACTCTCCTCTGAAACAAATTTGATCATGTAGGTTTTTTGTTATTTGAAATACCAGGGCCCTGTTACATAAAACTTACCTTTGATGGTAACTTTGCCATCAATGGCAACTACCATGGTAACAGGGCTCAACAGCCAATCAAAATCAAGGTTTCAATGGTAGTTACCAAAGTTACAACCAATGGTAAGTTGTGTGCAACGGGGCCCAGAACGAGTCTGACAAAGTCAACATCGATACATTTGCAACCCCCCCCCCCCCCCCCCACAAATCAATGTTCAACACTGTCAAAACAAACAATTACAATCCATACATACCTCTACTCCTTTAATTTCATTGAGGGTGGGGTATGCTGTTTCTGGAGCCCAGGCGACACACTCTACCACATGGTCATGCTCTCGTAGCTCCAGCTTACACTCCTTAGTGGCTACCACCCAAACACGTAGGGTCTGCATCAAAGAAAATACAATCATAACGTTGATGATTAGTAAGGGCATATAACACTGCATGGATACAGTAAAAGCTATCATATAACAAAAACCACAAAAATATTTGTATGTTTTATTCAATCAAAACTAATATCAAAATATTTACAGGTCATCAATAATGATTGGTTATCATATAAAAAAAAAGGTTGATACACATAGGCTTGATATGGATAATTTAAGCATCAAAGTAAAAAAGAAAGGAAACTCTCAATAAAATAAAACTAAGTAAAATAAATAAACTAAGAACAAGTGCTGTGCAAAGAAAATGCTGGCCCGCGAGCACTTCACTACTTCATTAGGTAAGCTGATTTACGGTATATTTGTTTGTTGTATACCACAAATCAAGACCCTAGGCCTCTGATCGGTCAAAATTGCAGGTAAGAAATTCACTATCAACAACTTATCTATCTTCTCTTATGTTCATTTCTTTTTCCCACAAAATGATATATGTCCAGAGCTGCCAACCTTGTGCGACCAAATAAAGGAATCATGATGGCAAAAAAAAAAGGAATTTCAAGCAACAAAAAAAATTCATAAAAATGAAACTTACAACCACGAGCGACACACTTCCAATGCAGAAATGTTCATTCATCATGCTGTTTTTTCCATACAAGCAGGAATTTCTTTTGGTGGTTATTTTGGTAATATTGGCATTTCATTTTTGGGGGGAAGTATCTTTTAAATTAAATTTTCTATAGAATTTGTGATCAAATCACCATTTTAGGGCAGTTGTTTGACGTGCGGTATGTAAAAATAAAAAAAATAAAATATAAAATAAAAAAAATTAAAAAAATTAAAAACGTATTTTATGAAGAAAAAACGTAATACCGTAATTTGGAGGAAAAAAAGGAGAAATTCGGGCAAAAACGGAATGGTTGGCAGCTCTGTGTGTCGCTTCTCATTCTATGGGAAGCTCTTAATAAATCAAAGAGCAGGATTCAATCAGTATCATAAAAAAAACTATGTTCTATTCATCTTTTGGTCGCTTAAATCCTGCAAGTAAAGTAAATTCCAACCATGGTTTTCATGCTTTCGAGTGGGAATGATCCATTAGACTAAATGAAGCACCAAATTATCAACGGTAAATGTACCGAGCACAAGTTCAGATGATATTCAGTGGAGACATACATCCTGATATCATATTTCTGTATCTGACAAATCATTGCACCTCTACCGGAAAAGCCAGGGTACAACAGTATAAGTCAGAGGGATTGATCTATGCACCACTATACCACCACCACACAATGCAATCAATGTGTGGTAGCCGGCTTAATTGGATGCAACATTGTTACACATTGTTGTCAGCAACTTTTAGAAACAGTACATATTTAATGTATGACCTTCTTAAATGATAGACCTTGTGACCCCCATATTTGAGAGCAAATGACTTACTCCATCTTTATCAAGCCCCCCCCCCCCCCCCCCCCCCCCCCCTCTCTCTCATTCTCCGTGCTCTGAAGTGTTTCAAACTGAAATAAAGATTTCAAAATTCCTCTAAAATAACATGATAGTATATGTACTGTATGGTCATAAAAAGAAGGAAAGACGTACTTAAGTGAGCTCAGGGCCCATTCTTACAAAGAGTTGCGATTGATCCAAATCAATCACAAGTTTGCAGTCTCCTATCTCTTAATATGTACATAGTTGCGATTGATATCAACTCTTTATAAGACGGGGCCCTGCTTTCATAATCTTTATCTTGTCAGCTGTTAGGGATGGAGGGCTTACCTGATCATTCGAAGCACTAGCCAGAAGAGAACCATCTGGACTTGGCCTCACCATACGAACCCACTCCCTGTGACCAGTAAATGTCTTCACACAATATCTATAAAGACAAAAACAAGATTTCAATAAAAGGTAATCGCTTTTTTATTTTTATGAACAAGGTTATGCTTACTTTAATTGCAGAGCATGACCAGTCAAAAATGAAGAAAAACATTTCCATTTCAAAAAACTCGAAAAGGACATCTGCAAAAATATTATAGCATTTACACACACAAATAATCAACAAGAAGGATAAAATCCAAGTTTCATATATGAAACCAATATATATTTGAGGATCAAGTACGGGTAGTTAAATGTGAGAAAAGGAAAACTATACATGTCTACCGGTATCTAATTTTGAACTTAGCAGCATATATTGACATAATTAATAGTTAATATTAACCAATTTTATATATTTGTATGTCGTTGTATACCGGTATTCCTATTTCCAAGAAATATATCTGGGAATAATTTCACATTAGTATCGAAAGTTCATTCTGTGCACAGTATTTTTTGGCAAGAATCCATCATTCATTTCCTCATTAACAGTTCATTGCCATAGAAGCATATTATGGGACACCTCACACATATACTGTACATGTATCTCAAGTCATGTCTAATCTTACACACAGGAAGTACAGCTAGTATACACTCAAACCACACCAAAGGATCATATTTCAGCCTTTTCTTATAACCTGTATCAATTATGTCTGAGGATTTAATTTTTACATGCTGCTATGGCAACTGAGAAGGAAATGTTGCAAGTTATGGGGGAAACCTTGCTTCTCTTGAGCAAATATAAATACTGAAGTGCTTCACATACATGTCAACTCAAGAGCAATTGTTCAAAGACAACTCAACATAAATGATGGATTTGCCTGAAAAGGAGACTTTGGTAAATGCCTTTTAAAGGCTTTAAAGGCATCGTTTAACAATGTTAAATCTGAGATGCATGGCCCTACATTTACGTGTTACGTGTTATAAGTGTCTGTGGTATGGTGTAATATTGAAGCCCTAAAAAAATTGTGCTTCAAAATGATCATGAAGTGCCTCAAAAAGAAAATATCTTTGAGTGACCAGTTTTACCATACTCATTTCAAAACGGTTTTTGAAATTTCGATTTCCAATAATAAATATCTTGATAATCAGACAGGCGATCGGCTTGTAAAAGTCATGGGGTTCCTGGCTGACCCAAGGTTTATCACTATGATTGCAGCATGAGCTAAATCCAGGATTTAGATTAGAATTTGAGGCAAAGATACCCAATACCTTTAAATGGACAGGCAAATCAAATGAAAAATATAAATAATTACACAAAAATGTTCAGTATTAGGTCATTCCCAGGTCTAAGGAGATACACGACTCCCCATCTTCCATCCACTACTTAGCAACATACATTGATAAATTCAGCCTGAATCACATACTGCTGAGAAGTTTATGTAAAAACGAGAGAAGAGCACTCTTATTGAACAAAGTTCAAGGGCAGAATGATTTTCTCCAGCGCTTTGTATGCATAGCAATGATTCTTGATGGGGTTCATAGAAAGGGACATCTATTGTTCAAGGGAGAGGGAGATTTATCATGATTTATTGGTATTTTTTTAGTAAAGTGGCTCTCTCTGTATACACACTACTAGCTACAATAAAGTATATAATTGTGGGTTTTTGAAGGATACAGACAAGGCAAATTGTTTTGTTTGCAAATCGACTGTATGTTGACCACATATTTTTTTTTGAATAATGGTATATCATTTCCATAAGGAAGAAGCATAATAATACCACAATGCTTACCCTTGTAAAAAAAAATTGTATCTTGTCCCGCCCTCCTTATTGAGATACAATAAATGTAGAAGATATTTTGGGCACTTTCATCCATGAATTGATGATTGATAGGGACAGTGTGGAGTGGCTACTTAAATTTCACTTGATGGTCTGGTCAATAGAAGGGATGACCAGATGGTGACGGATGACCAAATTATGCATGTTTTCATTTGTACACTACAGGTTCTATCCACCTTTATTGAGGCTATTTATACACCTTTCATACTCCACCTGACGGCTTTGCACTAAACATTGGGTGCAGATAGATCGTATAATTCCCTCATTCCCATGTATCAATTGTATAATTGCAGTTTGAGTCCCGCCACGGCACGAATGTCCTTTGGCAAGATATTAATCTACATTTGCCACTCTCCACCCAGGTGTAAAATGGGTACCGGTAGGAAGGAATTCCTTGAATGCTGTGAGCGCCGAAATCGACTGCCTAGCAGAGCCGGGTAAATGTTGGAGCGCCTTGAGCACCATGCATGGTGGATATGTACACTATATAAATATCAAATAATATTATCAATATCATTTTTTAAAGTTGCTGAGGTATTACTTACCCAGTGGATACTTCCCACTGTTTGATGGTCTTATCCCTGGAGGATGAGACTAGATGATCTCCTGACGATAGGAAACTGATGGAGGAGACGTTGTGGTCGTGGCCGTGGAGGGTCTTCATACATTCAAAGGTGGTGAAATCCCACAGCTTGATCGTCATATCAGCAGAGCAGGAAGCTGCACAGGGACGGAACAGTGAAAAATTGATAATTTAGTCACCCTGTAGCAAAAGAAAAACTGATACAAAATACAGGGGGGAGTTTCACAAAGACTAAGATCAACTTTAAGTTGGACTTAATATGGCAGGCAGTTCATGCCATTGTTTTCTCTCACCATTTACTGGCACTGGTCTCTCAAAGGATGTACAAATCATGGTCACAAATCTACAGAATTTACATTTTTTGATAGTTCATTATTGAAGGAAAAATATCTAAAGATCATAACGGTAAGAGCAAACAGTGGCCTGAACGGCCTGCCATAGTTAAGTCCAACTTACGTCGATTTTAGTCCTCTTGAAACTCCCCCTGGACATGTTAAATACTATCATCCTGATGATCTAAGGTACATATCATATCCAGTTTTCATGATTCATTCCTGTATAAAGGCATAAAGCTAAGAATCGCCAAAGCAGGCAACTGTAAAATGAGGAATTTCTCAAAACAAAATTTGGAATATAGTGTACTTTGTATGCAGTTTACACAGTTGTTTTTAGAACAGTATTAAAGAATCCAAGGTTTGGAACACTACATGTAATTTGAAGACCAAAAAATAGGAGTCATTGCTCCAAATAGGAATCGTTGGCAGCTACAGTACGTAGATGAACAGCAAACATAGGCAACCTTCTTTTTTTTTCATTTACCCTTTAATAGAATACTGCCAATGCTTAAATGAACAATGTCATTCATATTAATGAGTACAGGAAATTCCAAACATGGTTATCATGCTTTGGTGTGGGAAAGAGCCATTAGACTACATTAAGTATCACATTATCAATGGTAAATGTACCGAGCACACGTTCAGATGAAATTACGCTCAGACGTATCCTGGGATTATATATTTCTGTATATCTGACATTTCATTGCACCTCTACCACTGGAAGAAGCCAGGGTACAAGAGGAAGAAGTCAGACGGATTGATCTATGCACCACTATACCACCACCACACAATGCAATCAATGTGTGGTAGCCGGCTTATTTGGATGCAACATTACAAATGGTTGTAAACAACATTCAAAACATTACATATTGAATGTAGGACCTTCTTAGATGATGGACCTTTTATTCCTCTGGAGGAGAGGGCTCTGTTTCATCAAACTTGTTATCAATAACAAATGTTAAATTTCTATGACAAAGTTGCTCTTAGCCAATTAAATGCACGGATTTCAGTAGCTTATAACAGTTATCGTAAATAGTTATTGACAACAAGTTTTATGAAACAGGTCCCAGGTACATGTAGTCTTTAAACCCTGGAGCCTCATTCATACACGGTGTGGTTAACCACCTCAGAAAAACTGGGACAGCAAACTACAAAACCATCATACATGTGAATGAATGGCAAGTTGGGATCAAGAAAAAGTGCGGAACAAAGGTCTCATACCCCCTAATCTGTGTGTCATACAATGTGAAGCACACTGACGGTGGCTTCATTTTTATCATTTTGTTGCAACAGTTATCTTAGGTGGGGTATGGTTTATTGTCTAGGGTGTGAAAAAGGCTTTACTTTACTACAAACATGCATTGCATTGCAAAGCATTGTAAGTGTGTCAGGTTGTACTCCAGGCCAAGGTCAAGTTCAGATTTGTTTACTACCATGAACAATGAACGGAGACCACACAGAGCAGGTAGATAATCACCTGTAATCCATCTATTGTATATATATATCCCGTGAAAGATACAGCTTTCAAAAAAAGTATCTCACGAATGAGCTTGCAAACTGTGTTGTGTACAGTACTATACATGTACTTATTTCAATATGGGTAAATTCCTGGGTGAGCCGTACAATCATGGGGGGGGGGGGGTCATAATGTGCTGATGGGTAAAAAAATAAATAACCCTCATATCTTGCTATAGTCCATTGGGGTGAGCAAAAAACATTGTAATTGGAAAATCGATGATTTATCTTTCTGAATTAAATTACAGCAAAGGCTTGTCCAGATACATGTATAAAGTGGTACCTACAGTACAGCAGATTTTTAGTGTAGATGAATGGCAACTGCGCGCAACAAAGGCCCTCTAAGCATATTCAATGAGCACTGGGTTAAGTAGTAGTGTGTCAAGTTACAAATATCTTTTGAATGTGTTGACCTGAAAGAGTCCTGGAATGGTGTACCTGAAGTGTATTGTTCTGCTTGGTCATGGGTCTGTAATTCTTTATAGCATTAGCCTAACTCCAGATACACCGACACAAAGTGTGTGTGAAAAATAAGGATTTAACCAGGTTCAAATGACTCCTTGTTCCTTTTTGCTCCGTTTACTGAGGTCATACAGATACAAAATAATAGGAGTCACAAATATCAACAATATGAACGTTTACATAGCAAGCAAAAAAACCTTGGTTTTTGTCACATTCTAGAGTTTTGTAGGAGGTTGCTAGGCAACTATCAACAAATACTCTGACAAAAACTCTAGCAGTTTCTGAAATGTGAATCCACGCTCCAAAAAAACGTTGAATTAATTTGGTTTTGGGTCATATGACTCTCCCCACTTCAACGATATTGCGTGCTGAGCAGCAACAGGTCACACATGCTTACTACTCACCATTAAACCAGAACTGGCAAACACTGGCATTTATTACAGAATTTCCCAGTAATGTTGTTGTTGTTTAATTTAGGCAAGTCAGTCAGTTTATGACCATTGTTGCCGAATACTATAATAAAGAATTTGTTTTGAATTCAAATTTACATATACTCGCATAATATGCATGTATATTCCTTCTTCGTCTTAAAAAACCAACAAAAAAATGGAGGGGGGAGATAATGATATCATGTAAGATTACCGATCTCTGTCCTTTCTTAAATTAATAATGATGGCTGCTTATAAAGTGCTTACATTGTAGGTCCATTAAGCATGATGCTCATGCCTCTATACTTGTCTGTTTAAAAAAAAAGTTTTTTTCAGATTGTTTTTCGACAATGTAAATGAAGACTTTTCATGCAAAAAACATAATAGATTCCTACTTTTTCTACAGTTATCATTTAATATGTTATAATACTTGTGCACTTACCAAGCATCTTGCCTGCGTGATCAAAACATATATCTTGAACTGAGTCTGTGTGTCCTTTCATCGTACGCTCAAAATCTCCCGATTCATAGTCCCATACCTGTGATGAAGAGACATAAGAGTTCATAATAACAAGGGGCAAATGGGCCCTCAAATATCGATGACTGGACCCCCAAGCTTTTTAACTTTCAAGAACAAGGAACAAAAATGCATACAGAACCTGAACATTCTAGTAAGGACCTCCTGCAAAATGTGGAGCACTGGAATTACATTTGAATTTAAACTACAAGCTACAATTCCAAGTTGTAAATCTTTCTATTTGCTCAATAAACCTTAGTCTTTTGACACAGTCTATTTTGCATCATCACATGAATTATCAGATGTATTTCAATGTTTCATGTACCAGTTTAAAATGCAATTAGTAGTGGACCTTAAAGATAAAGTTGAGTTCTGGTCATGCCATTGAATTGTAAAAGACACGTTGAGGAATCGATCAGAAAAGGTTGATCATCTAGCATATAAGTATTGGTGTGCACTGTAAGGCTCTGGAATCATCAAAATAATAAGAAATTTGGCCCAGTCTTGGTAAAGTTACAAGCACTGTACACAGAAAGATGCATATGGGACTACATGTACACAAACATGTGGCATAAAAATCTGAACCAATTTTTATGTTACATGCTATATTTAGAACATTTAGAATATTAAGGCATTTAAAGAGCCATGCTTTTCAGGGTACATTTTTCATTTGATGTTTTTCCACACTTGCATAATACAATGATAACGCTCACAAATTATTTTTACCTCTTCCCAGAACTCAACCTTCTCTTTAAGGGCCTATCTCAATCAAATCAAGTCATGAAAAAGTGTTACGACACACACTTGAAGATTGGAAACTGGAGCAGCTTACTTTGATAGTGGCATCTTCCGATGACGAGACCATGACATTGTAGACGGGATGAAAGATGACCCTTGTGATAGGGCTGCGATGACCGCTCAGAGAGTACTTCTCTGGGGGTCTGGGGAGCCATTCTGTCGGTGAACGCTTGTCCCTGTTAGGACCTCCCGAGCTGAATTCTCTCTCCGCCTCGTTCAGCTTCATTTCTAAGTCCATAACTTTCTTTTGTAATCTGATTACCGAGGTCCATTTCTTCTCCAGCAGACCATTGTACTTTCTTTCTACTTCGTCAGGCTGTAACAGAAAGATAGCAAATGGTATCAAATACATGTGTTATGACAAATTTTAAGCTCATTCCTGAATTGTATGCATGTAAATAGATAACTTGAGAAAGGATAAATGAAGCTCGATTTATGAAACACGAACACAGAAAATAAATTAGATTTTGTATTTGATTATTGACAAAAAAATGTCAGTCTCTTTACCACAGAGAATAATTTTACATTTCTACAATTACATGTAGTGTTGCACATGATTTACCGGTAGACTGAGCACTACATTACCAGACGATGATGTAGGATAACAATTAGGTTTTATGACCTGCTATCTAAAACTACTTCAATAATTACTTACACATACAGTACGCAAGTAGGTATACAGATAAACAACTTCCTGCCTTTCACATACATGTACATGCAGTACATGCAGTCCAACTCATTGCTTTCTAAACACATACCTGTATAATGTAACAAAAGCACTCCATTTTTAAAGGTTTCTCATGAGGCCCCTACTCCTTTAATTCCAAAATTTTGAAAGAAATGTACCTGTAGTATAAACCGATGCACGGGACTAGATAATTGCATCAACATAACAAGACATACAGGTACAAACAACAATTAAAAAAACAAAATTAAACAAAATAAAATAATAATCAGCACTTCTTTCATACACTGTATAACACACAGAATCGATCATGGGAAATTGAGTTTAAAATTAGCATTTCATGTTTGGTACAATGTATAGGTGAGTGTTACCAAGGGCCCTATTGATCACATGTATAATTATAATTATAATTACGAACCAAATGATTTTATTCAATACAAATTAATGTATTTGGTGAGGTTGACTGAAGATTGAGCAACAATGGTGCATGTACATGTACATGTACGTGCACAGCATGAGCTCTTTATTTATAGAGTGTGCATGTATTTGATTTGTGATAAAAGTGAAACAGAAAGTGATTTTTCCTTGAGACACAGATCAACAGACCTATTTGTACGTGTACATGTATCTGTCTACATCATTGTGGTAAATACATGTAAATGTACATCAATGTAAAGTTATGGTTATCGTAGAAGGAAGAAAGAAATTAAGAGAATAAAAACACAGGAAAGTGGGTCAATAATCTACATTGGAGTGCTTTTCTTTATTTTCTTATTTTCTTTTTTACACATTCAATAATAGATCGAAGGACAAAAAATTGAGGGACAAAAAAATAGAGACAGAGAGACAGAGACAGAGAGGGGGTGGAGGAGAGGGGTGGAGGAGTGGGGTGGAGGGGTGGAGGAGTGGAGTGGAGGAGTGGGGTGGAGGAGTGGGGTGGAGGAGTGGGGTGGAGGAGTGGAGTGGAGGAGTGGGGTGGAGGAGTGGGGTGGAGGAGTGGGGTGGAGGAGTGGGGTGGAGGAGTGGGGTGGAGGAGTGGGGTGGAGGAGTGGGGTGGAGGAGTGGGGTTGAGGAGTGGGGTGGAGGAGTGGGGTGGAGGAGTGGGGTGGAGGAGTGGGGTGGAGGAGGGGGGTGGAGGATTGGGGTGGAGGAGTGGAGTGGAGGAGTGGGGTGGAGGAGTGGGGTGGAGGAGTGGGGTGGAGGAGTGGGGTGGAGGAGTGGGGTGGAGGAGGGGGTGGAGGAGTGGGGTGGAGGAGTGGGGTGGAGGAGTGGGGTGGAGGAGTGGGGTGGAGGAGTGGGGTGGAGGAGTGGGGTGGAGGAGTGGGGTGGAGGAGTGGGGTGGAGGAGTGGGGTGGAGGAGTGGGGTGGAGGAGTGGGGTGGAGGAGTGGGGTGGAGGAGTGGGGTGGAGGAGTGGGGTGGAGGAGGGGGGTGGAGGAGAGGGGTGGAGGAGTGGGGTGGAGGAGTGGGGTGGAGGAGGGGGGTGGAGGAGGGGGTGGAGGAGGGGGGTGGAGGAGTGGAGTGGAGGAGTGGAGTGGAGGAGTGGGGTGGAGGAGTGGGGTGGAGCAGTGGAGTGGAGGAGTGGGGTGGAGGAGTTGGATGGGGTAGGATGGGGTGGATGGGAAGTCGGAGAGCAAGGGAGATCTATAGTTTAGTTTGGTTGGTTTACAAATACAATGATACATGAAAGGAGTCTCATTTTCTCCCAAAATTAAATTTTATCTACAAGTACATGTACAATGCATGTGCTCATTATAAGTCATGTGAAATGAAGATTATAAATATCCATCTTAAACTTCTGAAGACTAGATCTTCCAATTAATGCAGTGATGAAAAGCAAACGATGCGTTAAATACACAAGTGATGAGCGACGAGGAGAGTGGGAGGGACGACGCCAAGTAAGAAGAAAAAAACCACTCCACATCTGATGTAGAGAGCAAGGTTATTTACCCATCACATCAGACCACTACTACTTCCACGTCATCACCGACTGCATCACCACCACTGCATCCCTTTCATACTCACACATACACACACACAGCATCACATACACAGACACACACATCCACTCACCCACTCCAGACGTAGGGAGGCCCTCATAGAGGATGCAGCTGCTCACCCCCACATGCACATCCAATACTGTTACTTCATATATTCCACATACCATGCATACATGTATATGCACCCATGCTTTTTTAGAGCTCATATTCTGTCTTTTCTCTCTTGGTCTCCCCATGAACAAAATTTCATGATATAAACTGATTATTGTTTTTTCTCCATTCATCTGATTCTCTTTCATTTTCTCCATCCCATCTCATCTCATCCTCTCTTACCTTCTCTCTTTTCTTAATATCAAACTGAAAATTCTACCAGTACCATCTCATCTCTACCCTCTCCACTTCCCCCTTTATTTTATTGTAATACCTGTTCATCGTCTTCTCTTACAGCTTGAACATTTTCATTTTTCTTCCAGAACCTTAATAGAAATCTATTTTGAAAGACATGTACGGTATTTATTTTTTTCAATGATTTGTTTCATCTTATCTCTACCCCCTTCCCCTCCCCCTTAATTGTATTGTATATATTTTTGTTAAGTAACCTACATGCATTCTTTCACATTCCTGAAAGTGTTATTATTTCTTATGTATTATATATGCCTAGAAGGGCTCTCTTAGGACTTTCTGATTAAAAAGTGAGATTGGAATTACATCTTCATTATTAAACTTCTACAGACTAGTATTGTATATGTGCTGCAGGTGCACATGTTGATTCGTAGATATTCCAATCATTAATCTTCACTTTAAGAAATCCCTTGCATTTTATGAATTAAAGGTATATCTCTCCCATTGTTGGTAGATCTCACTTCCCACCCCATCTATTTCTATTATCTCTCTCTCCCCTTCTCCATCTGTCTCTCCCCCTCTCTCTATCTCTTCTCATCCCTGTCTTGCCTCTCCCAATCAATCTCTTTGAAGTCCCCATATCAATTTTCAATGATAGCTGTACTTCAAATTAATTAAACTGCAATCAAGTACAGCCAGCAAAAAGTTAAATATAAAGACTGTAAATGCAAACATGTACATGAACAAAAAAACAGTCAGCACATAAGGCCAAATAGAATTTAAAAAACATGTTTAGCGTCCTCTTTTTTTCTTTCAAAATGGCCGCTCGGTACATTTTCCCTGACAGTCGGGCTATTTTTCAAGATGCCCGCTGACATGTTTTGTTTTTCGAAAACAGGAATAGATCAATTTTAGCAGTGTTTTTCATGTTTTTTTTCTTTGAAAAATTTAATTTAAAAAAAAATTTAAAAAATTGGAGGCGGCCCCCAAAAAGGAAGTGGACGGGGAGGCTAAACATGTTTTTTTTTTTTAATGGCCGAATTACCCCCATTTTTTAAAACTTGTTTAGTTTTCATTCACAATTTTGTCTTTTTCTAGCAATCTTCAAAGGGTTATGCAGCCCATCTCGAAGATGTAATTTTAAAGATTTCAAGTGGCGTGAAAAGACAATGCAATAGAGAGATGATGCATTTATAAGTACTGTATAAAATGCATGATTATTCCCTATGAGATGCAGAAGCCTTGAATCAGACTTGGATCTCCCAACAGGTAAAACGATTGGGCATTGGGTTACCATTTGAAATGCACAAAGTTCTGCATTTTCCTCCCCTAAGCATTTGTCCATATGGCAGGGATGGCTCATGCAAGAAAGCCCTGAAGTGTACTGTATGCAAGTCCACTGACACATACGCACACACGTGGGTTGCTGCTGTACTTTATTGCTTTGTAGTTGGATTTATGATGATCATAAGACAGTTTGGAACTTACCATATCAGCCTCTTTCTGAAATTCCATAAGTGCTTTCTCATAGCCATTTGAACGCAAGTAATCTGCAATAGCTTTATTTCTATGGTGAGAGAAGGAAAAGGAAAAAAAAATGGGAGGATGAGTAAAAATCGCAATTAGTACAAAAGCAAGCAACAAATGAATACATTAAATGAATAATACTTGTTTGATTTAAACAAATTTTCATAGACGAAGCAGTATGTATTGTGATCAAAACTGTGCTCCATAAATAAACTTCATAATTTTCACTTATTATGAGTGAACTAAAATAATGACTGAAACTCTTTTTTTTTCTTCTCATTTTTCATTATGACAATAAAAGATAAAACAACAGAAGTAACATGTACATTTATAGGTATTGGTATTTTATAGCAAATGCGTTCCTACACTGCACATGTAAGGGCATTAAAAACAAAACATGTTTAGCATTCTGCCTTTTTGAAAATTAGGAAGGAGGATGCCCTTTTTTCTCTTTTCTTTTCTTCTTCAAAATGGCTGCTCGGTAAATTTTCCCCGATGTCCAGCCAAACGGGCTATTTATCAAGATAGTCGCCGGCATTTATGTTTAGTTTGTTTTTTAATTCATAAAAACATAATTTCAGCAGTACAGTATGTTTTTCATGTATTTTCAATACAAAAAAGAAAGAAAAAAAAAAGGAGGTGGCCTCAAAAAAGGAAGCGGACTGGGACATTATTATTTTTTTTTTAATGGGCTAAAATGTAATCCTTTATCCCAACTCGATTGTTCTACTTTTATTATTTTGGCATGCTTGTGAAAGAAGTTAAATTGTATAATGTACATGTACATGTATCAAAATATCTCAATATCATGCACACTAGTGAATTAGAATATTACAGTTTCGAATACCAGTTTTGCTACATGCACATCAATCAGTGCAGTGTATTATAATAATAGCATGCATGATGCTACACTGCAGAATTCATTATGCTCAATATGAGTCATCATTCACCATGTAGTAATATTACATGTACATGTACATGTACACCACACATAAGATATACATGTAGTACCGGTAGTTCTTGAATATGAGTTTCATGTACAGTATTCTAGCAAATCAATGGCAGAAACGGCATCCTTCCCATTCTTTCTTTACAAAATCTTCTGCATCCCACATGGACAGTATTAGAATTGAATCAAAGAAATATAAAATCAATCAATAAAGGGATTAAAGGGCATTAGCTTTCAGGGATATATGTACTGACTACTGAACAATGGCCATGTACATGAAAATCAATTCAACAAATCAATAATTTATTTCATGGTTTAAGAAATAAATAAGCACCCTAGCAAAGGCATCAAAATGATAAGATCTCCTGACATCTAGAAGAGAAGAAATAGCTTTGTTTATACCGCAAGGAAAAACCATTCGTTATTCTCACAATTCAGAATTTAGTTGGAAGTTGCTAGGCAACAACCCATGAACACGGCTTTAAAAACCCCAGCTCTGGAGGATATTTTTTTAAATACCAGCCAAACTACGTTTTTTACAAGTAAATGATCGCGCTCAAAACACCAGAGACATTCAAGTTTTTGTGATTCTCCTCGTTTCTGTGCATGCTGCTGCAGAGCACCGACAAGTGAAGCATGCGCAAAACTAACTTTTAAAATATTTTTTTTTTAAATAGAATAAGCAGACAATACATGTAATATGCTAAATGGGTTTTTTCCAGCTGTGTGAAATGGTAGTTCAAAAAATCAATGGTAATTCAAATTGGTTTTTCATTATCTGCAATGTACAGTTGTAAATAAGCCTAAAGAAAAGCAGTAAACAGAAATCCCTATAAAAATTGTAAGGCTCTCTACATATAATCATAATGGCATATTGCCTTCTTACTGTATTTGTTTTGAGCAATAATGAACTGCATAGTCTGGACTTGCATCCAGGGGGCTTTTGAAAAAGTTCTATTCAGGATGCCGTGTCAGCTTGGTGACCTACATGTACATTACCATTTGCAAGCAATATTGTTTATTATTATTTGTATGAAGGGTTTTTGCACCAAAAGTATCCGGATGACCATGCAGGACTGTTCCATGTGTCAAGGATTTGGGTTTGCGAAAAGGTGAAAAAGTGAATGCCTATTTAAATGCCGAAAGGCTAAGACAATGGTTGTATACGTGTAGCGCCCATGCAAAATTCTTGATTAAGGACAAACTGTTTTTCTCCCTGAATTTTATGTTGTAAATAATTAAAAACATAAGGATCTAACTGGAAAAATGGAGGTACAGTTCTATACATCATACAATTAATAGTAATTATGATATCGAATGCCATGTCATCCATGAGGTGTACAAGGGAACATGTAAATATTGCACTCGCCATGCCGACTCATGAAATACATGTACACTGTGTGCCAATCAGCTCATGGAATAAACGATCGTTTCCTACCCAATACTAACCCTGTAAACGATCATCGGATCGGACGCCGATACCGATCCGATCAGGGGTGATCGGAGAATAATTTCCGATCGCCGATCAATTAAAATGATCGGAAAAAAAATCGGCAGAATTTTTTTTTTTCTTCAAGTTTTTGGCTATCAAATGCTGAAAAAAAATCCATGGCTGGGATTATTTTGTCATTTGGAGCTGTTGTAGACCATGTTTGTTGATATTTAGTGCCTTTTCATGACTTTGAAATTAATAACATTGGTCTAAGAGCAGAGGCAAAACATGCGGGCCGCCATCTTGAATTATAATGTAGGTATGCATTTCGTCCAAAAAAAAACATAAAAAATCGGCCAATTTTTTTTGTCGATCTTCCGATCCGATATCGATCAAAGGTGCGCGGGTGTCGCTCCGATCTTCTGATCCGATCAGAGCCCCAACTTACAGGGTTACCCAATACCATTCAAATCAATATTGTGCATGTGCATAAGGCCTATAAAAAAAAAAAGATGTTGTATTGCCCTTTGCGATCGACCCGAAAATCTTGAAATCTATGGTCGGTTTTAAACAAAATATTTTAAAAATTTAGCTGTTTTTTTAGAGAATTTTTTTTTTTTAGAGAATTCGAAACTGAGAAATAGCAGCCCAAAGAGGGAGAAAAAAAGATTTCCAACCGACTGACAAACTGTATGTTTTGGCACCTAAGGGCAATACAACATGTTTTTTTGGGGGGGGCCTACATTTAAGTTGTATTCTAGAAATAAAATAAAGAATCAGGAGGCTATACATAATAATAATAATAATAATAATAGCTCGTTCTTATATAGCGCTTTTCAGGACCGGAGGCCCTCACAAAGCACTTTACAGATAAGTATATTATTACCCCGGTCATTGGATTCAGGCTTACGTGTAGGCTTATAAATGTAGATACACGATATGATAAAAATGTAGAACACAACAAGTGTTAGGTACCAAAATGTGCAAGGAACACTCAAATCCACGAACGCCCAACAAATACCACGCACGCACACAATGTATGCACATTCTCCACTCCCTGGGGAGCATTCCAGCCAGGCGTCATTTTTACATGCGCACACTTGTTGATTGATCCCTATTCATCAAAACGCTTGCCCTTCCCTTGTCTTCCACACCATTACTTTACAAGACCCAGTCACATTCCTGAGACTGCTGATGGACAATCAACATTTGAAGAAGAGGAAAGTTGTTCCAATTTTTAAAGGCTTTGACGCGTACACGGAAGAATCGTGTACCGTATTTACCGGCGATAAGGCGGCAGCGCCGCATAAGCAACACCCTCAACTTTGACATTTCAAAGAGGGAAAAAAAAAATCATAATTTTCTTGTAGAACACTATTTTTTCTACAAACAGATACCAAATTCTTCAATATTATTATTAAGGCTGTGCACAACAGTGTAATGAGGTACCCGAGTACACTCCCAGGCTTACAAGCGAATAATCAAGTATTCGGACGCCATGTTTTTTTTGTTGTTTTTTTTTACTTTTTTTGTTTTTTTTTGCCACCACCATACTACTGGAGCAGTATGGTGTGTATGTGATATAACAAATAAAGTGTGTCTTATACACAGAGATTTGTTGGTACACATCTGTTAGACAACTACACGTGTACAAGAAATCGTACCAGACTACCATGTTGTTTTTGTTTTTTTTAGTGTCGATTTATGCCCCTCCAGCTGTCCCTGTGCCGGATAACGCTCGCTCATGCTCGGAAGAGCCCCGGCATTGCACCTTGAGTAAAAATGTCTCCCAGCTCAATCATTCACAGGGTGTCAACTCAACACTCGGAAACTAGAACCAAACTAGCTGCCAATGTCTGGATTTCTGTTTAGACTTGGAGGAAAATTTGTCTGTCAATTTTAGTTTTAAAAACGACATTGTTACTATTATTTGTGACAAGTTCACAAGCACAAATTGGCACCTTCAACTGCACCCTAGCAGTAAAATAAAGGTCCTGCATGGGTTTACGAAGTCACATTGCATGGCTTTGAGCTTGAAAATAGATTAAATGAATGTGTCATTCTTCTGCCTTCAGAATGCTCACAAAATCTGCACAAAACGTACGATTACACTCCGTGTTATTAAATCAGAAAATTCTTTGTGTGATAAATTCTCACCTTTATTCACTACAACACAGATATTCTTCATTTTGGCAAGCAAAAATATCTAACAGAAATACATGTAGTTTGTGGAGTTAAAACTGTATCAGCATCAAATTCAGATAAGAAAACAAGTGTATGTTTGCAACTGGGCAGACATTTTCCCTTTATCTCCTGCCCTCTGTGGTATACAGTAGAATTATGTCTAGAATCATATCTATGGCATATTTTGGTTATCATTTGTTCAGGCAAAGGTGATGTTTTATGGTTTATTTGTTGTGGATTAGGAGGATATATTTGTTGTTTCAAACTTCAAAGCTTAGCCTTATTCAATCTCGCTCGCTAAGAATTTGTACTGTGTCTGCATGGAGCCCAAAAAGTTTTGATTGTTTTTTTGTTGAAGATTTTCATATCTGCCACTGTAGTTGATAAGGGTACACATGTTACATCATGACCACAGATACAACAAGGCCTATCAACCAACGCCATCAATGACAGGATTTGAAAATAGGTTATGGCTGTCAGAAATGTACACTTACTGTACATCCTAATAACAAAAACAGCAGCATACCTGAACAAGGCTTTTACCAATTTACAAATCCAGACTCCTACCTCATTAGAAATTCTGCAAGTCAGACAAGAAGATATGATTTGGTTACGTCCCAAGTACTGTCTAGGCTATGAAGGTTTTTTAGTTTCTATTACAAAACTGCCATAGTACAGTACTTACAGTTCTTCTCTCTGCCTCTGTGACAGCACCATGATGACTGTGTGTTTTATTGGCTACTATCAGCCCTCACTGTGAGAATCAAGTCCTCCTCCTCCTCCTTCTTCTCCGTCACACCATCAGAGTAATCCTACTGGGGGGAATGCACTCCTTCTTATCTTTCTCCTCCTTCTCCTTGTCAGAATTCTTTCTAATAATTCACTACAACTACACAGCAGCTTCCTCCACACTTGCTACCTCTGCTTCATCTCTGGTCAACCTGGAAGTAAAAAGCAAACAAATCAAAATTACATGACACACAATGTATATTAGTATTGGATTTTGCCTTTTTGATACCGAAGATTCTGCATCAAGGATTGTCTTGTCCAGCTCCAAGCTCATGTAGTACTACATGTAGTAGTAGCAGTAGTATCAATTTATAATTCACTTTTTCAAGTTGACTATTCGGAAGTGGTCCATACAAGGTCTCTGTGAAACCTTTACAATGCAAAGAAAAATTGGTAGTGACCCACAAGCTAATTCATCAAACTGTAGCTGTAAGTTGAACTTCGGGATTTTGATTACTTGTGCATTATTTTCATTTTCATTTTGTGGCTTCTAGCTTTTGAGAAATCACATTTAAACTTATGTGCACACTCTGGACATCTTATTACGTACCGGGTACTCTTTAAAAATTCATATACTTCCGATATTTGCAAAACCATTTGTCAATCAATTTAATTAAATCAAGTCCTGTAATTATTTATTGAAAGATGATTTCTCATATTTTTTTTTAAATTTTGGTACTATTTTCTGAAGTTCACTTGTGGTAAAAAAAGCACGATCAACATCTCAAATCAAATCAATAAAAAGCTTTGTCAAATTTGACATGGGTCATGAGTCATGACCAAGCATCCTTGACAATTTTCAGATGCTGAAATTGATCTTGTTTATAAAGATGACAACTGTGGCACAATCAGTGTTGTCATTTTTGTTGTTGTATAGAAAATATCAAGCTGGCAAATGGCAATGCGGAAACAGGCATTCTCCACATAAATGCTTAGGGACACTGATTTTCGTTTCAAAAAATCTGGAATTCCGTTTCAGATGGGCTGAAAAACGGAAATTACGTTTTGCCATAGACTTTGTATACATGAAAAAACTAAAATTCTGTTTACATAAGATTTTCATTAAAACATGAACTTGTAGGGTACAAATGTTCTATTAAAGCCGCCGCCTTTGACAAGCCACTGATAACCACTCAAAAACATATGGACGGGACAGGATAAACTTGATGCAAAATACTAAATATAGACCCCTACTCTAGGGTCTAGGCTAGACCTGCGACAAATTATCAAATGTTTAGATTTACCAACTTCAAATTCAAACTTAGACAAGCAGACTAAAGTTAGCGGAATGTGTCAGAACACGACATATTCCTGACGAAGGAAACAGTAGTACCGTCGTCGACGAACGATGTAAACATTTCAGTCTTGGCTGTCATGTCAGCGATCCGTGATCGATCGATTTTAGGCGCACATGCTAGCCCCTTTTCGAACTGGACAACAGCGTGTGTACAATAACGCCGCACTTAGCGCCTGCTGCTGGCGTGCGTGTGCCTAACGATCTCTATTGGTCCAGCGAAACAAAATGGCAGCACCATGTCTCCTAAGAATCTGAATATCGCTAAATATTCGGAATTATTAACCATGATTTGAGGCCCGAGATTTTTTCACTGCATAACGAATCACAAAAATAGTGTGAGTTTTCAGTTTTTCTTCTTGAAAAATAAGCAGTTTTGAGGTAAAAGGGGTTTTCCGCGATTTTCTGTTTCAAATGGTCAAAAGTCAAATGGTCATTTCCGTGAATTCCATCATCGCGGAAAATCAGTGTCCCTTTACAGAGACGCCAAGTTCAAAGATCAGCAATGCGTGACATTTGCATGATTCGGCGCGCAAGCACGCGGGGGAGGGGATAACACACATATAGGTATAGCGTTTTTTCAAAATCTAGCATGCGCGTCGTGCGTGAGAGCATTTCCAGACCCTCGAAATGCGTGATATCTCACCTAATGCGTGACACTTGGTAGCTCTGCCCTATATGCTGCAGAAACAACATTAAAATTCTTGACTGATATCAGAGTTTTTTCGTTTTGCGTCAAGCTAAATTATCGAAATAGGAAACCACTCTGCACTGTACAGTAGGGGCACTGGTCCGAGAATAAGGATCGTCAGTTATCCTCGTTATCGCGGACAAATTGCTTCCTAAAAATAGTGATGGTCCACATTTTCGAGTACGATCCTTTTTAAGGATCCGCGCGTTGGCAATGCGAAAAAGGGATTCCACGGTGATGCTCCGTGATGCACTCTCATTGACGCAGCACAGAGATTTTCACGTTATGAACGATAAATCCTTGGGAAGACAGACAACCCCGTAAAAGTAGACAGTAAAATGGGGGTATTTTACTACACGGAATCTGTTTTTCGCATTGCCAGCAGGGGCGCTGGTCCGTGAATAAGGATCGTCTTCGTAGATGCAGACCTAAACGCATCGGCTGCATTTTCGTAGACATTTCTGATTTCGGATCCGAGCATGCGATGCGAAAAAAATGGATTCCGCAATGATTTTCTTCATGCACTTTACATTGACTTTGTACAGAGACTTTCATGTTGTGAGCAATAAATCCTCGGGAAGACGGGCAAACAATAAAACAGTAGACTCTAGAATCTAGATCTAGACAGTAAACTGGGGTTATTTTCTTACATGAAATCTGTTTTTCGCATCGCGGATCAGGAACCTGCAAAAACCGCAGAGCACTGAAGAAAAAAAACGTCCGCAAAAATGCAGACGATCCTTATTTTTTAAATTTTAGGACGCAATTTTTTAAATTTTAGGACGCAATTTATTTTGTCCACGTTTACGGCATTACGCGGACGATCCTCGTTGATTTTGTGATTTCTTATTTCACACCATGACAATCGCTTATATCCAAGCAAAAGAGTGAATAGTAATCATTATTTAGGTCATTTAGTTTTTTCTTGTTAAAGTCAAATTCTGGGTGCAGACTTGAACACGATGAAATTCCCCCATCCTCATTCACTCACATCACACACACACACAGTGGAAGTGCATTGGCTAGTGGCTCGCTAGCAGTCAAACACAACAAATGTCAACGCCTACGGAGCAAACTGATGCAAATGAACATTCGCCCATCATGGCGACACCTTCGCAATTTCCATGCACACACCCAAACTATGCACTAAATAGATATCAAATTAAATGGTATAAATAATCATTGATGAGAGATAACTCACCTGAAAATAAAGAATTCAATAGTCATATATCAACTAAATATAGCAGTATTCGTCCGTTGATTCAAGCTTTCTCACGGCGCATATTGTTCCCGTATTTCCGACTCGCATATATTTTCTACACGTTGAAAATTTACCCAGAAATCCCTACGATACTTGTCTGCAATTTCTGCGCAGAAGAATTGTGCGCACAATAAACTAGTGTGGCGTCGTCTGCAGAAGCAATTTGACGTTGAGTTGCGGTAATTTGGGTTACATTTTTGTTGTATTCTTCATATGATATAGATTTTTAAGAATATCACTAGTTTTCATAATATGTATCCTGTTAAGCAGGTTTCAGAAATAATGTCATCAAGCCTTTACTCGCAATTAATCTAAAAATATGGTTCTGATATAATTTGAGTGACCGTTTATTACTGCCAAATTTGGGACCATTCGGTTTAGCATTGTGAAGGCATTGATGTTGAACTTGAGTTGAAGATTTGTTTTCTTCATATTTTGTAGGTCTAGATTCCTTGATTGTCCAAATTACTTACAAGTCATAGACAACTTTTATCTTGACTATAAAGTCTAGTCTTAGGCCTAGACTTCTAGATTCGAATCAAATGTTCTTTTTTACTGTCATTTTTGGAAGTTAAAAAATAAAATCGTGACTTTTTTTGTCGTTTTGGGGTAAATTTTGCTTTTTCACTGTTCAGTTCAGACAGTTTTTGTTTTGGTTTGAACTTTGTTGGACCTTTGCGTTGCTCATCAGCATCATTGTTAGCCTTAGATGTTACCAACACTGGTGTCCGATGTCTGTGTCCATCCAGGAATATCGGACCATAACATCGTTGCTTTTTCGATCTCGGGGAATCCAAGAACTTGCCGCATTCCGCCAAGAAAAATCTACCAATTCCACAAAGCTGATCTTCAGAAACTCCGCAAGGCTGTTGCGAAATTCTCAATGGATTTTCTATCATCTTCACCAGAGCTGAAGTCAGTTGATGAAAACTGGACCTGTATCACATCACTCATCAACAAGTGCAAGGATGAATTCATCCCATCCAAGATGTCAAGAGCCAGAGGCAACTTGCCTTGGATCACCATTTCCCTCAAAAGGCAAATGAGGAAGCGGGATCGTTTGTTCAAGAGGGCACGAAGTCAGCCTAGTGCATCCAATTGGAAGGCCTACAGGCAGCTTCGAAACGAACTGACCAAACGTGTCCGCCAAGCTCATCACAATTACGTCTGCAACATAATAGGTGAGAGCCTATATGCGAACCCCAAGGCTTTCTGGTCATATGTAAAACAGCGTCGATCTGAAAACTTTGGTATACCACCCTTGAGAAATGATAACAAGCTCCATATCACAAACAAGGACAAGGCTGAATGTTTGAATAATTACTTTCATTCTACCTTCACCAAGAGCAACGTGGATCAAGTTTGCATAAGCCGGCCCTCCCTATACAATGACATAGGGCATCTCCACATCCACCGGTCTGGTGTAGTTAAGCAACTGCTTCAACTGAATCCATCCAAAGCCAGTGGCCCAGATGAGATACATCCAAGACTTCTGAAGATGCTAGCACACGAGATAGCCCCTGCATTGTCATTTCTGTTTCAACAGAGTTACAATACCGGAGAAGTGCCTTTGGACTGGAAACGTGCACTTGTAGCCCCTATTCATAAGGCAGGAGATAAATGTTGCCCAGGTAACTACAGACCTATATCGCTGACGTGTATCTGCAGTAAGGTGATGGAACATATTATGCTTAGCCACATTTCTAAACATCTTGCAGCTAACAACATACTCATTGATGAACAGCATGGTTTCAGACAGAATCTTTCGACAACAACACAACTTGTCACAGCTACCGATGATTGGTCATCCTCTCTTCAATCTAGAGGCCAAACTGATATCGTCTTTCTCGACTTCCAAAAAGCGTTTGATCGCGTACCACATCCACACCTTAGATCCAAACTACATTACTACGGAATCAGGGGAGACTCTCTCCGCTGGACTATGTCACTCCTAGCGAATAGACATCAAGCTGTCGTCGTCAATGGTGCTCGCTCAGCATGGATGCCTGTTACTTCAGGAGTACCGCAGGGTTCTGTCATCGGCCCCGTACTTTTCCTGCTGTACATCAATGACATCAAACTCAACATCAAGTCCACAATGCGTCTATTTGCAGATGACAGTGTCATCTACCGGCGTATCGACTCTCCCTCAGACACTCATATACTGCAAGAAGATCTCCATGTTCTTGCAGACTGGTCTACTAAATGGCTGATGGGATTCAACATCAAGAAGTGTGCTTCATTGTCAATCACAAACAAGAAGCACCCCATCACAGTGGACTACACCCTACTAAATGAGTCAATTCCTCGAGTAAAACAATACAAGTATCTTGGTGTCACGATTACCCATGACCTTAAATGGAACACCCAATGTAAACTCACCACCCAGAAAGCCAATAGAACCCTTGGCCTCCTACGCAGAACTCTATCACCGTGCACCAAGAACATCAAATCCAAAGCCTACACAATGCTTGTTCGTCCCCAACTTGAGTATGGCAGTGAAGCTTGGAACCCTCGGACTCTGACATCAATACAAAGTCTTGAGAAAGTACAGCGAGCTGCCGCCCGTTTTGTATACCAAGACTACCGGAGAGTAACATCAGTCACAGCACTTGTCAACAAACTGGGATGGGATACCCTTCACAATCGCAGGCTTCTTGCACAGTCCACTTTGTTTTACAAGATGCACCATCATCAACTCAACATGCATTTTCCCACTCACATTATCCCAGCTACATATCTGGGCAGAAATGATCACCCTCTGAAGTATGCAGTACCCCCAGCTTCCATTGATAGCTTCAAGTACTCCTTCTATCCTCGCACCATCTGGACGTGGAACCACCTATCAGCTGCTGCGGTAATATCTCCAACAGTGACCATCTTCCAGGAGGCTACTCTACCCATCATCAGAGCGTTGCCTCCTCCTGTTGGGTCCAAGCTACTGTAGACTCCACGTCTTGGTTTTTACTTGCACGTCCACCGTTTTATTGTAAATAATAGACATCATTCACTGTTTTGAATTACTTCATGCACTGTCACTATGCCAGCACGTTGCACGGACATCCCAGTTTAGCTGTATGATAGCTGCCATCGGGATTATCTCTACAAGTAACAAGTAACTATTCTTGTTTCTTTTAATTTTAGGTCATCCTTCGGCAGTAGGGGCGCCGCTGGTCCGAGAATGAGGATCGTCCTCATAAACAAGGATATCCTCATAAACGAGGACAAAATGCGTCCTCAAAAATAAGGGTTGTCTGCATTTTCGAGGACGTTTTTTTTCATCAGCGCTCTGGGGGTTTCATGTTACAGAACGGCCTGCTGGCGATGCCAAAAATGGATTCCCGGGGGAAAATAACCCTAGTTCACCGTCTACTTTTATGGGTTGTCCGTCTTCCCAAGGATTTATTGCTTATAATGTGAAGGTCTCTGTACAATGTCAATGTAAAATGCATCAAGAAAATCATTGCAGAATCCGTTTTTTGGATCGCCAATGTGCCGATCTAAAATATGAAACGTCTCCAAAAATGCAGACGGTCCTTATTTTTGAGGACGCATCAGTCCGTGTTTACGAAGACGATCCTCGTTTATGAAGACGATCCTCATTCTCGGACCAGCGCCCCTACTGTTCGGCCTTCTCTTCCTCCTTGTCCTGACCTTTGGCTTTGATAAAATTCCCGTCAACATCAAAATTCATATTTTCCCTTCATCATTTGTACATTTGTAAATTGTAGTAAATTTAAGTACGTTGCCCTTCAATACCTTCTCCGTCAGACCGCTGCACAGTTGCTAATAAGCATATTGTGCGTTAGACCGAATTTTCCGTCTCTTTCGTTCGTTAGCCTCTTATTGGGGTAGGGTCGGCCGGCTCTCTGTTTAGAGACGGAAACCGTCTATACACATTCCCTTGATAACGCCACGGCCATTTCAGGTCGTAGCGTTTTGCCCCCAAAATCCCCCAAAATGTCATTTTACCTCGTGCATATCCACATGTAAATTAGGCCTATGCCTAGGCTATAATAAATCAGTTCCACTTACCAACTTGACTGAAATAATCAGTTTAATAGTCCCTTTTTAGGAAATTATGGGTCAAAATCGAAATCCATTTTGAAAATCTTTTTCAACATGGATTTCGATTTTGACCCATAAATTCCTAAAAAGGGACTATTAAACTGATTATTTCAGTCAAGTTGGTAAGTGGAACTGATTTATTATAGCCTAGGCCTAATTTACAATATAAAATGCACGAGGTAAAATGACATTTTGGGGGATTTTGGGGGCAAAACGCTACGACCTGAAATGGCCGTGGCGTTATCAAGGGAATGTGTATAGACGGTTTCCGTCTCTAAAGAGAGAGCCGACCCTACCCCAATAAGAGGCTAACGAACGAAAGAGACGGAAAATTCGGTCTAATTGTGCGTGTGTTATCGTGCGACTCAAAACAACTCGATGAATAATATCCACAAATGAGAAGTTAAAATATCGTGCGAGCATATTGCAAGGGATGACGTAGACTCCATTTTTCTCAGGTATGCGCAGTTTTCGAGCAGCAATGTGCTCAGTAATGTCTGAAATTGCTAAGAGATTAGTGAACTCTGCTAAATTCACAGGAAAGTCTCATGGTTACACTGGAAGTGGAAATTGGTACTCAAATTGGTACTTAGATAAACTGGCGCTGAATGGTCTATAACAAGTGCAAAATGGTCGCGCATAAAATGGTCCCCCGCATCGGTGATGTCGTATAATTTTGTTGCAAAAATTTGTATAGGTGGGCACATACTATTCTTCAACTGGTAATTCAAACGTATCGCTGTCCATGGTCAATCTAATCAATAAATGACTTTCTTGACTGTCTCTAATCCTAAAAAATTGTGAAATCTGTATCTGTTTTTTGTGTGTCAAGAAACTAATTTGTCTGTAATTTTTAAGTAAATAAAAGTTGCAGTCAAAACAAATTAATCATTGTTACCTGTGCTTTTTTTTCACCTTAAAAGGTAAAGCCCAGTATTGGAAACGCCCCAATTTCAAAAAATGAAATGGAAGCTCTTGTTACCAATCATGTGAAAGAGTACATGTATGTTTTGACTTGGACATGATGATACAAATTTTGCTGGGAAACCGCCTACTAATTGATATATTCGGTAAATTAGTTTATCTATTGATGTGTGAGGGATAAACGCACGTGTCATGCACATCTTTCTGTGTACAGTGCTTGTAACTTTACGAAGACTGGGCCAAATTTCTTATCATTTTGATGATTCCAGAACCTTGCAGTACACACCAATATAATGCTAGATGATCAACCTTTTCCGATCGATTCCACAACGTTTCTTTCACAATGCAATCGCATGACCATAACTGGTCTTTATCTTTAAAAACTCAGAACAGACTGCAAGAATGGCCTTCAACAAATTCATGCACCCTCGTAATCGCTACAAGGACAACAAACCAAACTTTGACGAGCTGGCCGAGAAGTACCCGGAGTTTGCCCGTCATGTGATCAGAAACCAGGCTGGCAAAGCGACCCTGGACTTCCATGACTCAGAGTCTCTGAGGTCCCTGACGTGCACGCTACTGAAGGAGGATTTTGGACTCGAGGTTGAGCTGCCGCTGGATCGTCTCATCCCCACCCTGTCACTAAGACTCAATTACATTCACTGGATAGAGGATCTCTTAGCATCAACGGGCCATGGCAAAGAGACAGTGTGGGGCATTGACACTGGTGAGAATCTCAATCAACTTTGTTCATTTTGTCGGTTAAAACCTGGTCCCCGTCTTACAAAGAGTTGCGATTGATCCAAATCAATCATAACTCTTTGTAAGACAGGTTCTGGACTCTACATTAACTTAACCTGGGGATGAAGATATAAATCCAAAAACAAGAGGGACTTGAAAAAAAAAATCTATGTATTGTTTTTCGTCTGAATTCAAGGAAGTAATTTGGCCTCAAACTCTTAAGGTGCTTTACCTTTTTAATCATATCCAAAGATAAAGCATGTATTCTGGACATACTGTGCCATGTTTCATAAAATTTTAGGACCCACAGTAAATGGCAACAATTTGAATAAATGTTACTGTTGTTCGATGGGAATTTATCCTCTTCACTCCAATTGTGTCATTCTATAAAATATATGAATGAGAAAGACGTGAAATTCGGTATGATTTCCTGGTTTTAAAACACTTTCATGCTCTTCATCATTTGATTGCCAATACTTCATTGAGTCCTTTCAGATTCTTGTTATAATGATCCAGTAATATCTATCTAACATGGCTATCCCTAGGTCTGCAACTTTCAGTCTTGTTTCTTTCCTGAGCACATCTATGTATATTTTTGCTCATCTACCTCTGAGTCCGGTTTCCATAATAACATTTGAGAGACAAGATCATCTATTGTCCAGCCATTTTCATTTTTTGTCTGTCTTAGGTTTTAAAAGATTTGTTGGTAGATGGCCATATAAATCTGCATTACTTGTATAGTAAAATTCATTTATTTTGTTTGTGAATGCGATTGATATTCATATATAATATTCTAATTTCTATGGTATTTCACAGGTTGTGGTGCATCTTGTATCTATCCATTGCTCGGGGCTCAGATGAATGGATGGAATTTCCTTGCATCTGAGGTAGATGCATTAGCCATTTACTACGCCAAGGAAAACATCACACGCAATGGACTTGATGACAAAATAACAGGTAATAAAGCACTGTTCAAGATTTCTATGTTATGCTGAGAATCAAAATTAACTAGTACACAAAAGCCACTAATTGGATTTATTATATGATACATGCTCTGACAGCAATTGTCTATCTGATTCTTGGTGAATTTTAAACTACAGCTCTTGATCCAATACTGAACATAATATCAAAGACTGTAACCCTAAACCCAAGGTAAATATGATCACAACAAACCTTTAAAGCCTCACTGCACTACTTATAGCTACTTGCGCCCTCTTTATATAACAAACAATGCCTAATCGATGACCGCTGGTCCCCCATGATCCCTTTTTCCTAATTTAATTGAGAGCTGATTTGATGAAATAACCACCTGGCAGTGACCACACTGGGTGGTCTAATTCCTCCTGGCCAAACTAGGAGAATAACCAAAATTGCCTTCCCTTGCCTCTACAGTCGTGGAGACCTTAGAAGACAGCATGTTCGAACAGGCATTGAACAGCGCCCCCTCTAGGCAGCCTCTCTACCACTTCACCATGTGCAACCCGCCCTTCTTCGGCAACTCTCTGGAGGCACAGGGGATCATGACGTCTCGCAGCATGAGCCGACCGGAGCCCAAGTCAGTCAGCACCGCTGCAGAGCTGGAGATGATCTCGGAGGGAGGCGAGGTGGAGTTTGTCCGCAGAATGATCGAAGAGAGTCTGCATCTCAAGAATCAAGTTGTGTAAGTCACCAATCAGTCTAAATGCATGTAGTATGGTCGACTTAGAGAAAATGGGCATTCCCTACATTTGCCTTTCCCTATTTGTAAGGAAATTGTAATGTGGAGGTGTAGTAGTATAATGGTTCACTTGACTCTTAATCCAAGGGTTTAGGGTTTGAATCACAGTCCAGCACTTATGTCATTTGGCAGGACATTTATCTGAATTTGCCACTCCCCACCCTGATGTGAATGGATACCCAATATGCTAGAGTGCTACATGTTTGGTCACTCGGCTATGACCAGGGTAATTAGGTTAGAGCAACAGGAATGTCACAACGTGACCGAAATGTGCAATATATAAGAAGCTACCATTATTGTTATCAAAATTTGAAAGATACAGTGGTCTATATAGATTTTGTTTAATACATTTTTGCTGCGGAATGGAGAAAAACATCAATCCTCCAGCACAAACAGGATCTTAGAAATTCCAGGATAACTAGTGACATGGGCAAAAAAATTGCCACTACAGTACTGATGATTAAAATGTTGATAATTTGTCAAAGACAGGCTAATTGACCATATTCCCTTGTATTCAAGCATTATACAAATTAATGGCTATCGAATCGAACCTTCCGCTATAGTCATATTTTTCCCATTAGAAATGTAGGCGTTGAGAACTTGTGTTTGTGTGTTGCTCTTTTATCACAGAATTGCCTTATATGATCAGAGTAGGAAAACACTATCTGGATATCTGATATAAGACCTGATTGTATTTTCCTCCAAACATATATAACTTTCTTTTCTTGTTTTCATTAGTTGGTACACCTCCATGCTTGGGAAGAAATCCAGTCTGGCCCTTGTGCGAGAGGAGCTCAGGAAACACAAGGTTAGTATTAAAGTTTTTTGCTCTTGGTGAAGTTCTTCTTAAAGTAATTGATTATCAACCCTGTTTCTGTTATCGGTAGCCTAGTTTCTATGACGCTTTTTTTTCTTTTAATGACTGTCTTCAATATGTGCCAGGTCTTAAATTAAAGGCCTTGGTTATGGTCATGAAGCACCCAGGCTTAGAATTTCTACTCTGCATTAATCAAATCAGTGTAGGCCTTGATCTCTGTTTATTGATAGAGTCCTTGGTCATGTAGTTCAATATTTTAGGTCATGGATGCCTTCAATAGGGATGAAAATGTAGGAAAAAAATAATTTGTAATACTTGCCCTTAATAAGCATCCAGATGTGATGAAATCACATATATTTATATTTTGTTTCCTTTTTTCCATTTTTTTTTTTTCATTACAGATCAGGAACGTGACACATACAGAGTTTTGCCAGGGTAGAACAATGCGCTGGGGTATTGCATGGACGTTCAAGGAAGATATGGAATCACCGGTAAGACATGTAAATTCTACAAAAATTGTATTTGGAAACCATGTGAATTCAATAAATTATTTATTTGGAAAGACAATTAAATTCATCATATATTTTATTAGGAAATGAAATATTGACAGTATACAGTACTTCTGATATCCTAAGTGTCTTCTCCTTATTGCATGATGTTGCCTGAGGAAGATAAACACCAAAAAGTGGTTAGGTATCTTCATGATGGATGAGAATTGAAAGAGGAAGTGATTACTTCAGGGAAGATTGATTCCTTTTTCTACATATACAGTAAAGGAAACTTTTATTTGTGGTGTTTCAACTGGTAGAGAATAAAAGGCATGACACCACTTGCCAACATTACAGTGAAAGAGAGAGTGAAATTTATTTCACTCATTCATTCATTTTGGTTTATTGAGAGGAAATTCCTTCCAAAAAAAATAGTCCAAAGATGGCTACAAACAAAGATTGCATAGTTGCATTGTTCAAGTTTAGTTATAAAAAAGAATTCAACTTCTGCACCAATATTGACAAGAAACAAAATTCAAATTAGAAAGGAAGAAAAATTGTTCAACATGTTGCAGTTCAAATTGATAACGCATAATAATAATAATAAAGAGATAGAGATATAGAAAATATACCTTACCAGTTTAAGTTTGTGGATATAGAAAAATAAAGTTTAAACTTTGAGCACTTATTTTATGAAACAACTCTTAGTATTCTCCAATTCCTCATTCCCTTCAGCTTCTAGCATGCCCGAAAAGAAAATTAGCTGAGAAGAATGTTCCTTTCACCGTCACAGTCCCAGATACTTACATCAAGCGAGTGTTGGAGCCTGGACTGAGTGGAGGGTTACAAAACAGGATCCAGTCTGTAGCTAAGGCTGTACATACCATGATGCAGGGGCTAGAGGTATGGTGTTGCCAATGAGCAAATTATTAATTTTTCTTTCATTTTGTTGTGTACACTTGCGATACTTCTAACAATAATAATAATAATGCTCAGCTTTTATATAGCGCAAATTACAATCAAGTCTCTAAGCACTTTTGTATTGGATGGCTGCCGTGACTTCAACCTTTTATTTTAGGTGGCACAATGTCTGTCTTCGATATAAACAAAGGAGCAAGGGCAGAGTAGGAAATCTCTCAAAAATGATAGATATACAGATAATAACATCATCTGTCATTTTGCTTTTTCAACATGAATTTGCCAAACCAAAAACAAGAGAACACAAAATCTGTTATACTAATTGATAATTGCTCTTCTGCAAACTTTACAATGCTTTTTTTTTCAATCACTTTCAAATAACTTAAAGTTTGATTCAATCAGTTGAAGGACTTCTAAAATTAAGAAAGAGTGTTTTATATGATGCTAATTAAACAATAAATGAAAGAATCGTTTGTTGTAGTTAAAATCATACCAATCTTTTTCAAAATCATGAATCTGCCCGGATTGTAGTGACACAAAAAGTGAACATATCTTTTTCTTCTTTTGAACAGATGTCTGTGAATAGGAAGCCATCATCAAAGTGGTGTCCCAAGTTTGTTCTTACTGCCTCAAGGAACACCTGGTCATATCAACGCAGGAAACGACGCAGAGAGAAACTCATCCAAAGGAAATCTTCAGTCTGCCCAAAGGCCACAGCACAAACTCCTTCACCAGGAGAGTCTTCATCATTGTCATCATCATCATTAGCAGCAGTCCCCTCATCTTCCAAGGTGGTGGCAGGGGAGGAGAGACTTGGTCAGGATGCACCAAGCCGCAAGGACACTTTCCCTTCATCGTCAGCATCATCATCATTTAAAGAGGATGAGCGTATCCAGAGAGCGACGTCTGGTCTTCTGGGTGTGGTCCCATCATCTTCTTCATCTCCGAGAGCAAGCACCACTGCCACTTCAGAGGATGGCAGGATATTGAAAAAGGCTAGGCTTGATACATCTTATCCCCCAGGAGATCCCAGCACATCGACAGCCACACGTTCTGAGAAGCTCCCAACTCCTGCACCCACCCTTAGCACCAACATCTCAAAGGCATCATGTAAGACAACCCTAGAGTCAACATGTTCATTGCATGAAAACACTTTTGCTACAGCAAGTCATGATAGTGCCGTTGGAAGGCTTGGAGATAAAATTGAAGTTCCTGCATCATCTCAAGGAAAGACAGACCTCGCAGACAACATTGTGTCAAGGCAACCTACTGAAGCAGGACAAACGATGACCGATGTCACCAGATACAAGGACCAATCATCATCATCATCAGATGAAGCTGATGATGGCTTCCCACTGGACATAAACCTTGATATTAAACTATGTGACAGAAGGACCATCGTATTCGTTGCAAGTGTAGCGGACTCCTCCAAAAAGAATCTCCTTTACCAGGTCGTCCAATACATCAAGAACCAAATGAAATAAAGCAACTCTTAGGCAAACTAAATTTGTCGAGGATTATATGTACATCATCTATTTTGTTCATCGACATATCTTTTGAAAGTGTTTTTTACAGAACAGCTTTTTTTCTTACTCCTTTTACATTTTTTTGTGGAGTTTTATCAGTCTATTTTTCATTGACCTTAAAGATAAAGATAAAGTTCTGGTGTGTACTGCAAGAGGAGGCGCGATAGCTCAGTTGGTAGAGCAGTGGTCTCGTCATCTGATGACCCGGGTTCAAAACCAAGGTGATGCGCCAGTGCCCTTTGGTAAGGCATTTACCCTCATTACCAGTCCCTCGGAGAGGACCTAAAGCCGTCGGCCGTCTGGTTGCTTACTTTCAAGCATTTATGCTTTCTTAGCAGTCGGGTCAAATCACCACCACTAAAAATAAATTTGGCCCATTCTTGGTAAAGTAACAAGCACTGTACACAGCACATGGGACTACACAAATGGTGCCGGGCCTACTTACCTTGATTTCCTTATCTTTCTATACTCATTACTCAGCCAGTATACATTTTCTACCAAAATTGCTTGGCAAATGACATTTATTTGTAATCTTGAACATTCAGTGTAAGTTTCGTTTGATTCTGTGAGAATTAATTTTCTTTTTTTACCAGAACTCAAGTTTATCTTTAAATTTTACTTCATCTGTTCAGAACCAGAAGGATGTTAACTCCAAAGCTTCTGGATCAAAACAGACAATTTTTTATACCACTTTTGACATTCCATGTTTACTTCCTGGCAGTCTAACTGCTATCAGAATGTTGAGACTACCAGACTATCAGACTTGCACTTTTTGGGGAAATAAGTTCAGCTACATGTATAGTCTAATTTGCAAAAGTAGCTATGTATCATGTATAGAAATAGAACCTATATATACCACAACTACTGCCATTTCCAGCACAGAGAAGAAAAAAAAACTGTGCTTGGGTACCAACTGACTTAAAAATGCTATCTGCCTAACTTAACTTGACCACTTGACCACTTGACTTTCCTTTAAAGCAGTCAGATCCAGCATGCAAAAAAAAAAAACTACTTTGTGATTATTACTACAGTTCCAAAAATTACAATGTTCCACAAAGTTCACCTATAGCTTTGAAATGGTGGAAAACAATGAACTGACATAAATGCATGCGATAAAGCTATAAAAGAAATAATAAAACATTTCTGTCATTCAATATAAAACATAAGTATGTTGGTAACGACGGATGGTGATGAGACTCTATTTCAAGCGAAAGTGTTTGAGACAAAATGTAAATGTTTATACTTCAGAAATATACATGTAGTATAGGAGTTGTTTGAAATAGAAAATGTAAATGAATTGATGAACAAGTATGGAAATGATTTCAGATTATGTTCAGATTAACTTTTTCATCATTTTCCGTACGTGAGACTACCTTTGTATAGAGAGAGATGAATAGGTAGACCCTTCTACAAAGACGCTGTTTTAAAGTTCCCTTTGATGGCCTTGGGCTACATGTGAGGCTTCCAGGTGCCTGAGACTGGACAGATTTATAGTTGAACCACTCAGATGTTGCTGAAAGAGTAAAACTTATATAAAGGCTGGTTCAGATTGGATTCTGCAAAACTGTGGCGTTTTTTTGTGTGTAATGATCATGCAAGATGTAATATGTTTTGCATTTCTGTATCTTATAAAACAAAGCTCAGTAAAAAAGCGCAATTCCTAGGATGCGCACAGTTGCCATTCATTTATGTGTGGGAAAAAAACGTGCCACCTCTTTTGCTGAGGTTGACCGCGCCATATCTTTTGTACATACACTACAGGATCAAACATGTGGTTTGTCTGCAGTAATCAAAATCAACTGTTATGAACATTTCATGAAAATCATGTTTTTTTACTAGGTGAATCCTGATATGTTGATATTAAAAGACATATTCCTATCTGTAATGGAGGCTAGAATGATGTGAATTATAAACATCTCTGTTTCTGATATGAGACTGTGCCTTACCTTTTATTTTATTTCGTCTATTAATCCATGCATCAATCCTCCTGCAAACTGCAATGCTTTGTACGAGCTTTTAATAAAAACATCAAGAATTAATACAGAGAAAAGAAGAGTGTAGGATTTTTTAGAGATGCCGATATATTTTGTCATTGTCTTCCGGTAGTCTAATAAAACATGAATATTTGTACTCCATAAAAACAATTTACTTTTTGTTAGCTGTTATTCATGTTGTATCAGTTGGTTTAAGGGTATATTACTGAGGGTACTAGCGATAAGGTGATCAGGGCCCATCTTATAAAAGAGTTGCAATCGATTACAAATGATTTGAAATTGATTTTAATCACATCTATCTCTTTAGTACAGAGTTGCCATTGATATCAATTGCAACTCTTTCATAAGACAGGGCCCCCTAAATGAGGTATTTTCTCATTTGTGAACTTAGAAGTTTAGACTTTACTACTCAAGAGATTATCCCACCCCCCCCCCCCCCCCCCACACACACACACACACCTACCAAACAAAAAGAAATCAGCCTTTGACACGCACAAAAAATTACCATCTTTCCAAATTTCAGGCCTTCACAATCAAAATTTATTGCAAACCTTTCAATAAACATCAAAATCATGGTTCTATACACATAAAACATCCATTCTGCTCCATAATATTTGACAAGCATAATTACTCTGGACTCCAAACTCACACAACAGGATTAGAAAAAAATGCAATTAATCGAAACACATGAAGCAAAGGCCTTATGTTATGTCTAATTGCATCCAATTACTTGGTTTAAATTATGGATGTTTTATACAAGACGTATCTTCATTGTTGATTCCTTAGTATTATGACCAGCGGATTGGGTTTGTGAAGTTTGGCTCCATTAAAGGTAATACAAAGTTTTGGTATGGGGTCATGAATTTGGTTCAAATGAACATATTGGAAGCATATGCGATCCTTCAATATTCAGTGATCGTTGTCGCAGTTGAAATCGAGTCTAAAGTTGTGAAATTTTAGATAATAAACTCTTTAGGTTGTATAGCTCCCTCTCAAGGCCAAGATATTTATTAAGCTATAAAACAATGTTTCTTGACTAAAATCGACCAATTAGCTATTCCCGTTTGGAAATTATTTATCACAGCTACATATTATGAGATTTTCATAGTCGCAACTACCATTGTACGGCCGTAGTCGCTATTCGAAATTTTATCAATATTTACCGGGAGCACCGGTAAATTTTTATATTCAATTTTTCACGAAAGCAGAAGTGTTTTAGGGGCTAAATTTTCTAGTGCTTCTAATACATCCACAGGGGCATCCAAATATATCAAAATTGTAAAGAATCACTATCCACCCATTTTTCAAAATTCCCAAAACTTTGTATTACCTTTAATCGAAGTGTAAAATCCTCCCTCGATAATTCCATGTTCGTAGTCCCACTACCTTGTATGTAATGTATGTAGAAGAGCTACGTTTAGGAGATCAGATCAAAATCGGATTACTCCCTAATTGGAGTGAGAAAATCATCACAAAATTAAAAAAATTATAGAAATTTGAAGAGTATTTAAAATTGAACAAAATATGTGACAAGAACAACAGTTTTAATGGATGAATGGAATTTTTTTTATTTCACCAGTTCCACAAATTTCTCTTAATATTCAAACTCATTACACAAGGTTATAGATTTGCACATTTTCTACAACTCCTTTCTACATCGTTGTGAAACACTGTCATAATGCAACAACATAATATCTTGAAGTTACATATATGATTAGCCAATTCAAAATCTCTATTTTGAAATACACATAAGGTGGATAATGGATTGAAATACATTTGATTATGTCAATAAATTTTGGATTTATTTAAAATTCAAATCACAATTAAATTGTCAATGGTCTTATATAAAGTACAGTCATCTACAAAGACTTAATTTGTAGACTTGATTTACATCCCTGAAATACTGAAATTGATGTACCTGTTGAAGTCCATATTACTCTGCAACAACATACTGTTTTCTCATGGAAAACCTGTAAATGCACAAATTCAATTTAGCATTACCAATTAGTAGGATACAACACCCAAATTTACATCTGTAATGCTATGAAATTGCATTTAACTCGGCATCTTAGTAATCGGCGCACATTTTCCCGAACCATCTAAACCTTATATTTACTGTAACCTACAAATTATCCACTCGAGTCGTTAACAGAACCCAATATACAAACTTTGGTAAGAATATCATTATTTGTGACATCACACTGGACACTTTATAAAATATGATTATCCTGTGTATTAGGGAAAGGGAAAGAAAGGAAGGTGCTGGAAACATCAAATAGATAAAAACGTGAAGGACAAGAGACACACAAGTCTTTATTGTTTCTCAGTCTCTTTTCAGGACTTCACAATCAACACTAAATAATACAAACGGTCCTTTCAAGGCCTACCCACATGGTTGTACCGCAAATCTACTCTCTAAGAGACACACAGGTAATAGAAAGAAGTGAAAAACATAAAAGAAATAAGACGATATTGAAGAGCTTAACAAAAAAGCAGACTCTAGGATATGTTTACCCAAACACGATCTTACCAGCACTTGTTCGATTGATTCTAAAAAAAGGTAATGTTGAATTCTCCAAAAATTAAGAGCGAGCAACATTTGGTCCCAATTTTCACAAAATGTACATCGTAATTCAACTAGCGTGATAGCATTTGTAAATAATGAGTGAGCCCAAAGTCTGCATTTCTTTGCACTTCTGTGCGTGATAAGAATTTATCCCCTGTAAGATTCCAATATAGTTTTCAACCAAAAAGTTTTTGTTACATTGAAATTCTTTCACTCGATGTTTGTCTTTGCTATCACAAGTATGAAGGAAATAATAAACTCTATGTCACCTTGAATATACAACCCAAAGAAATATAAAACCTGAATAATGATGACCATTTCAACCTTTCAATGATACCAATGCTATAACAAATAAAATATATGATAATGATGACAAATAAAGCTCCAAACAGACGTCAGAACAGATGTGCAGGACTAGATGTATTGTCACAAAGCAAAAATATTGGTTGATTTTGCACAAATCCAAGGTATTTTGGTCAGTTGGTGTCCCGTACAATACTAAGAATAATTGAAACCGAACATTACTGGACAATGAGATTGTAATTTTCCTTCATCTTTATTCTGATCCAAGCTCTAGTAGGGCTTATGACTGTGTAAAATATACAGACCTACTAGGATAACAGAAGTGATCGGTAATGTATGGGACATAATAATTTTGTACCTTTTTAAAAGTATGCTTGCTGTGATGTAACCTGCAACTCTAAATGATGGTGAGAAACATTGTTATATGAGGGGGGGAAAGGGAAAAGAAAATCCTCTGGGGAAAATGGGGCAATTGTAACCCACAAAAAGAAAATGGAACCTATTTTGTCTATCACAGTATCTATATATAAACAATTTTAATTTCAAGATAGATTTGGGCCAACAAAGAACAGATTAACGATTCCTATCAATGATATGAAAACACCGGTTACATCTTAGGATTCTAGTAATGTTGTCCATTTTCGGGGGAGGGGGAGGGGGGGAGGGGGGTTACAGCCCATGCAATATGGTGAAAAAATGTTAATAAACCGAGAATCAAATCCAACTACTTTCATGAATCTTTAATGTAGTGCCTCGACATCAAATAAACTTTCAAAATAAAAATTCAAATAAACATTGTAAGTAAAACCTTACTCATTTTAAACCTTACAAAAACATAAAAGAATACAAAACATTGAATTAAATGGCAAATACATCATTAACACATGTATAATCTAATCAGTATAATTCCCTACCATGTTGGTAAAACCCTTACACACATCACTCATCAAACGGTTACCGTCAAAACAAAGAACCAATCAAAGATACTCATTAATATAGATTTCACTAATCACTTTCAAGTTTCAATAATGCCATTATTACAAAATATACACTCTTACATACACACTCACATTCAAATGGCCATACCTGGTGTAAGACTAGAGTCTTACACTATACACATATAAATCTATATATGTATTTCATACACGCGACTATGGGGATTTGGTTAAATGCGGAAGACTTGGGTTTACTCACACAACATTATTGCTCTGGCAAAGACAAGTAGCACATTATATATTTCCCCTGTATCAATCAAGCTTATCGATTCCTCCAAATAAGAGGATAACAACGAGACAAATAACAAATTCAGTTTAATACCTATTACCTAACATTGACTTTGTTGAGGGCTCTGACTGGAGATTTACCAATGCTTATGGTAATGAAGCTACAGTGAAACCTGTCTATAAAGACCACACTAGGAGACAAGAAAAGTGGTCTTTACAGACAGGTCTTTATGTGCAGGATCCGTAAGTAAATGTTGACAGTGTGGTCAGACAGGTGGTCACTAAAGCAGGTTTGACTGTATTACATTTCAATCCTGACTGCACTTGAAATTCAGCGCGACTATCCACCACTTTCCATCCAAATTTAATGTGACACAAGCACTGACAATCCTACTTCACTCCTTCATCATCAACGGTTTAGAAAAGACTTGGGGTGGTGAATACTTGCCATGGTTTTTATAATCTATCATCAAAGACGGACGTGATTAATACTAGTGAGCGGGTATAAAGAACAAAAATGCACGACTGAGCTAAAGACTTCCAATCTGGCCATCCTGAATGACTTTTTCTTACAAAACAATTAACAAGGTTTATTAATTGATCAAACATTAAATGTAGAATCAATTTCAAAACATATCAGCACCATGATATATATTCATATACTGCCTTGATCAAAGCTGTATGTACTAAACCAATTATAACAAACTTAATTTCACTTTTTGAGTAAATGTTTTAACTGCTACAATAAAATCATTTAATATGCAACAGCTTTCAATACACTGTAATAAAAACAGAAACCAATAACAAAAAATATCTAAATAGATAAGAAATCGTTATCTAAATCGATGAAAAACAACACCCACTGATCAAAACTCAAACAGCTGATTACAAATAAAGAGTGAGCACTATGAGAATTCATCAAGAATTTCATCTATTTGTTCAAAAATCATATGGTCAATGATGAATTAAATCAGGTAAATACTAGGATTACACTCTGTTCAGAAAATAAACCCTGATCATGGATTCATTGCAAATTGACCAAAATATAGAGCAAAATATAGATGTATAAACTTACATCATCAAAAATAAGATCAATGCTTCCACGATAATTGTATCATGTTCCAAGTTTCGTGCATGCCTTTGAACCTAATGATTAATGATTAAGACCTATTACATGACATTAAAACTGATATTTTGTGGTGCATTCAGGGTTTTCAGGTGTCAAACAAAAATTTACAACGGTTTTCTCATTCATTAAGCAAAATGCTTGGGCGGCAGGCCTACTTAGGCACAAAATAAAATCTTACACGTGCATATATTTCTTATATCAAAACTCTACGAGGAATCTCAATGTCACAAAACTCATCATAAATGCAATGTCTCTGTAAAATCCAACTTCGGCTACCTGTATATTCCAATATAAACTATGACTATCTAGATATATCATAGGCTATGGGGTCCCTCGTATTGTTATCTTGCCACCTCAACCTCCTGTGGAGCAGTGGTTGCGTCCGCTGGCTGTGGTTCAGAGGGTGGGCTGGCGGGTTCTTCCACTTTCTCAGGGGGGTTGGTCTCAGTGGCCTCTTCTTCTTTACTCTCAGAGGGGTTGGTCTCTATGGCGGCCTCTTCTTTGTTCTCGGGCTGTACTTCAGTGATGTTCCCTTTTTGAATGCCTCTGATGCTGTGGAATTGAAGAAGGGGAGAAAAAAATAACAAAATCACAATCATTTCTATCAACTCACAAACTCTACTGCAAAGACCTCGATCTATGACAACTGAGGTCACAAATCTAATAATAATTATATTCTGGATCAATATAACATAATGGATCTATGATTTCTCTAAGTACTTTACAGGTAAATTAGATTATGTTACATATTATATAATTTTCTCTTGAAAATGATTTCTTATTGAAAGATGTACTAAAGGAACATGTACATAAAGAACACCTGCCTATAAAGACCACTTTTCTTGTCTCCCTTGGGTGGTCTTTGTAGACAGGTTTCACTTGTCCATCTCTCTCTCTCTCTCACACACACACTACTTTTGTTCTAGGTTTATATGTATGATCAAAGCTTCAGAAAACTACGCTTGGTTTCACGAAAGCTTCCAAGGTCACTGACATCCCATTGATACATCTATCTTAAAATCAACATGCATTTCAATAGGATGTCGGTGAACTTGAACTTGGGACGGTGTCATGAAACACTGCCCAGGTTCATTAGTTACCTGACTGGGATGAGGAATATTCCATTGATCATGTTGAGTGTTTCTAGCACGCTACTCATGGAGGGATGGCTGATTGGGATGGGACGTAACGCTGCTTTGGGACCTCCTCGCTTGATCTCATTCATCTGAAAGACGATGAGATAAACAAAAACATTTTAATCAACATTCTCAACCTCTTCTGATTCTGCTACGGTATACTGTAAAAGTAGAAATATACTTGGTACCTTAATTTTCACAGATTTTGCGCTAAGATCAGCAAGCCCAAATTTTAGAACTCGCGAAAATATAAGCACAATTTCTTATGCATGCACAGATAGTAATGAAAACAATGGAGTGAAGTGTGCAACACCAATTGAAGAACCCGCAAATATGTTTAGGAGTTGCTCAGCGTGAGAAACTAATCACAGGAAAATAACAGCGTTTACAGAACATTATTTTTGTAGCATTTGTCTCATAATACAGAAGTATGTTAAAAAATAATGGGGAAATGGTCTTATCATGAACTTGTCAGAAACGTAGAAACTCTTCAAGTTGGTTTAAATAGAACCTGAAATAATTTTTTAGAAAATTTCAAAAGATAAAAAGGGGAACTTGTACCTATCCATGACAAGACAAGCAAACTAATTCATGATCATTTTGATGAATGATGACATCCATATCCTGAGAATGACTTCTTAATATTTGAAAAAAACAACCCGAGTTCAATAGTAATTTGGTTCTTGTAAACCTCAGTAGAATATACTCACCGTCTTTTGAAGAGTGACAGCTTGCTGTGTGAGGTAACTCAGGCATTCTGAACTCTCCTTCGTCTTCTCATGGTTATCACCAAACTGAAACGTAGAAGAAAAAAAGAGAATTGTTTTACATGGATGAGCTCTCAAATCATCGGATAAATCACATTCCTGATCCATATTTGATTGCAATTAACTAGCTTTTATACCTGGATAACTATTACAGAAGACTTCTACACTTCTACACACATACCATCACTGTGAAAACAATAACATATACTTAGAACGCAACTATAATTACAACAATGACTACAATCATGACTAAGAATTTAACCATGACAATTACTTTGTTAGAGCTTCTGCTGCTTCTACAAAAAAATCAATTTACATAATATGATTGAAAAATAACTACAACTGGAAGATATAACTTACAAATTCAAGCATTTTGTCAACAATTTCAACACAAAAAGAGCCTCTTTTACTTCTACACCTGCTCATTCATCAACCAACATCAATGCTATTTTCAAGAACCAATGCTTCATACTATTTGTAAAATTGAGATGATTGACGAAATACTAACCTGTTCGCGATAGATAGTGTATGCATCCTTCTCATTACGTAATGCTGAACGGAAGTCACCACAGCAGGAGTGAGTTCTGGCGACAAGATGGTATCTGTAAGGGAGAAACAAAAAATAGGAATTTGAAGAAAATATCCAGAACATCTTAATACAATCAAGAAGGAAAGAGAAACGTGACAAACTTGCCCTCAACTGATGATGTCCCTAAATTGAAGAGGTAAAAGTCAATAATCAAGTTTTAAATATTCAAGGATGTCATGGAGAATAAATGTAAAAGCATTACAAAGGAATGGACTGAGAACAATAAAAGGCAAAAGGTGACAGAAGTAGAAGATGATTGCGGGAAAAAGGACTGAAACAAAGATGAAAGAGAAGGATGTTATCAAGGAAACAAAGATGATAGACAAGAACTTCAACAATACGTTTTAAGAATCAGCAAATTTGGGGAACACATCTACCTCTCTTTGATTATTCAAGGATTATTTCATCTATAAGTAGAATAATGATTTATTGGTTGGACCAGGGATTAGCAACTTGGAAATGAGGTCTACATCTATGCTTGCAATAACAGCATATTTGGTGACATTCACAAATAGAGTTCAATCTTGTAAAGGTGTTGTGGTCGAGTGGATACGTAACCGGACTGTGGGTCAGAAGTTCTGTGGCATGAGTCCCACAGCACTAATATCCTTTGGCAAGACATTAATCTACATTTGCCACACTCCACCCAGGTGATGTATATGGGGACCTTGCAGGAATTAATTTCTTGAAATGCTAGAGCGCCGTAATGGCAGCCATGCTAAAGCCAGGGTAATAATCAAGAGTGCCAGGAGTGTCAAGTCTGACAGATATAAGGGCTATACAAGAATCCAATATTATCATTATCTTACGTGTGTGCTGCCTTGAGACTCTTAACTCCAAAGTACTTGATGTTTACTTCCAAAGCCTTCTCCAGAAACTTGAGAGCCAGCTCAAACTGATTAACACCATGAAGCACCAGTCCAATATTACTCTGTAAGATGATAAAACATCAGAGAGAAATCATTGATACATTCATGGTTGGCTTGCAATTTACACATCATCAATTCAGTATAATACAGGATAAATTTCTCTCACAATCAATAATTTAAAACAATATGACTTCTTTTGTTCCCCTTTTTTAAATGATCATTTAGTTAAGATCAGTAACAAATTGTCACACGTATGCTTCCTTTACAGAAAAACTCACCACTTACATTGCAATATTGATATTCTTATTTTCAAAAATCTATTTAACAAGTCAAAAGTTTATCAAAATAACCCTCACTGTACAGAAGCTATCTGATTAGAGTTCTTAAAAGGAAAACAAACTAGATGGAACTTCGACTGCGCGCAGTCGAAAATGATGCCTCCGTCATAGAGCAATTTTAGAAACCAAAAAAGAAGAAATTTTTAAAATTCCAGTTCAATTGTAATCCATTAACAGGTTCTCAGAATATCGTGATTACAAGCAATTTCTCATATACATATACGACCCTTTGATCTTTGACCTCATGACCCTAAAATCTACTCAGTTCATTGGCTCTGCAAGATGTCCTGAGTTAAATAGTAATCCATCTGTCAGTTCTAATGAGAATGCTTTCACAAGCTATTTTTGCATACATAATGAGCCAATGACCTTTGACCTTATGAACCAAGAATCTACTCAGTTTATTGGCTCTGCAAGATACATAAATGAAGTTTGGCAGGAATCCATCAATCTGTTCTAATGATTGTACGATCACAAGCTATTTTTGGCATACATAATGTGCCCTGTGACCTTTGACCTGTGACCTCGTGACCCCAAAATCTAATCAGTTCATCGGCTCTGCAAGTAACATAAATGTACATGACCTAAGTTTGGCAGGAATCCATCAATCGGTTCTTGAGATAACGCGATCACGAGCTGTTTTTGCATACATAATGAGCCCTGTGACCTTTGGCCTTTGACCTCGTGACCCCAAAATCTAATCAGTTCATTGGCTCTGCAAGATACATACGTGACCAAAGTTTGGCAGGAATTCATCAATCGGTTCTTCAGATAACGCGATCACGAGCTGTTTTTGCATACATAATGAGCCCTGTGACCTTTGACCTTTGACCTTGTGACCCCAAAATCTAATCAGTTCATCGGCTCTGCAAGATACACACATGACCAAAGTTTGGCAGGAATCCATCAATCGGTTCTTCAGATAACGCGATCACGAGAACGGGACGTACGTACGTACAGACGTACGTACAGACGTACGTACGGACGGACGGACAACCCGAAAACATAATGCCTCCGGCTACTTCGTAACGGAGGCATAAAAATTATTAAACTACATTGCAAATAAATTTTGATCTATTCAAGTATGATGATTGATACAGATGATTCAAATGAAGCCTAAAGAAAATGGAGACTGGCATAATATCAGGGACCAGTTTCACAAAGCCTTTTTTCAATGACAAATGACTAAAAATCAGTGACAAATCTGTTGATAACCAATCAGAAGCAAGGATTTCAGTAGCTTATAACATAAACTGTCATTTGTCACGGATGACAAGTTTTGTGAAGCGCCCCCCTGGTATTTGGAGATAAAGCGAATCACGATCACACTCACATCAAAGAGCGCCATCTCTGGATGATCCTCTCCGTGGATGAGAAGTGTTAGATAACGAGCTCTGTACATGAGCTTGAGTGCGCTAACTGCCTGGCCTGCTGCAAACCTGTAAAGGGCCAGGTGCATCTGTATCAAAAGAAATTATGATTTTTGTTATTGTTGGTAATAGTTAATGGCATTCATTCAGTATGTTTAACATATACGCCATATCTTCAGTTTTATAAGAAAAATCAGTTATCTGTAATAAATGATGATTACTAGACTCATGAGTATTTATTCCCCCCAAAATGTCAAAATAACAAATAAATTGCCTGGTAACAACTTGATTTATTCTATCTTTAAAGATAGGAGAAAGAAAAAGAAGGTTCAGATGTGTGTCTTACAGGAAAATTGTTACTTCTCGATTAATAATTTCATATTTCAGGGTCAGTCCGACATTTAGAAGATTAGTTATCTCGAGTTCTTGAAAAGACTGAAGAAATTAGATTCTTGACCAAGACTCACATATTCTGTGACAGTGTTGGGATGGTCCAGACCATTGCACCTCTCACTCATCATGACAGCCTTGTGCTGCATCTCGATGGCCTCGCTCTGTTCACCCATCAAGTAGTGAAGCCTAGCCAGGGTGCGCATGCAGGCAGCGATCTCAGGGTGCATCGGGCCGTACACGTTGTTGAAGAGGTTCAGAGCTTCGCTGATAAGCTCAAAGCCTTCTCGGAAGCCACCTAGTGGACAAAAGAGAAAAAGACCAGTCATTATCATATATCCGTAATGATATTTCATGAAAATGTGTGGATCTCAATTTCATTCCATAACATTTTATTGCTAGAGGATGCCAAACTGATAAGCTCAAAGCCCTCCCGGAAGCAACCTAGTGGACCAAAGAGAAAAAGACCAGTCATCAAATATCTATAATGATATTTCTCCCAAAAACATGTGAATTTGTAATTCAATCTGTAACATTTTATTGCTAGAGGATGCCAAACTCAAGCTGTGCTTATGATGACCCCTTTTTTCTTTATATGGTTGTTTTATGTGACCATACATGTTAAGTACATATATGTGTGATGATGTATACGAACGATAAATGAGTAAATAAAATACAATTAATCACATCAGATAAATCATAAAATGTGTATTTAATCATGCCCAAAATAAATGAGTTTTTCACTTGGAAAACAACAATGAATACAGTAGTGCCCTTTATGATGTCTACAGCTCTGGTTCATTCACTTGACTTCCAATCAAGAATACTTGATTGTAGTACTAACAAGCAGCAATGCTACTTAAGCACCACTATAACCCGATGAACATGATACAGTCAAACCTGTCTATAGCGACCACCCAAGGGAAACACAAAAAGTGGTCTTTGTAGACAGGTTCCTAAAGTGCATGTTTCAAAGAGAAACCATTTCAAGGGAAACAAAAAATGTGGTCTTTGTTGACAGGTGGTCACTAAAGCAGGTTTGACTGTACATGGTTTACCCCAGTGTGTCACAAGAACCAATGTCATTAACCTAAACTATTTATCAATGAAAGTAAGCATAATGCCTGGAACCCACCTTGCTGTATCTTGGTCTGCCCGCTCTGAAAGAAGTGATAAGCATCCGATGCGGTGGGGTTGATGTGCTTGACCCGAGGGAACATGTTGAGGATGTCGTTCTCGTTGAAGGGTGGCTTGTTCTTGGAGTCCAGGTCGTAGTCTCTCAGGAGAAGCTGGACGCCGAGCTTGGAGCAGAACTCTCGGAGTAGCGTCATCTTCTGGAGGTTGTAACGCTCCAGGACGGAGTCTATGCTCTCACTGTACGTCAAACACAAGATCAAACTCATGAAAGTTTTTAAGTAGATTGATCATCTTCCAACACCAAAGGTGCACGTACACAAACAGCATGGTCACAGATTTATCTTTGAACTCCTGGGGGGCATTTCACAAAACTTGTCATCAGTGACAAATAACAGTTTTTGTTTTAGCTACTGAAATCCTTGCTTCTGATTGGTTATCAGCAGATTTGTCACTGATTTTTGTCATTTGTCATTAGGATTAGTGAAACGGGTCCCTGCTGTGACATAGATTCTTCTTTTTGCTTTTCTTTTTTTAGGGGGGGAAGAGGGGGTAAAATTAAACATCCTTTTATTTCAAGAAACTCTAAGATGATCTTGGATTCATGTTACTTTATGTACCTCTCACAGATGCATACAATAAAATATGAATTGCGTAGCCAGGACTAACATATAGAATACAATGAATTTAATACTTTGGGGCTCGAAGGCAAGTCTCAAAATCTATTTCTGATGGAATCAAATCTCATCTTAGCAATGTTTTCATTCAATTTTAAGAATTCAAATTGACTGTAGGATTGTAAAATACTAGGATGTGCTTACCATTTGACCTTGTAATGGAAGTATTCCTTGCATTCGACCTTGATACTGGTCCAGAGGTCAGAGGGAGTGAGACTGCTCCATGATGTATTCTCTAAACACACACACATGATCAGAAAAGGAAAATATTAAATCAATAAATATGTCTTTATGTAAGTGATTGCTTTAAAATGCAGAGAATAAACAATATCAATTCATTCAACATTAGGGGAACATTACTTTGATAGCAACTTATAACTATAATTCTGCAAATGTGAGAAAAAGAATATATTGTGAGTCTTTCAACAAAACCTGAGCACTATTCTTGCAGACCTGTACATGGCACTAAATTACTAGCCTGGTATAGGTTTTTTTCAGCTATGACAAATTTAGTTTGGTTGTAAATCAAGAGCATTTAGTAAGAAATTCCTCACTTGGAGCATCATACAACTTCTCATATTTCGAACCATTCTTTCATTTACTTAGCTGAGTGAAAATCTTAAAAACCCTAAAAAAAACAACATCTGAGTATCTGTATTGCTAGTCCTATCTACTTATCAGTATCATAATAATAATAATATGGATATTTATATAGCGCCGGTATCTGCCAAGCTCTGACGCTCATGGCGCTGTACATATATTGCCCTGGCTATAGCCGAGCTGCCAAAGTAAATAGCGCTAAAGCATATCAGGTACCCATTTACACCTGGGTGGAGAGTGGCAGATGTAGATTAACGTCTGTTTCTGTATTGCTAGTTCATGAATTGTACAAACCTTGTCCGAGAGAGAGAACGGTTCGTATCCTCTTCTTATTCTTCTTCTTCTTGTGATGACCATTACTCAACTACATTCAAAGAAAAGAAATAAACAAAACAAGTGATAAGATTTAAAAACACAAAAGAACAATTGTTAACCTTTCGAAATTGAATAATGCTGAATGGGTGATAATTGATGGGCTTTGGGGTACTTCTGGAATGAGTTGGTGCAGAATTTTCATAGCAGTCTATGTTATGGAACTTTGGGCTTCAGTTGTATCCAATTTTACCACATTTCTTCCAGTCATGAGACAGAAATTATATTACATACCCCCGTTGGTCTTCCTACACTCAAGAAATTGCTAGTAAGTTTCTTCCCTGTATATTGAAATGAGTGTTTTTTTAAAGTAAATATGCATGTTCAATATTAATGATAAAAATTGGGGAAAACTGATCTGATTGATTCCTTGCTTCTCCCAACTATATTATTCCAATTTAATTACATTTTAGGTGAATAGAAATCTCACAAAGCAATGAATTGGCCCTATATACCATTCCAAACATTTAAGTGTTGACAAGTTTTTTTAAAGCCTGTCGTATGTCTTATTTACATGGAAAAAGGGATGGGAAAACGGATGGGAAAATTCCAAAATGGTTGAGAGAATTTACTGTTATAGGGTGTCGCATAGTGATGCCTTCAAAGAAAACCACAAATATCTTTGTGGCTTGAGAATGTTTTCAGGATTTTTGCATGTTATAGGGTTATTACAGTAGAAGGAATATAATTAGGAACATTTCATACAAAAATTTAAAAAAATTTCATCAACCTTCAACAATGTTACAGAGTCACTTAAATAAAAAACTCAATTCCGTGATTTCTTACCTCATCATCTCCCTTCGGTGGTAGAGGGTTTGGTAAGGAGGAGAGGAAACAGTTGAGGAAATGACTGATGGCAGCAGATAGATTGGTCATAGGGATGCCTTGCATGTAAGCCTTGAAGACATGCTTCACCGACCGACATATCAACTCAGTGATCACAATACGCTGTAAAGTAATACAAATAATAATAATAATCATCCACCTTCAACACTTGTTTCTTTTTCTTTTAGATTCAGAGTATAATGATAGGCAATTTGTTACCGAAATTAGATTTACTGAATGATCAAAAATAAAGTTTTATATAATATTGAAGCAAATCCATTTCAAAGCAATATTCGTAAAGTTTGAATATTTTGTTCCTCTGCACATGGGAGCCTATAGAGCCAATACGGTCCAATGCAAATCAGAGAAGTGATTCCAAAGAATATTAGTAATGTTCCATAAGTGTGAGATAGGAAATGCTATTTGAAATAATTCACAATGAAAAAATCCAACTTAAAAACACACTATTGCGAACAAATTATTTGTCTCTCACACTTTTCAAACATTTTTTTGCATTCAAATTAATTTTTGTAATTCTGTTTTAAATTTTAAAGTATATTCTCGTACTGACCATAGACTATATGTCCACCCTCCCATTTCTCAAATTAATGTAAAAATGACACATAATTCATTAACAAATCAACTATTATCATAGATTTCATACTTACATAGAGGTAGGATAGATTTTCACAAGTGACTATCTTCTCAGCCAACACACCCATATAACGGATATTGATGCCTCTGCAAGTAGAATCACATGAGAGGTCATGGTTAAACATCATTTGTATACACTCCTTTGAGTTAACTAAACATAATATCAAACAGGAAATCTCCTCCAAATATATATTTTTTTAAATTCTAATTATACCAGGAAGAGTCGTAAGATCTGCATGATTATTAAACTTTCATCAATACAAAGTGTTAAACATTGTTGAACAGAAGTAACATGGAATCAGAGAAAAATAACAAATAACAAATAAATTGATGAGACAAGTGATAGCTGGCCAACTCCTTTGGATCCTTTATTTATTCATCTGTTACATCATCAATGACTGTAAAGATCACACCATGAAAAAATAAAATACCGTAAATCTCTGTGTATAAGATTGAAATTCGGGGGTGCGTCTTATACACAGGTCCATTAAAAGAAAAAAAAAATTATGCCCCTCTACCTGGCACTGTGCCTGGCAATGTCTCCCAACTTAGTCATACACGGTGTGTTGAATCGCCTATCGGAAACTAGAACAACACTACCTGTATGGCCGGATTTCTGCTTGGACAAGTTCACAAGCAAAAATCCACAAAGGTCCTTACCCCCGTGGGATTTTGAACACGGACCTGGCTTGCTGCCTTCCGGCCCCCAAAATAGGGTTGCGTCTTATACACGGAGATTTACGGTAGATCAAGCTCTTTTAATCATAGCTCTCTTCTGTTTTATCTACAAGTGGTACCCCAGCCAACACCTGTTCATGCTATTCAACATTAAGAAAAGCAATAACCCATCTACAACCGATCTTTTTTAAAGCCTGTCTGCAATAGTTTGGCCAGGAGGATTAGACCTCCCAGCGAGGTCAGTGGCAGGTGGTTATCTTATCAAATCAGTTCTCAATTAACATAAGAAAAGGGGGATCATGGGGGACCAACAGGCACCGATTAGGCATTGTTTGCTATATAGAGGGCGCAAGTAGCTATAAGTAGTGAAGTGTGGCTTTAAGAGTGAAATGGGCAAGGAGTTGTACCTTTGATGTAGCATCTCTACCAGTGTGTACCCATCAAGGGGTGCTATGCTGTGCTCTTTACACTCTTGGACCTGAGAGGGGGTAAACAAAAACAATTCATACGGTCAGTCTCATATGATCTCTGCAGCGGCAATCTAATCCATTCACATTATCTGTAGAGTGCACATCAAATCCTAAAGTCTGTTTAGAGGGGGTTTTTAAATTGGGTAAAAGTTCAAATTCATATATGGGTGTTCTACAAGGTATGTGTTTCTTCAGATATTTTTCCCGAGTGAAATTGAAAGAATAAGTTGCATCCACACTTATGCCTAGAGGTCTGAAGTCAACCTTGTTAAAAAATTGCATTAAATCAGCCTATGACTTTCAAACAAATATCATAACATCTTGTCTGTTCATAGTATAATTTAATTTAATTTCAATTCAATTAATTCAATTCAATTCATTTTATTTCCATTTCCCGTAAAAATACATTGAATAGTACATTATACATATAAGCAAATATATAAATAATACAAAGAGCATGGAGGAGTATAAAGACAGCATACCCTATGCAAGTGACCAAAATTCAGTTTAGAAATCAGAAGACATTTAAAATTACATCTTTACACATTTTGGCAGTACGTTGTATGGACGCTGCAAACCTCGTCAAGGTAGTGACTAAACACATCTTAAAAATTACTTACAAATGTTGGGATCTGGACAGCAACAATGAAGCGCGCTGCATCTTTGAGTAGCTTCTTCTGCTTCACTAATGTCTCCGCCTGTAAATGTAAAAATCATTCATCTTCATCGTATTCTAAAAATGCAAATAATTAAATGTAGGAACTATCACCTATAACAGGATAAGAAGAAGTACTATTTCTTTAAAGCGTATCTGCCATAGTTTACAGGAGGGGTAAGACTGCCCTGCAAGGTCACTGGACAGGTGGTTATCTCATCAACTCAGCTCTCAGTTAACATAAGAACAAGAGGATCATGGGGGACCAATGGTCACCGATTAGGCATGGTTTATTATATAGAGGGCGCAAGTAGCTACAAGTAGTGCAGTGGGCCTTTAAGAGAGTAGATTTGCGGTACAAACATGTGTATAGCCTTTAAAAGAATTGTTAGTATTCTATTGTGTCGATTGAGAAGTCCAAAAAGTATTATTTCTTAAAGACAAGAATTTATTTACACGGTAACCACAGAAGCCAATTCAGACATTAACGTAACTGAAACTCGGCCCCTAAAAAGTGGTGATTTAAATTTGTAAGTACTAATATCTAAGTTTCAAGAAAATTTGATAGAAAATGTGTAAGACAATCCTTCTTTGGGACTTAATTCCTGCCAAGACCTAGTGTCTTTGGATTTCACATGTCACTGTAATCATGAGATTTATGTGTAATTTGTGTCTTAAAATTGAATATTTGGGTTAACAATCCCAGTTAAAAATTCCTTCCTCATTCTTTTTAAAAAGCATGTGCTATAAAGTCAGCCATTTTGGAAACCGTTAATGCCGTACCTCTGATGGTGCATGGATGACACCTTCTGCGTAGACATCAGGGTTGAATCGTACATCAAACTCAGCACTGCTCAACGAACCAGCAGCCTGGGCAGCTAGAGCTATCACCTCCTTATGACTGGGATCAACTAGAAAGAAAACAAGATATGTATAATCATTACTGATTAGAATATGTTATGTTTGAATAAATAAGCTAATCAACTAGTGGGGTACAGGTTAACTTTCAAGCTTTGTAGATCCAATTTCAATCTTACTCATGTGTCTTGACATGGCTAAAATGTGCATTTTATTTTACAGAAACGAACAGGGTAAGGTCTAATGTATTTGATCATTGTGTACCATGCATTAGTAAATATGAGGGTATCAAGAACACATTTAACATTGAAATCTTTTCTTCTTTTTTCAAATAAATGGTCTGATCTCAGCTAAGGTAAGGGAATCACCAGGGCCCCATGACACAAAGGTTTGCGATCAATTGCAAATTTGAAATAACGATTCTGATTGGTTAATGGTCAGCCTTGTTAGCAATCCGTGCATGCAACAATGATCTTGTTTGGCCATTACCATTTTCCAATTGATTGGAAACCTTCGGGATAAAGGGCTCAGGTTATACTAAATTCTTTGATCAGTAATGGTCAGTTCTCTATGGGAAAACAACCTGGATCGTGCCCAATAACAACAGAAGTTACAAAGCTATTTGCAAAACTGATGTAAAATACTTTTCCTTTTCTTTTTTCAAACAATTAAGTCTAAATATCAACAAGGCATTTTCAGTAAGAATTCCAGGAGTGTAACCTTCTTCTGTATTCTTTCAATCACTGCCTTCATTTCTTTCCTTCAGGAATTCAATCACTCATTTGTCACTTGCTTATTGAATAACTCAATTTGTTTGTAATGTAAAAGATTTCAGGTTTTGATTCATTAACCACATGCCTTTTTGACACATTGTGATTCATCCCCTTTCAATTCAACCTTGACCCCAAACCAGCATTGAATGGGTCATCTTGTCAAATCTCTGTATGACCCTTTTTCACACTGTGCAGGTATTTGTGGACTCGCTCAACCATGGACATGGCTCGAGGCCGAAACAGGCCCCTCGATGACAGATAGGACTGTGTATCAGGGAGGCCTGACAAAACAACTTCATAACTGGTCAGCAGGTCAACAGAGTGACCAGAAAGATACAAGATATATGATGTTTGATGCTGCTTATAGGTATCGGCTTGCATAGTGAAAGGGCTACACACACACACACACACTTAAGAAAGAAAGATATATGATGTTTATTTGACGCTTGTTTTACCTAACTGCTTAAAGAAAGCATGTGAATGCTTGTAGGTAAGCAACCAGGAGGCCGATGGCTTTAATTAAGTCCTCTCCGAGGGACATGGTAATGAGGATTAATGCCTTAACAAAGTGCACCAGCACATATGACTTGGTTTCGAACCAGGGATCTCCTGGTTACGAGACCACTGCTCTACCACTGCGCCATCTCGCCTCCTCATATCAATAGATGATGAATACATCAGGGATTAGGGACTATAAAGGGAACTAAATAGATATTGCAGTGGACAACAACAAAAAGGTTGGCTGTGGTATTTTAGGGTATGATATTCATTCATCAAATCATTTTAATGAGAAATTAAATTCCTCATTCTCATGTGTACCAGTTCGTTTTCTCCCATAAACCCAACAAGGGTTCAAGATATATTATTCTATGCAAAAAAAAGGCCTGAAAAAAGCTGGAAAAAGCTGGAACGAATGAATTTTGATAGTTTTTATCTCAATTTTCTGCATTACTGAATATTTCTTGCCATCTCCCCTCATCTGTAATGATAAGGTACCCTTTGTCTGTCTCTTCAACTCTTCAACTCTCTCTCTCTTTCTCTCCCTCTCTATCTCTTTCCGTCTTTCTCTCCCGTCCCCCTTCTCTCTCTTTCTCTCCTTCTCACTCTTTGTCATCACTCCTACTCTCCCTCTCCTACACCTCTCCCTATCTCTTTTTTTTTTTTAACAAAAATTTGAATCTGATCAATGAATTTTTATGAAATGTCTATATGTTTGATTATTGATTTATGTCATATTTTGTGTTATTTCAATTTGAATTGCAATTGTATTGTATATAACCTTGTGAAATGGATCGCAATTCAGCCATTGGCTGCGATGATCTTTTTAATAAAAACCATTTCTTTCTTTCTATCTATCTATCTATCTATCTATCTATCTATCTAACAGAGAAGAAACAGAGCATGACATCAGACATAAGCCTGAAAACTGGCATCCACCCTCACTGCCTAGGAATACTCAGGGCTTGGATTGGCCTCTATATTAACGTCCAAACCTACAAACCTGACTGAACAAATGATGAAAATAGTTACCTTCTCTAGTGAAAAGGACACTGTATTTTCTGGAATTACTTTACAAAGGGAAGTAAACTTACATCCATCTTTCTTGGGCGACGTGGCTAGAGCCTTGGCCGCTTCCTCTGTGGCACTGTCCAGTTCCTTCGGCAGATCGGTGCCATCTGTGGAATCCAATCTCTTAAGCGCAGGGCACATATCAGCTCCTGCGATTCCTTTGGTCTTCATTTCATCCACTATTGCTTCCTTAATAGCTTTCTCCTTCTTTCCATCTTCCACCTTATTCTCCTCTTCATTCTTCTTGCTATCATGATCTCCGTTGACCACTTTGTCCTTTGATTCACCGTTCTCTTTGACCTCTGTATCTGTTTCCTTCTCTTCGATCGGTTTCACATTCTCTCCTTCTTGAGATTGTCCATTTTCAGTGACTTTGGCGCCCTCTGCCGGTTGCTGGTTGTGCATGAGCATGAGTGCTGCGTGTCTGATGAAAACCATGTATCTGTGACTGTCAAGAGAGGGAAGAAATGGACAAGTTTTAATTAAAACCTTAGGAAAGTTATTCACTTAAAGTATAAATTTTGTTGGTACTTTTATGTAAATCATTTACAATTCCACCATCATTACATATTTCATCCTCATAAGCTAACATAGACTGCAGGATCTCAACAACAGTATTGCCATAATCAGTACCACAGCAATCATCATCCTAACATTCACCAACATCATCAGTACAAGCACCATCAGCAAATGGAATGCTCTATGAAGTTCTACACTTGAGGCAATGATACTACAATTTCTAATGTATCATAAACAGTTACAGTATGACAGGTAATGACAAACTGCTACTACTACTTATATACTATATTCTTACTTTGTTGTACCAGACTACTTACTCTACAAATGCATCCACTACTTCTTGTCTGAGACAGGCCAGCTTGTGTCTGTGTTGCCTGGGAAAGCCTAGTTTCTTCATGTCTTCTGCAAATTCATCTTCCTCCACTGTTGAACAAAAGCAGAAATAGATCAAGAGTAAGTCATACGGAATAACATTGATACACTCTGTTATGTTGTAAACACAACGATCAAATGATGACGACGAGGGACAAGGGTTTACAAGATGGCTGCGTCTCGACTATCCAATTTCCATCCAGAGGAGCCCAGCCCTCTATTGACAGGCTAGTTGTTACAAACACAACACACTCCTTTTTAAATTATACACACTTATGAAGTCTTTGTGATTAAAATTGAGAACTTAACAAATATCTTTTCAGAAAAAGATGGGAAACTAAAACTGCCTAAACATTTCCCCTGCAACCGATGGAAGGAATATAATCAAAATCTATATGTGGGATAAGACACCTGATTATTCAATGTACTTCTCATTGAAAAAATTAATATGAGCTGATCTTAAATATCAATGGACTAAATAAACAGAGATAGCATTACATGATAAACTAAGACGTATGGCAGATCATTTTTTTTGTCTTCATATTTTGAAACTTGTAATGAACTGCGAGAGAGGTCAAAGGGCAAGTAAGCACTTACTCTGCAGGAAGTTGACATCAGGAGGGAAAGTTCTGAGAAGATCTAGGACGTAGTGACGACCATCGTTTCCCTTGATCCCCTACAAGAATAGGAAAGTGGATGCAGAAGCAGTAGGAGAATCAGTACAATTGTCTAACTGTTTAATCATGCTCTACGTTACCAACTGTAATGGATATAAAATTTGTTTATGGTATCTTGATAATATCATGATAGTCTCATTTATGTTCTTGAAAGGTCTCCTCATCCAGCTGTCACATTTCTTAAACAAAGGATAACCGATTTTAACATTTGTTACATCTTTCCAAGTAGACACATACACATTGATTTCATTAATCACACATAAAAACACAACTTAGGGCAATTCTGTGTGATTCGTTCCCTACGACACACAACATCTATCCATGATGTCATCCAAAAAGGAAAATCTCTTGTTGCGACCACTTCCCAATGGTTCTTTCTGGTATCACTAACATCATTAAATTGTCAAATTAAGCTATCTTACATTTTTCTATGAAATAAATGGGGAAGTGAGATATGCTGTACAAGGACATACTGCAAGGAATCGCCCATATAGCTTTCTGGTAATACTCAATTTCTTGCGGAATAATTAACAACAGGATCTAATTTCCCCGGTATATTTCCCATAGGAACTCACTGCTACCTTCATTAGCTGGGATATCAGAACAGAAGACAGAATAGAAATAGAATCTTTACAAATGAATACATTGAGTGATTATTACCTTGCATTCTATTGATGAGTAGATCTCAATCTCTTCGTCTTTATGGTTCATCACACTGTGAGGCAGGATCTTGAGGTGCTGGGATGTCTTAGTCAACTAAAACAAATAAAGATGAAAATTAAATCAATTGTCTTTATATCGACCCTCGTACAATCATCACAATGCAGGCATATGGATTAGGTGGTTAGAAATTGTCAACAATAATTCTTTTTTTGTGAGAAAAACCAAAATCAATCTAAAATATGTATGAGTATGAACTCATTAAAACTCCAAACTCTCAAACTACAGAGGGGAAAATCATCAACTGCAGCTATAGAATTCTCACTACATAGAGTACAGCACAGATTAAAAATAATGTGATCTGTAAAGGCTCTTTGAAGGAGGTGGGTTTTTATTTCCTTCACAAAGAAAGGATACTTGTTCAGCGTGGGAGTGCCATACATTATGTACAATACACAGACTGAAAAAGCTTGAAATTACAGTATAACATCATGCAAAAGCATAAGAACTAACTTCAAAGGAATACCCAAACACAAAAGTACAGTTGAACCAGCTTTAGCAACCATCTGTATAGAAAATCAACTGTCCGTAAAGACCAAACATTTCATCTTCCGTGAATAGCGAGTTACATTGCAACATTTACTAAAGTAACCTGTGCATAAAGACCACCATAAAGACTGCTTTTGTTGTATCCCCTGGGTGGTCTGTATAGAAAGGTTTAACTGTACATCTATAGAGACATCTACTGATTAGTGACATTGTTCCACTTACAAGCTCCTTGTATTTGTCGCTTGTGACCACGGTCTTTCCGAAGTCGATGGACCCGTAGATGACGGACTCCTCCTGCTCTCTCTCTAAGATACCAGGGATGATGGACTGAGCAGTGATGCGGTAACCACGGTAATCAACCACCACGGTGCCTAGTTCGTACAGACCATCCAGGTCAAATGTGTTGTAGGCCTTCACTCCTTTCAGATCATTGCCCTGAAATGAGGTCAAATGTCAAAGGTCGAGTTAGAAAACATCACTCATTCAAAATGCTTGCAAGAAAATTGGTGAAATTGTATATAGAAGTGACCACTGGCACAAGAGAAGTTCAGAAATATTAGTTCATGTTTCAAAAGATGATTTCTTTTAAAATTTGTATTCATCTCCCTGTGACAACGCACAGTTGCACCAACAAAATTGTGTTCATATGTTAATGGATATCTGTCACTTTTTACTTAACTCAACCTACACCCCCCCCCCCCCCCCCATTTTTTTTTTTAATCCAACAAATTACCGGTCAAGCCACAATAACAGAAATTCTAATTTTTCCTCTCAAACAATTCTTTAGTACAACCATACTTCAAAGTGGACGGAAGAAGCGGAGAAGATTATATTAATCTGATTGTAATAATGCCTTCAGAACTACATGAAAGGAAAGCTGCATGAAATTCTTTGTTGCAAAAATATTTCCATAATAGAGGTTAGTAGCTGTAGGTGACTTACAGGAGCTACATAGGCTGCATGGTCCCCTCCGAAATCTTTGTAATGATCTCTGACGTCAAAACCAAGACTGAAGAAGATATTGTTCCAGATGAACATCTGCATTCTGTAAAATAAGAGAAAGACAAACCAGAACATAAATAATGTCATACAAGACACAGGCGGGAGATCTTAATTAAAAGAAGATCTGTAATCAAATCTACTACCTAACAATCTTATTCTAATAACAAGACATTCATGACATAAAGGTTGAACAATTCAATCTTGCTAAAACATTTGATAACAATAACGTGTTGCACTTCAGGCACATAGTGCAATGCACTGTGGTCAGCTGTGCACTTGTAGGTGAAGGATCTCTTACTCGGACGATATCTAACCACGATTAATGGTCATAACGTTACGCTGATGACTGCAATAATCTCTTGTTGCAGCTGCCACAACATCAGCAAGAATCTTGAAGATCACCTTCTCTCTCTCTCTTTTTTAAGCATGCATTTACATTAACATCATTCATATAAATGTGATATTACAGGCCTGGTGACTGAAATGATATCTTGTTGCGGCTGTGACATCATCAGCACGAATCTTGAGGATCACCTTCTCTCTCTTTTTACCATGCATTTACATCGATATTATTCATATAAATGTGATATTACAGGCCTATATGCCCTAATTAGAATCTCACCGAGATTGATAGTGACTGAATTGCCAACAATGACTGCCAAGGTACTTCATTGAAGCTGATAATATCAGTATGAACCTTCAGGATTGCTGTTGTGTTTAACCATAGTTACACTAATATCAATAACACAAATGTGATACTACAGGGGAGTGTTTCACAAAGACTAAGATCGACTTAAAGTTGGACTTAACTATGGCAGGCGATTCTTGCCACTGGTTGCTCTCGCCATTGGTCTCTCAATTATGATCTTGAGATAATATTTTTATCCTCGATAATGAACTATTAAAATTGTAAATTCTGTAGATTTGTGACCATACGTCCCTTGAGAGACCAATGCCAGTAAAATGGTGAGAGCAAACAGTGGCATGAACGGCCTGCCATAGGCAAGTCCAACTCAAAGTTGATCTTAATCTTTCTGAAACACTCCCCAGGCCTATCAACACCCTACTCACTTTGAATCTTCACCAGGGTTGATGGCCATTACGTTGCCATCGACGACAGCCATGGCTCCTCTCGTTGCGGCCGCTACAAAGTCGCTATGCACCTTGAAGATCGCCCTCTCCCTCAGAAGCCTCTCTGGAAGGTTCTTACGGGCTAGTTCCCTGGTGGTCTGGATCTCCTCGTTCCAGTCCCTGGTCTGGCCTGGGATGTGTTCCTCATAGCCCAGTCTTGATGTGTAAGCTGTCGTGGAAACAAGAAGAACAGTTTAATGCCTATCAAGAAGAATGACAAAGCGATACAAGTTCCTCATAGTTTGAGCATGTCAGAACGGTACACCAGGGCCCTGTCTTACAAAGAGTTGCAAATGATCCAAATCAATCGCAAGTCCTCCAATCAATCGCAAGTTTGCAGTCTCCTATCTATAAATGTACATAGTTGCGATTGATATCAATCGCAAATAAGTTGCAATAAATATCACCTCTTTGTAAGACGGGGCCCAGAACTCAATTTTACACTGTTTCCACCATTTCTCCATCTGTTTAATAATGCAGTCATTTCTTTCAGGCCTAGATGGTGTGCTTCCTGTATTAGGAGGCTCATGAACTGCATTATCACAGACCTCCTCTTGAGTCTGAGATGGAGGGCTACAATTTGGTATGTCCTAAAAAAAAGAACCTTTCAGATATATACAGTAAGAAATGTTGATGTTACCCATCTATCAGAAAAATAATCTAAGTAGGTCGGTAAAAATTGCCATGCATGTAAAGTAATCTATTGTCTTTAAAATGCCCTCCCCTCTCCAACTTAGAAGATAACTCCCTTTTTTAAATGTCTGACCACTTTGCACAGTTTTTTAGTACAAGTCAAATCTGCTTTAGTGACCACCTGTCTACAAAGACCACATGTTTTGTTTCCCTTGGAAATGGTTTCTCATTCAAACATGTACAAAAGGAACCTGTCTACAAAGACCACTTTATGTGTTCCCCTTGGGCGGTCACTATAGACAGGTTTGACTGTATAATAGAATAATACTTCAAGAGTTCTTACCATCCTCTGCTCTTATGGAGTCGACTGTGTGTTCCATCTGAGGGGCTAACCAGGAGTAGACCTGGAACGGGGTGGGTACTCTCTCAAACGGGTGTCGTTGAGATCTTCATGTAAGAGGGGGGAAACAGATGGAGAAAATAACCAATGATCCTGGCAATGTTTCACAAGACAGTCCTAAGTACAAGTTCAACAACACCCCCATTGATCAGAATTTACACGCATGCCAATGGGATGTCGGCGAACTTGTACGTATGACAGTTTCGTGAAACAACGCCAATACTGCATCAATGATTTTTTTTTTTTCCAGTGATTAAATAATTTGGAGAGGAAGGATTAATCAAGTTGCAGTTTCAGCTATGCATCTTTCATGAAAAATGTCTAAGATGAGATATCACTGATCAACGCCATCTTCCAGTCATAAACTTGTAGTGGTATAATGAAACTCAATTGAATTTCTTTATGCATCACACCCCTTCGCTTTACACGATATTTCATTTGAAATTGTGACAATCTCGCGATAAATTTTCCCAATAATTGGCATAACCATTGACTGACATCATCCATTTCATTATTTCCATTATCAGTGTTATTTTTCACATTCAATTCAGCATCTAGTGAATCTATAGCATGGTACTGGATCATCATGTATTGTTCTAACCTTTTCTTGAGCAGCTGAGCAAAGTTTTTCTTGAAGCTTGGGCTGACTTTGTTGAGTATCTCGATGAGGGAGTGGGACAGGTGCTTCTGGTCGGCTGGTTTAGGGTTGAACACTTCCTGGGTCGATCTGGTACAATGAAGTAATGAAAGGTCATTGCAGTGTGAACACCGATGTACACAAAGAAGTGTTTTATTTGGTGTTTCATTAACATAAAAGTCTGTTCCAACGAGCTTGGGGTTGAAAACAGTGTGGTTGACACTTGTGATTCAACATACATGTAGGCCCCAGTTGTAACATTTTTTTTTTAAAGTGGAGCCTTACTTTCCGGAACCAATGCGAGTTTGATGCCCCACTAAATCTCAACACGTGGGACAACAGTGTAAATTTTGCACAGACTTGGTCACGGTTGGGTTCCAGTATATGAACCAAATATCTCTGGTCTTATCAAAGAGGTACAAGAGGGCATTGCTGATTCGCAAAGGGAAACAATGTCTTCTTTGGTGTTTCAGTAACATTTAAATACATGTATGATTATGTAGAACCGGTTCGGGTTGAAAACTTCCTGGATTGATCTGATGATTCAAAACTAAGACAGGAGATAATAAAAGGGCATTTGAAGAATTCATGTTGTTTCACACAGTGAAATGTGGGTAGTAAATATTATACGAGTGGAGAAACAAAATACCCCATTTGCTTCATTTCAAATACACCTTGATACACCTATGAACATATGGGAAACAATGCAACACAAATTTGCCTTGGAATGACAACTTTTTTGAGAAACCCCATGTTTAATGTTGATTTTGCTAGCAGTGATATTTATTAAACTATCAGAGACAATGACTTATGTCCTAATGGCTTATTTTGCTTGATAATTAGGAAAACCAGTAGGTATTCTGGGCCAATAATTCACAGATAATCCATTCACAATCAATATAAACCATTTTGGAACACTATATTTTAAAGTAATTTTTGTGCTCTTGCAGCTTTCAAGGTCATTGGAAGATGATAGACCTGATTTCATAGAAGTTACACTCAACTATCTAGCCATGAAAGACAAACTGGAGGATACATGTAAGTTCGGGGTTCGACATCAGAAACTAGATACCCTTAAACAAACCTAGTGCACGAGCCCCTAAGATCTTCTTTTGGCACTGGACGCGTAAAACGAGATGTTGATAACAGACATCTCAAATACACACATACAGGCATGGCCTCTTGGCAGGCCTGACTGACTCCTGGACCAGATGACCTTTTAAAAGCCCGCCCCCTCTCAAATTCTTCTTCTCTCTTTCTCTCTCTCTCTCTCTCTTTCTCTCATCCTTTCACTCTCGTCCAATGCCTTCACCATGCCTAACAGAACAGTGAGGAATGGGACCTAATTGGATCGACTAGAAGAGCCGGCCTCGGCTAATTCAATGGAATCTAGCGGTCATTATTGAGGTTTGTTATTGTCTGCATTGGGACGTTGGTTATGTGACGGTTACATGACAGATTATTTTATAATACACTGTTCTAATTGAATGATCGGCTGTTAATCAGACAGGCATTGATCTCACTCAGCACATTTGTAATTAAACAAACATTAACATGAATGTTTGACTTCTAAATATTATGCAACAAAACAGTTACAGTAAAAGCTATAATATTGCAAAACAAACATGAATATTCGGTGCGAATGTCAATTGGAAAAAACAATGCTTTGGGAAAATATTTTGAAATATTTAACAAAATTTATTTACATCAAAACTTCCTGTGAATAATTCCTTCTTAATTCTTATCTTATTCTAGTCTTAGAGCTAAAATAATCTATCAAACATCTATTACACCTTCACAAGTAAAATGAAAGTTGAAGCATCATGTGCTATATTTTATAAGGAAGAGATATCGAAGTTGTGCAGCACAGTAATATGATTTAACATTCCCTACCAACTCATGCATTTGTAATGTGGAAGCACTCACTCAATGAGAAATGCATTGGAAATCACTTCTATTTTCTATACCACATGTGCAATGATTGAGCGAGAGGTGTTTGCACAATATGTATGCAGATCAAATCAGTATTCCCTCTCTGGGGATTTGTATGGAGTCTTACAGTGAGAGTTTAAGGGTGCATGGCATTGGGGTATGTTCACATGACACTGGAGAGCTCGGAAAGTTTTTTTTTTATAGTGTTAAATGAATGGCCAGTAGGAATGAAGGCAAGTAGGAATGAACAAAGTGGCTGATTGCTAGGCAGGCCTAATGTGGCGCACTTTTTGTGTGTAATAAGATACAGAAATGTATCAGAAATATCTATCAGCTCTTAAACACCTCGGTTGCACTGACAAGACCAACACCAGACTAAAACTGGACCGAAATACCTGAAAATCGGTCAAATTGGTTTAGAGTTGGTTTAGAGTCGGTGTGGAGTCTGCGTGACTGTGACTGAGGTATATACTAGTGCTGTAGTCAAACGTTTAACCGTCCGGTATCCGACCGCCCATGGCGGATTCCGTTTTCAATTGGACGGTTTCGTTTTCCCGTTTTTTTTTTTTTTTTAATTTTTTTTTTTTAAATAAATCATTTAACCGAAAACCGTCCGGTTTTGACAGGCGGTTAAACGGAATTGGAGATATCCATGATGTTACAGCACTAGTATATACCTATAAACTTTTAAGGAATGAATTGTAAGGGATGACTGGATTACTTACTGGTTGATATAGAAGCCTCGTGTCGATGCTGTAAGATGGTAGGATGTTCCTTCAGAGCACACAACGTACAGGTACATCAGGTCACCTATAGAAAGGAAAAAGATACATAATCGTTATAAGTGTTACTCTCTTACGATTAAAGAAATTTTGTTTAACCTCTTTTTTGTAGCAGGCTACAAATCACCAAGATATACTACATGTTTTGACCTAAAAAAATAACCAGTTGTTTTTAAGAAGAAGACAAATTGTTTTAACTATCAAAATCACTACACAAAAATTAAACACTCTTTGATTTGCTTTGAATGCTGGTTTTATGGGGGGGGGGGGGGTTTACTCGATTTTGGTTCGTGTGTTGGTAATTCACAAGATTTTCCAAGTTTCTATTTTCTCAAACCTATTGGAATCATGTGATAAAGAAACTTCTTCTAACATGATATTTTAAGCTTTGTGTGCCAAACAACAAGGGAATTGCTTACAAAAAATATGAAAGTAGAGAAGGTAGAGTGTGCATGGATTTTCAGCACTTCCAAAATCTTAAACATTACTCTTCGTCAGTGTTTTCCTCAAATTTTAACTCATCAAATTTTCAAGTTCTCATATTGTTCAAATTGTACTGATATCATGGTGATGTTGCATTGGACTTGCCCTTTAATTCCTGCATATATGTGACAGTGTGCTTTACCCTGGGAAGAGGTAGTGTACCACTCACACACAAGCATTCCTAGCATCAAAACCAAATACACAAATATCCATCCCTTCTCTAGAAATTTCATTCATCGGATATTATACACCTGACAAAAACTCCTGAACCCTCTGCGCTTGAAGGTGCAAGCTCATCAATCTATTATTGGATCAACTTGACAGATAGGTGTGAAAATCCAATAAGCGTGTCGTAAATTTTACAGTTCACTAGATGGAGCGAATCATACCAGGTTTGAGAGTACTGTGTATACTTCTCTGCAAAACTGACCAATACTTCACAAAATTGTTCAGTATGCAGTTAGTAATGAACTCCAGAAACCAGATACTGATATTGTTTAGTAGTACAAATAAACGGACAAGATTCTCAAGTGAACGGAACATGTGTATTTCAGGTGGCCATAAATCTTAACCAGGAGAACAATTCTACCCATTACATTTCAGAACTTAACTAAAGACATACCTATTTTAGATTGCTTACAATTGGTCACTACTTTTTTGTCATTCCTAGTTAGAATCGTGAACATACATTTTTGGTAGTCTCATCAGCACCTTTGAATAGGCAACTAGATATTGGCGTTTTATAAATTTCTGGATTGGATTGGATTGGATACATTACATTAGTTACATTGTACACATGTGCTCATTCTGGTAATGTCATTTATCGGTACCCCCACTTCCCATTCCTACCCCATTCCCAACCCATATGCACATACGAGAGATTCAGGAGAGAGAGGGGGGGAGCAAGTCATACTCATAGACAGATACATTTAGACAGACAGAATGAAAATCTTAGAGTGGAAGAGATAACAACTGATAAGATCAAATAAAAATTGCACTTTGAGCTGTCTGTATAGTATTTGTTAACAGCAATGTTAAGAAATATTGAACATGACCTATCACATACATTCAATGATTATGACTTATTGCGGTGATTGCAGTCAATTCCATACGCAACAGACCACATAAGTTTCAGTTATGTTAAAACCGTAAACTTCTACGTGCAAGAAACGTTCTTAAGATTCATGGAGGTTTCATGCCTGCAAAACGAATCGAGCATACATGTCATAAAATAACATTTTGCATTTTACAAATGATTCTTGCTGTAAAAACGGTCCTCATTAACAAATCACAATGGTTTAATGTTATGAAGATTTCTGGTTTTTAAGTTGTGTTACATTTACATCCTGAAGACTTGATCAATTTGAAATGCCTCCCTGTAAACTCATTAACAATCATGAGATGCTTTGATTAAGTATTACAGATTATTAACTCTGCACATTTCTTGGTGTGATTTACTTTTCATTCACCTTGTGTTGCCTCTTTTTTCAATTACTTTCCATAAATATCTAATGATTTCTTTCTCAATGCTGAATGCTGGTTACCACTCTTCTATTGTCAAAAAAATAATATTACAACGTTTACTTTAGCAAAACCAGGACTGTTATCTAATGAACTACACACCCTCTGTCAAAAATGATTTTTCTTTTTTTTAGTTTATTCTCAAATCAGTTTCTTTTCATATTATTATCAGTATCAATTAGGCCTGAGTCATGTCGGGATTTTCATAAACCGGGTCCCGACGGCCTTGCACCGATCGGGACCCGGTGTCCCGAAATCAGCTCGCAGGATTTTGTCACTTGCCTCTATAAAAAGCGCATATCATCAGTATGTCCCTTAAAAGTGACCTTTTTTATCAGTCCAATAAATCAACACATGCATACCTCGGCACAGATCGGTATATTCTTCCATTTGACATTATTTTTATCCATGATTGGCGATGTTTAGTGCCGTTATCGTGCCTCTAAAAGTAAAAAAACTGGAGCAAAAATAGAAAGACAACGATAGAGCCGCCATTTTGATTCATGCAGGTTGAATAAATCGGGTCAAAAAAACCTTAAAGTTTGAATAATAAAACGGCTTTCTAAAAAGTACTCCTTTACAACATACCGATCGAATAATTTTTAAAAACAAAATAGATATTTTTTCTTTGATTTTGAACACCGCATGCTTCTTTTAAAAGCTGAAAATTACTTGGTAATCACAAGAAGTTTCGATACGGATAGCTGTTGCAAGGCAAGTTCGGGTCCCGGTGTGATCGACCGTACCGACTCAAGCCTAGTATCAATACTACTTCTACTTCTACTTCTACTGCATCTTTTGGGATTAGAAATTTACCTCTTTTCTTCACAGCATAAACTATTTCTCCTACAAGAATAAAATAAACTGTGGAACAAAAATGTTCAATAACAACAAAGAGTAAAAGACTTAGAGGAAGAAAAAAATGAAGGACATATCGAGGGTTCAGTGACACAAAGACGTAACTCCATTTTGGCCATTTTGAGAAAAGTGGTTTATGTGTCACTGAGCACTTGGGCCTTAAAAGTTAAGTCTATGTTTCACTAGCCATTGACTTCAATGAGGTGTTGGGTGGAGTTAAGTCTTTGTGTTTCCTGGAAAGCCCACATTTTCTGAACATTTTGATATCAAATACTCATTTTGGCAAAAAATGGAGTTATATCTTTGTGTCACTGAACCCTCGATATTACATCTTTAGTATTGCTCACCATGCATCCTTCTTGTGCCAGGGGGTGGGTTCCATCCTGACAGAGTCAGCACCTTCAGACAGCTCAACGATCGGTTGTTCTCCTTAAAGGCTGGCTGCATCGGCAACAGAGGGCGCTCTTTAGACGCTGGCATGATGAACTCCGGAGGTGTGCAGTCCACCACGTCCGATGCCGCTGAGGATTTGCTGCGCTTCCGGTCGACTGACGGAAGCAATGAAACATAGGATAAGGGTAATAATCAGGGCATATAATTAATTGAAGTATTTTGTTAAGCACTCTGAGTATCATGGTTGTATTGAGCTCATTTGGGAGTTCCACATGGCACTGTCTGCATAATGTTTGATAAAATACTGTAACAAAAAAAATCTATGAAAAGTATTTATATATACATTAACGTTTTTGAGGATCAAATCGCTAGGTGTATCTTTCCTAGGTTCCTAATGTCAATAATATTTTGATGCTAAACATATACATCAGATTTTGAATGTAAGTATTCAAAAGACAAAAAGTGAAAATCATTAAAGAATGCATTTAATACCACAGACACTGACACCTCATGTTATTGTAAAAGCTATATATTTTATTATTTTTTTTTTTTTTATAGATCTGCCCACAGCCCTGTAACTAACTTACAACCTTCATGTTCGGTTTCACTCCATAATATCCCAATGAATATTCAAAGCAAATAGATTACATGGAGGAGTAATGATGGCATTACAAAGGACAGTTCTTGGCTAAGTTCCAACAGGGATGGCATCATCACATCCCAACGTAACTTACATCACAACCTTCCATCCAACATACTAGCTCTAGGGTTATAATTGTTTCGCAACATTTGTAAACATTAGAATCCCGATCATTAATCTCTGTCCATGTTGAAGAACCATCCAGTCCAAAGAGATTTATCAACTTTGTGAAGCTACACAAAGTCTGGATAGGTTTGTGATAAATGAAATCAAAACAAGGATGCAGGATACAACACTAAAAGTAAAACATGAGTAATCCAAAAGATCCTGCAAGCGTATTCCGAGTGTTACACATGTATACTTTTTAATCTTTTTTAGATCAAGTGAATTTACAAAGACTTTTAAGCGTAACATAGCATTGTCAAAGAGATACATTTCAAAATATCTTCAACTTAAGAAAAGGCTTAATAGACCGGTTTGCTATCATATTCATATTTATGGATGTTTCTTTCATGGGTACCTAGTGACGAAGTACTCCATGAACCCGTTATAAAATGAATGAACTAAAATACTTTGAATCCAGTCTGCAGACATTACTTGGTGATATGTCGGGCAAGTCCCAGACAAGCTATTGGGGTCGTTAAGAACAACCCAGGTTCTTAAATATTATGCATAGAATTTGAATATGTTAGAAAACCGGTCTATGAATTAATGTGATTGCTGTGCAGTTTTTTACCTTTTGCATGGGCAGACTGCACCCACATAATCCAGATGAATATTCGATATTCATTTTCCCTCTTTAATAATCACATGACATAGAAACTTTCGCAGTAGTGCTATGTGCATACAGCGTCTTTTAGTTTGCATCTCAGCACTGGTGTTATTGTGTACTTCATCTGCAACAAGATGTATGTCGTGTTGATATTACGAGTAGGAGTTGGCACCGTTCTCCCTAACCTTTAGGATGCTACATGCCGCTATGCATACCAGTCTCTTTACATTCACATTGGGTCTCTCTCACTTAGACGTAGAGGGACTCAAGCGTCAACATTAAAGTCAGTGACATGTTATGATGGAGACTAGCTCAGGTTAAAGCATGAAGGCCTTTACACCTCAGTCACACTGCCAAACCAACTCCAAATCGATCCTAGACTAACTGATTCAGGACCATGCAGTGTAATGTAATTTTTCATTTGGTCTATGGTCAGTCTGATGTCAGCCATGGCAATGTGACTAGGGTAGGAGCCTTCTTGTTAGGTCAACAAAATATTAGGTTAACCGAGCTCTGTTGTCATTCTAATGTAACCTGTGTTTACAGCCAAAAGTTGATTTGACAATATATATCATGTCCCCACAAAAATTTATCTAATGGTCCTGCTATCACTGTAAAGCCCACTTCTGGTCCAGACTCAACCCACTTTGAACCCATTCTGACAACTTTCACATTTAACCCAAAGTGTGGGCTTAGTCCGGGCTCCCACAAATATTCAACCCACTTTTAACCCATTTTGGGCTGTGATATGAAACAGGGATGGATACCAGCTGCCTTTACTCAATTAGGCTACAAAAGTAGAAAGAGACCAGGAAATGTTGGAGCCCATACATTTCGTACACTATGAAGTCTGAGAAAGCCTGAAACAGAGAGGTGACAGGGCATGAATGCAGGCAAAAACCGGATATTGGCTACATACATAACAGATCCAAAGGAGCAAGCCTTTTACTGGCAAGTTGCCAATCATTTCATCAACCATTTTCAAGACCTTCTTGTACTAAACACGACCAATCTACACCAACGACCCCAAACTCCAATAATCAATCTTACCGCCTTCTGGCTGGGAGCTAGGGATGTAAATTCCAGAGGGAGCGCATCCATTCCGGAGAGATTTGCCCCCATCGAGGGAGACACAGTATGGACTGGGAGGCGATTAAACCAAGGATCTATCTTTGTGTGTCTCACAGCATGAACTGTGTCTAGATATCAAGACCAGACCAGACCAGCTCAACATTATTATGTACAGTGAAATGCTACAGACTGGCCCATCCATGTTACAACAAACAAACGAACCTGAACTTCATGTTGAATAGACAAAATAGAGGGTACAGAACAGGAGAAAGATGTAGGATCAATTATGACAAAATATAAGGAATCTCCATAATTTAGAGCTAACTTTGAGTTCAGGTAGTGATAAATGCTTGTAAAAGGAAACAGATTTCTGAATTGTCTATAAAAAACAACTGATCAGTAGTTTGATAACCACAATGAGTAGTTCATCATCTTTTTTTCTTTGCTCACTTCTATCTATGAATTATTCATTTTCAGTCAAACAAGAATTCATATTTACATCTAACCCACTCCATCCTTGCCAATGATTTAACAAAAGTGCTCAAGCATCACAGCTTTCTGAATTGAATCGTATTGCTCCTAGTTTTAAAGGACCAGACCAACAGTCCTGGGCCGCATTTCACAAAACTTGTCATCAATGACAATTGACAGTTTTTGTTATAAGCTACTGAAATCCTTGCTTCTGATTGGTTACCAGCAGTTTTGTCACTGAATTTTGTCATTTGTCATTGAAAAAAGGCTTTGTGAAGCGGGCCTCTGGATCTACTCTACTGGGGGTTACCAATTGATGATGAAGAACATACCTGATCCTCCTGGCACTGTCAATGACCCCAATCCCAAAACATACTGGTTCATCATTATCGTGATTACATACACTTCGCACCTTATTAACACAGGTATAGTATTGGTTGCAGATCATTAGTTGGGGCTAGACATGACTGTTTTGATAACGATCATGTCGAGGCTCATGAAGGCAAGTGGAGGGCCGATATAATACAGGAGATTAAAGCAAGATATGGATATAATACCTACCATTCTAAGATTACAAGCCATTAATATACAATTTCATCTCAGTTCACAACATCGACCTACATCTGCAACCTACATGTATATTTTTAAGTATAGAGAATAGCATTTGACCCCTAAAGGATTTTGAGGATTATATGGAAAATCGCCATGAAAGATCAAAATTTGATTGCAAAATAAAACCAATTTACTTGCAAGTGAATGGCTAGTTGGGTGGGGGGAAAAATAACTGTGCACAACAGTATACTAACCTAGATCTGTGTGCTTTTAGCTACAGAAATGCAAGGATCGTTGGACTTGTTTTACCACTTCATATGTGAATGAGGCTTCAGCTGATCTAGAATTGGAGAGGGGGAAGGAGGGGAGGGGAGGGGAGGGGGGGGGGGTCAAGGCTTTGAATTGTTCAATAATTTTATATTTCCATTAGCAGAGGAGTCAGTGCAATGAGTACACATCAATCAGCACCTATATCAAAACAGGCTCAAATCCTTTAAGTCGTCCCCCAGCTGTACAAAGCACCCCTCCACATTGCTGCCAGACCAACGAAAGACACAAAGCAGTCATCGCTGTGATGGTAAAATGCATGTCTTGCATAGGGAAGTAAAACCATACCCGTGGGGTGTTTCATAAAGCTGTGCGTAAAGTTACGCATGACTTTACGAATGACTTGAATATGAAGAGCTAAATGGGATTCTCAAATCCTTTTAATTGCATAAGCTAAAGTTGAAATATGCAGATGTAGAATAACCTAATCATTAATAAAAAAATATATTAATGCAAAGTGTATTTTTGGCTACAATTAATTGAGATTATGGGAAATACAGTCACACTTTGTTAAAATGTCACAAAAAACTTTGACCATCCGATTTGGCTCTTCATATTCAAATCATTTGTAAAGTCATTCGTAACTTTATGCATAGCTTTATGAAACACCCCCAGGGGTTGAGGCAAAGACTCATCATTCCATGAGACATGAGATTCAACAAAGCTTCTTTGTCTTGTTGGGTAAAATATACAAACAGAAAGTTGAGAACGTAAAAGTTGGTAGATGCCATTGGAGACCATAATGTTTCTAAGCCAAAGGGAAAAATGTGTGAAATATAAGAGAAATTTGCCGCCCTTTAAAAAACATTAAAAATTAATTCTTTGTTTCATGTAAGTACCAAGTTCCTGAATGAAGAAAAAAAAATCTCTACGATGTCATTTATTAGAAAAATAAGTCACTAATTAACTGTTTTATTGCTTATCATAATATCCTACAACTATAGATGGATATTTTGTCACCACGTAGGGGACATGCAAGTATCATAAAGTACACTTTACTGCAATAAAATGTACCGAAGAGTTATGATTATTATCAGATAGGAAGGACTGGGCCTTGTCTACTCATAGCTACTTGCACCCTCTATATAACAATGCATAATCGGTGATCATTGGTCCCCCATGATCCTCCTCTCTTTATGTAATTGAAAGCTGATTTGATCAGATAACCACCTGTCCTGTGGCCTTGCAGGGTGGTCTAATCCCGCCTGTACACTAGTACAGATGGGCTTTAAGCTGTGATTGTCCTTACCTTCACTGAGGACTGTGGATAGGAATGAGAGAGACTGGCAGTCCACTCCATTGTACGCATCCGATGGATCCAGAGATTTGAGCAGGTCTCGTACATGGCGAACGTGTATCCTGGCTTCACGTACTGTGTATGGCTCTGGAAATAGCAAAAAATAAATTAATAAAAGATGACATTTTAATGCATGTTGATGATTTCAATCACATAAATACAATTGCATTACATTTCATCCCACACCTACAGTTCAGCTGCAAACTCTGTGGATTTTTTTTTTTTTTTTAATAATTTATTTCCCTGCAAATTAATCTCCATAGACTAATGTATTGTGTAGTGCCATACATAGTCTGTGATCAGAGTGATTAGCACTGAAACAGGTGGAGAAGGCACTGCTTTATATACATGTACCTCTGTTTGTTACACAGCTTTCATCTTGTGCGGAACACAATCAAGGTATGTCTTTGAACAGAGTTAGCTCTGTGGATATTAAAGAAATAAAAATGATGGAAATTTGATGCATGTTAATGACTTAAACTGAATGAAGCGAAATTTATTTCAATCCATTCCATACATGTAAATCTATAGTTGAGTAGCATTTCAATTTAATCATGGTATGAGTTCATACATGTATATTACAATGTATATTACAATGTATATTATAGGCTTAAGTCCCCTCAGGAGCCGTCCTAAACTTAGTGTAAAATACTTTAATAGCCAAAAGCTTCAAATGAATACCAGAGTTGGCCAAGTATTTTATCGAAGCTAAAAGTTAGTAAAACACTCAAATATTTCTGACACAAGTATTGAATTGAATACCGGCCCAGACTATTGTTGGGCTATCCCTTTATTGTTAAGGTTATTGCTCCTTTGATGAACACTTCAAGTTCAGACATCGGGTAATTAATCAAACCCTCGAGGCACCGATGACCTTGGCCTAAAAACTTAACAAGGGCAAGTGAGGGCGCCGATGACTGGCAAAGGTTTTATCGTAAAGTTGTACCTAGATGAATTATTTGCTCTCAGGATGTTTGATCATGAATTCAATGCAGTTCATTCAAAGTAAATATGAACTGAAGTGGCATGTACTTGTAGACTGTTCTAAAATATACATGTATGCACCATATTAACGCATTATTTGCTCTCCGGATGTTTGAATGTGAATTGCATGTACTTTATTCAAGGTAAATATGAACTTTAGTGACATAAAAACTTGTTTGTGACTTCCTAGGCCAGAACTTTATACCTTCTTATCTGCCTCTTTGGCTATAATAGTCCCACTCCCTTTCTTCTGTGAGGTATCAATAACCATATCAACCGAATGTTTACCCAATGACTGTATCAAGATGATAGCCCTAATATAGGTTGAATCAGACAAAACATCAAACAAAATGATACTTTTATGTCAAGATAGGTTCACAATTTCATAATCAATAAATCAATAAAAACTTGGTATCATACCTTGAACTTGCTCTTAACTACACAGGTCATATTTCACAGCCTGCTCCACCCACCCCTCTGTATTTTCCTCTTCTTTTAATCTAAGTAAACACTTAACTGCATTGTAAGACATTAATAAATAATTATCACCCTGAATCAAATTCAATAACACAAAGTACATGTACATATCAGATCAAGTCCTTTCAAAGGAAGATTCCACTATATATAGGTGGACAAGACCCATCTACATGTATTGTTCAAACAAAAATGTAATCTGCATGTGTGTATTGTAGGTTAGGAGTCAACAGGCCTGACCTCATCAGCTCGAGTTTGCCAAATAACCTGCTGTTTTAACTATCCTGATCACAAATTAGCCAGTTAATTTGCGCCTTCATCGGCCTGCAGTTGCAATTAGCTGGATATTTGGTCAAGAAAATATCTGAGAAATTTTGGTCTCGTTTCCAAAATATCCCAATATTTGGGAAATAGCGGGCTAATTTGCGCCCGTCCGAGCTAGTTTTAGACAAGCATATCGGTCTGGTGAAGGCGCAATTTTGAGCTTTGGGATAATATCCCGAGTCTGAATATAGCGGGTTATTTGGCAAACTTGAGCTGATGAGGACAGGCCTATTGTGCCTGTTCCTAGGGCAAGTCTAAACTGCCTCAAGATCTAGCTATAAATATTGGTACAGAACTACTGAACTCAGCACTTTATCGATGCAGGCGAGATAAGAATATTTAAACAAACTTACAATAGGATGGCTCTGATAGACAAGTAGCCTTGTAACCTCAAATTAAACGCTCTAGATATAAGGGTATTTCAACAGCAATGCTAACAGAGACAGAGCCGTTAAATCATAAATCATTTATTGTATTAATTAAAGGTTAACCCGTAAAACCTGAATGTGAAGGTCCTGATAAGCCTCTGTAAATATTTAGACTGAGAGATAGCTCAGAATATAAAATTAAACACACCACTGAAGATGATGGCATCATCTTTAGCACCTTGCAAAACGTATTTATACTGCATAATTAGGAAGATGTTGCACGTACATGTAGGACTGGACTCAAAAAGATTAAAGCTGTCGATATTAGGGATTGATTCTCTGAACATTGGGGAATACCAAAATCAAATTTATGGGTTGAATACCTTTTCCCCTTCCCTCCCTCCTACCACTACCAATTTGATTACTACACCTGTACAGTGTATGTACAATTCAAAGAGCTTTAAAATAAATAAGGTTTAGAAACAGAGACACAGAGTGGGTAAATATATATTTTCTCAAATACATACACACCTCCCCACAACAATGGTTAATGATTCACATCCCGAACAAATCTCAAGGAAAAGATGTTTTTCTCTAGATGGTTTTCTCTAGATTAAAAAGATACATATTTGATAACTACACCTGTATGGACATTTCAAAGAGCTATATAAAAACAGTTTAGAAATACACAACTCCCCACGACAATAATCATTCACATCCCAAACAAATCTCAAGAATGGATGGCTTTCTCTAGAAAAATACATCACAATAAGCGAAACAAAATCATAATAATAATTTGTAATATTGTCCACTCGCACAGACACTCAAAGCACATTTCAGCACTGCTATTAATCTCATCACCAGACACATACGTAATGCCAGATCAATTAATACATTAGACAGGTTATCCTTCATGGGACAACAATAACTCTTCACGCCGGGTAGGTAGGTCATTGAATCTGGCATACCAATAACAAACGTTTCATAACAACTGATCTGGGGTTTTGTAACACCATAACAATCATTAAAGGGCCCTGTGAGGAGGAACAATGTTACATGATGTGCACATTAAAAATAACCTTCTCCAACTCCAGCAAAATTGTCTCATGGCAATAGATTTTTTGCAAAACTTTAACATTCTGTATTTCTCTCTAAAAATACACTTTTATTACCTTCATTTCATTCAAGATAATAGTTTAATCCCTTTTCCCTCTGTCTCGTGCGTTAATAAAAATGCTTTTACTATTGTGGAGACAGGGCCCCTTGGCTGAGCAGTTATTTTTAAGTGAAAGGTCACCCTTTCAAAATGAAAATAAAAATAAATAATGGCTTTAAAAGACCAATTAAAAGCAATTTACTAGTAATAAAGAAGTTGATCACTTATAAATAATAAGAATGTGGTCAACAAAAACAAATTGAAAGATTCAGCACACTTTCTTTGACATTACAAACATAAAGATACACGCAAGAGAATACAATTAAATGTCACGTCAAATGAAAGGTGAGCCAATCTAGAAGCAAACTGAAAGGTCAATTACCTTCAACGACTTTGATAACAGAGTTATCTTTGAGGCCCTCGATGTTCTTTAGTTCTGCAAAGTTGTCTAGGACGTTGCCATCGAGTTGAAGGGAGAAGCACGTCCGATGGCAGGTGTCCTCTCTGTCCATTAGGACCTGGTGGATCTCCTGCACCATCTCCTGAGGACTCACCTAGCAACGGAATCAGACATATTAAGAGATTAAGAATCAGATAGATATAGAGAGATTAAGAATCAGACAAGTAGAGAGATTAAGAATTAGACAGATATAGAGAGATTAAGAATCAGAAAGATAGAGAGATTACGAATCAGACAGATAGAGAGATTAAGATCAGACAGATAGAGAGATTAAGATCAGACAGATCCTGTATTCACTGAGATTTATTACCTATGTTGGCAAACTCCATTTGGGGGCCCTCATGTCGAACCCAACAAGCACGACCTATCATTCTATATTACTCAAGTTCAAGAGGTGATTGACCTGCTGAACTGGTATCTACACTTACACATACAAGTTGTTTGATAGAAGACAAAACTGTAAAAGCGCGTTCAGGCTTCACACATGTTTACTTATCGCTTTTCACCTTACTGGATTTTAAAGAGTCCCTGCTATTTGCCTTATCCGGCAACAAAAGGCTTGTATTGCTTTCAAGGTAAGGTGATTTCAGGCAAGGGTTTAATTCAATACACAACGTTTTATCATCCTACAACTGAATGATTCGTAGTAATAAGAGTGTTTCCTGCAGAAATTCCTGATCACATTATGTGTCACAAGTTTTAAAGATGAAGTTGAGTTCTGGTCATGCGATTGCATTGTGAAAGAAACGGTGTGGAATCGACCAGAAAAGGTTGATCATCTAGCATATAAGAATTTGTGTACTGCAAGGTTCTGGAATCATCAAAATGATAAGAAATTTGGCCAAGTTTTGGTAAAGTTACAAAAACTTGCACAGAAAAATGTATATGGGACTACACGAACACGTGGTGTAAAAAGCAAGCCCCCCGATTTTTACGATGTTACATGCATATTTAGAATATGAAGGCATTTGAAGAGCCATGCTTTTCAGGGAACATGTCTTAACTGATGTTCTTCCACACTTGCATAATAAGAATGAGTAATGCTCACAAATTATTTTTCACCTCTTCCCAGTACTCAACCTTCTCTTTAAAAGAAAAAATTAATATCATTTGGGACAATCTCTTAATTCTCAAGATCTTGAAGGACTTGTACTTCTTTGATTTTAAAACTACATCAACAGCTGTGAACAAAGGACAACCAGCAGGCTTTTTGGGGTGTGCTGGTGACAAAATGTGTCAAGTGTACTTAAGGCTACATGTACTTGTACGGAACAGCCAGTTGTATGTGCAGGAAGTCATAGAATTTTCACGTTGTTTCACATTGATTCAATTATCGAGTCTGTAGTTATCAGATTCAGACCATCTAGGGACCACGTCTACAGAAATTGGTTCACGATGAGACACTTGCTTTTAACCTACTTTACTACAACCTTGCACCACTAAAGAAACACAAACAGGAAATGGCGAATTGTTACTAGAATCACCTACTACTTTTCTGTATTGCCTGCCGACAAAAAGAGAAACCTAAAGCTATTACACACATTCCTAATTCGGCACGTGCCTCTCGAGATGGAACAAAATGCAAAGCTGCTTTGATTTGTTATCAGTAACGTCCCAGCTCTTATTTCTGAGACATTTTTTCTTTCTTTCGTTGCTTATTTGTCCGAGGAATTAATCTTACAGCTGTGAGGGTCATTGAGGGCAGCAGCAGGAGGCAGCGTATTACATCTCAATTAAGTGCTGCTCAGAAGGCCTGTCCTCATCAGCTCAAGATTGCCAAATAGCCAGCTATTACTGATTTGGGAAATAATCCTGAAGTTACAAATCAGCTCGAGACTTGACTTCGAAACTTCAACCTCAAGCAAGAGAAATCAGCTCGAGATATTTTGCTCAGCGTTCGCGCACAGTGCGAGTTTTCAGGCGGGTGAAGACGCACTGGACAAATAGCGGGATATTTTGCAAACTAGCCGAAGATATCTTGGGATGATTATCTCGACCAAATTTCCCGCTAATTGCAACTTCTGGCTGATGAAGACGCAAATTAACTGGATAATTTGCGATCAGGATAGTTCAAATAGCGAGATATTTGGCAATCTTGAGCTGATGAAGACAGGCCTAAAGACGGAGTCTACCACCACGTGCGAAGGACGTTCACTACACCGCATGGTGACGATGCCCGACAACAGGGGGTGTGAGTCAAGGCGATTGTAGCATACATACACATGGTTATTAAGCAATGAGGCAAACTCAAGAAGCCAGACCACGTGTATACATTGTAGACATACCTGATAGTATGTGCACTTACAAATATAAAATTATCTTGTGCTTTTGAGCTTGAATCTTAATGTAAATATGAGGGGTGATGTAATAGTTACAGGTATTTCTGTGGCGGCGGAGAGAAAGGGACAAACAGCTTGGGGGAGCAGGTGTTGCCATTTAAATTCATTGGCACTTTCATGAATATTCTGTTTTCAATTCTTCACAGATCTGTTAAATGTAGATTGGACTTGAAGTCATAATAATAATAACAATAATAATAATATTAATAATACCAATAAAAATAAAAACAGTAATAATAATAAGAAGAAGAACAAAATAAATAAATTAATTAATTAATACATAAATGTACAAATAAATTAATAAATTAATTCATAAATAAATACACAAAGACAGGTAAATAAGTTAATTTAATTAGGGGCTCCATGCACAAAGACCCTAATATTCCAATCTATAACTTCTGTTTCAAAAATAAAATAAGTGAAGTGTGAAGCTCTACATGTACAAATGTACATAGAGATACAATGTACATGTAGCTACACATGTCTCACATCGTCCTCTTCTGCCCTCATACCAAGCCCATAGATTTTAATCACGGATGTATAGTGTCCCTGTACTTTTAATTTCAAACTACATTTGTTGAAACTTGATAACAGGAAAGGTTTGAGTGAAGTTGAGACCAAAGTCGGCAAGCCAGGTAATTACCAATATCCTGTTCACGGCTCCTACAACCCTTCTTGACTGGTAACCTCTTCTGTTGGCAAACCACATGCAGTTCTAGCGACAGACCCACAGGATACTTTCTAGATTTCATTTCAGAAATAGATCGTTCATCTTTTCGGAAAATAACTTCTCAATAATAATGCTAATAATGGTGACTTCTTGAAAAGCGCACATGTCCTTCATGTTGTGACGCTCCTGGCGCTGCCCCGATTATTACCCCGGCTTTAGCAAGGCAGCGACTGCGGTGCTCTAGCATTTCAAGGAATTAATTCCTGCCAGGTACCCATTTACATCACCTGGGTTGAGTGTAGCAAATGTATCCACTCGACCACGACACCTCAATGGTCAATTTTTAACATGATTTAATTGATTTCCGAACTGCAGCCCCTGTCCTAAGGCCCCTAAATGCAACCCTAAAACTAAACTAAAACCAAACTGCAACCCAGGCCGTAACGCAACAGTCTTGAAGCAGTGAAGCCCTGAGCACATGTCTCAGGAGCAAATACAAATACCAGAGAGATTCAGATCAGTCAACTCACCTGTAGATCAAAGGCTTCACATGCCGGAGGTACAATCTTCACCATGAAAGCGGCATCCTGGATCACAATCACATCTTCCACATTAGCATCTTTCTTCTTCTCCTCCTCCCCTTCCACCGCCGATCCCTCCTCCTCCTCCTTCCCCTCCTCCTCTCCAGCATCCCTCCTGCCGTTGCCATTGGCAACTGCCTCCTTGAGTTCTAAGGCATCAACATGCATGCAGTCGACCCCGCTGTCCTCGCTGTTAGGGGTCACATCTCCGCTGCTACCTGCGCCATCCTCCGCGCCATTGATGGGTAGGGGATGGGGGTTGTCCACTCCGTTTACTAGAGGGGCAGGGTCTGCCATTATCCAGTCAACGGTTTCAATGCGTCAAATTAGTTGTCAAATCTGCAAATGCAAAGACAGAAGAAATATTATAAACACCGGTTATCTACATGTAATTACTCAATAAATTTTTATAGAGAATGAACATCTTGAATGTGGAGCATCCCCCATGAACCCCTGGAACATAATGTACAACACTGTTTGCAGAACTTGCCATAATAGGGACTTGTAGATTTGCACATCAACATAGTGGAATGCTACGTGTGACGTCCCTTTAAGGCACTAGCAGTCCCTTAAAAGGACGTCACAAGTAGCAGTCCACTATGTGGACGTGCAAATCTGAAAGTCCCTATTGTTCACTTACTGTGTATAGAATGTATGAAGTTCACTGTACAGGCATTAGTAGCAGTACGCAAGCTCTGCTCTTCTAATCTTTTTATTTTAAACTTTGAACCTTTTGTTAGTCTGCATCTACATTTGACCTCATAATTGAACACAAATATTCACTGAGCCACTGTCTACAGAATCTCTACACCACCATTGTTCCATTTGTTACCGACTTGATTGAATTAATTATTTTATCAGTTTGACATCCTCTGTCTAAAATTTTAAGGTCTAAAGACTTCTTCATTCTGTTCTTAGTGAGCACAATGCTCTGATCTATTTCAGTCAACAAGCTCAAACTATTCACACAGTCACCATGCTCTTTCCTCTAATACATTTAACTCAACACAGACCAAGTTCATGAACTGTACACACACGCGCACACACACTCCTGTATCACATTTCTTGTTCTGCTCTTGAGCGTTAAGCGTAATCACTCGTCAATATCTTGGCCGAATCCCAGGTATGCTGGGCTTCCGAACTCGAGTCGAGCGTTAATGGTTTGCCGGGTGGCGCTGGAGGAAGCATGCAAGCGATCGTCATCTTCTTCTGCAGCTCGTAAAAGTGGATTTCCTCCCCCCTCCTAAAATAGACCAGGGGGGTGTTTCACAAAGATTCTAAGTCGAACTTAACTCTAAGTTGGACTTAAATATTATGGGAAGCCAATAGCATCCTTGAAAATATTTTGTAAATTTCTTTGTAGAAGGCATAAAATGTTGCTTCAAATCATTCATATTTCCTATTATCATGGGAGATTTCATGTTCTTGGCGTGGAATTTATAAAAAAGTCTAAAACACTTGAATTTCTGCTTTTGGATATATTTCATTTTAAGGGTCCAATGGCTGTCCATAATTTTTAAGTCCAACTTAGTGTTAAGTTCTACTTAGGATCTTTGTGAAACACCCCCCAGGATCATTAGGTGATACAAGGACAATGTGAAAGACATGGGCAGCGATCTAGTTCATTCTGCATCCAGCTCCACTGACATTTAACTACACATACATGTATAGCAGTGGGCTACATGTACAAGGTACATAACATTGATGATGACTTTACCAGTCTACATAGCTCTTGGAGTGTTTTTTTTTATTTCTAACTTATTTTTTTCAATAAAAATTTCTACCTTCATTATTAATTTGAATTATTTTTACTTTTCTGTTTTTTTCAGGCAGCTAATACCTAGGGCCTACATTCTAAGGGAGTGCGATAGACTAGTTTACTAACATATCCAAATTATATGCATACTTTTAGAACAAAATTTGTTCTAGACGACTTGAAAGCTAGCCCAAGACTTGCATGGCAAAGCAACAAGTAATTTATGTAGACTGGATTCCAAGAATTATAGTTTATTCACTAATAATAGGTCATGGAATAAATCATCACTACACGTGTAGGTCCCTAGGAAAGGAACATCCATAAATTTGAATATGTTGGTAAACTGGTCATTGATTGTTACAATCTTACAGCGGTTAACTACACCGAAACAGTAGTTCCACTTGTCTTTCTGAGTGAAGGAAGTTTGCGACGACAACTCTCAGAGCCACAAAGACAGGTGAAGCGCAAAATGTAAGAGTACAAATCAATGACTAACACACCTTCAGTGCACGCTTGGAGCCCCTGAACTCATGGATTTACTACATTCATGCAGAATCTCCACATCAATCACTATACTAGATTTCTCACACAAGTACCTAGATGTACATGTAGACAAGAATGTAGAATGTGGGATAGAGAACACAAAATGGATTGAGAGAAACTGTTGCAGAATAGGCAAACACGATTCATACAAGCAGAAGATCCAATCAAATGATCTTCGATCTTGCTATGCAAATTTTCTCATGAACCATCCTCTTCCAAGGACACACTGGCACATGAATGTGAGCTACAGAATAGTTCCATGGATTTCACACCAGTGCAGTGTCCATCTTCTGCGAGTTTAAAGGTTTAAATCCTCTTATTCCTGAGGTCCCATCGAGAACCAGTGTTTCATCCAGATGCAGATACATGTACGTACATGTAGCATACAGTTGTTTATGCACATACCACAACACTCTGTACTGCTACATTGTACAAGACCGACGTGTCAGGTAGCCTTTTAACAACTTTTATAAGGGTTCCCGTTGATGGTCTCTTGGATCGTCAAATTACAAATTTCACATTACAATATCAAATTACTACAATAACCCCCTCTGTGCAATGTGTACAGTGTGCTAAAATCAACTTCTTGACCTACTGCCTCACATACAATGTACATGTAGCAACATTTTGATGCATCGCCCTCCCTCTCAGCTGCTCGAAGGGCTACGCCACCATGGAGCTGATAATTAAATTCCCAAGATGATAGGTATTGCATTGGAACGTGACCTCAACACTTCAGAGAGACCCAACTCACACTTAAGAAATGAAAGCATGATTGTGAATACATACATGTAGAGTCGCTCAAGGAAGATGTGCTCTGTACGCAGTTCAGCAAAACAATAGGCTTTGAATGGCAATATATTTGTTAAAAAGATCAAAATTATTAAATCAAAGGTATTTGCTAGAGAGCATTCTATTCGCCAAGCTATCACATGGCAGTTAAAGAGAAGGTTGAGTTCTGGAAAGAAATGAAAACTAATTTGTGAGCATTATCATGTTATTATGCAAGTGTAGAAGAACATGAGAAACAAAATGTTCCCTGAAAAGCATGGCTCTTCAAATGCCTTAATATGCTAATTATGGCATGTAACAGCATAAAACAGCATAAAAATCAGACAGATTTTTATGCCACATGTTTGTGTAGTCCCATATACATATTTCTGTGTACAGTGCTTGAAACTTTACCAAGACTGGGCCAAATTTCTCATCATTTTGATGATTCGAGAACCTTGCGGTACACACCAATACTTCTGTGCTAGATGATCAACTTTTCCTGAACGATTTAACAATGTTTCTTTCACAATGCAATCGCATGACTAGAACTCAACTTTATCTTTAAGAAATGAAAGCATGCTTGTGATTACATAGAGGCGTTCAAGGAGGATGCGCCCTGTAGGCAGTTCAACAGAACTGGCAATATTTTTTGTTAAAAAGAACAAAATTATTAAATCTAGGGTATTTGCTAGAGAGCATCCCATTCGCCAAGAGGCTATCACATGATACTTAACCCATCGCCTATGTGAACCACCATGGCTCCTGTATTAAGCCTATGGAAATGAAAGCATTCAGCAGTCGATGGATTAAGAACTTGTTACATACATGTATGCACAAGCATGCAAAATAGACATCCTTCGCTGTGCGTACCCATTGATTGCATTGTCTTAGCGTAAGCCCCACACATTTGAAGTGGAACTAACTGGAAGAGAAAAAGGCATGAGATAGCACATACCCTCAAATTTATGTAGCAAATATTGAACATACAGTGTACATTTATTTCCCTTGTGTGTAATTATATTCCAATCTCAGCCCGTGGCCTTGGTCAAATATCAGATCACGCTGGAAATATATGAATTTGTTGATTCATATATTTTGTTCTAATGAACTCCTGATCATTTCATGCGTGTACATATGTATTTAGCACATGTGCACAAAAGGTATGTACAGGTGTATATGAGCAGGATAATGGAGCGATCCACTGCAACATTCTTGTGGGATGCTCATTATTACAGCACTTCAAATGTGGATGAGAAAAGATATCGGGGGGGGGGGGGGTGGAACATTTCAAATTGATGATCAGAAGATAAGACAAGGACTTACACATGGATTAAATGTAGTGACCAATGGTGCTGTTTGACTGACCTTCGGAGGCCTGTTCAGATATGACACATGGTAAAACGCAACTGTGTTATATGAGGGAAAATGGAAAACGGAAGAATCTGAACAAGGCTTTAATGGATAAATAGGTTATGAATCTTAGAAGCGTCTTATGTCTTTAGGCATAGATAGACAGACAAGGTTAATTTGTCTGAAATTACATAATGACTTGTTGTTTTGAGTTTTCAATGGTTACGTAAATTATCTTTGCAGACCTTGGCTGAATTGCATAATGGTATGAGACTCTGCCACAGATTTCAGCGAAAATAGATTACTTGATTACACTAACAGCAAACTCTTGTATAATTAACTTAAAAGTAAAGTACCGTATACATGTAGGCATACATAAAGCAAGGACTGGATTTTAACACTAAGGTACATGTACATTAGCACTTACAAAATTAGTTTTTCAATAGAAAATCATTTCAGATCAAAATACAAGACTAACATTTTCCAAACTTCTTACACTCAATGCTTTGTTTCACTGAAGTCTTGTTTACTATCTAATTTCAAATTTTAATTCAATGAATAATTATAGTAGACTTGATTTCAATATCAGATTGAACTTAGTAAACAATCTTCATCCTATTGACTCTATTCTAATCTTCAGTAGATGTAGACAAACTTTCTGAAGTGTCAAAGGTCAATACACGAGACAAGGGTGAACTAAAGGTTGTTTGGGGTCATTTCGTCATTGATATTTTTTGTTCGCCATCCATACAATCTGCAACACATCTACACCAGGACAATGGTATAGAGTTCTGACAAAACAAAACATTCTTACAATTCATAATATAAAAATTTCTATGTCAGATAGAAAACTAGAAATGTAATTGCAACAGGGTTGAGCTCAATTAAATTCAACTATATTGAGATGTATTGTCTG